AGACTCCTTCCGGTGCCCATTCCTCCCACGATTCCGCAACCGCGCCTCTCTTCCGCCAGGTGGTCGAACGAGCTCACGGCGACGCTCAGCTGCTCGACCGATCGCTCATGAAGCTACTGGTCCGCCTACCAAGTCAAGAGCCTCCTCCAGAAAACCCCAGTGTTTCTCCCCAACTCTCCAAAGTCATTCGATCGGCCACGGATTTGTCGAAAACCCAAAAGGACAGCTTCGTTGCGGTTGATCATCTCATTCAGTCTGTCTGCCAAGATTCACAGGTTCAGCGTGCTCTCGGCGATGCCAACATCCCCAACCTCAAGTTGATCGACACTGCTATCCAGCAAATCCGTGGTACAAAGCGGGTCGACTCCAAGACCGCCGATGCGGAAGGCGAGAATGAGAACCTAAAGAAATTCACCATTGATATGACTTCATTAGCGCGGGAGGGCAAGATCGACCCGGTCATCGGCCGAGAGGAGGAAATCCGTCGCGTCATTCGTATTCTCAGTCGACGCACGAAGAACAACCCTGTGCTTATCGGTGAGCCTGGTGTGGGTAAGACCACCATTGTCGAAGGTCTCGCTCGCCGCATTGTCAACGCCGATATTCCTGCCAACCTGGCTCAGTGCCGTCTTCTTTCTCTTGATGTCGGTTCTCTGGTTGCGGGCAGCAAATACCGCGGTGAATTCGAAGAACGTATGAAGGGTGTTCTCAAGGAAATTGAAGATTCCAAGGATACTATCGTTCTCTTCGTCGATGAGATCCACCTGCTTATGGGCGCTGGATCTAGCGGTGAAGGCGGTATGGACGCTGCCAACCTTCTCAAGCCCATGCTGGCTCGCGGCCAGTTGCATTGCATTGGTGCCACGACTCTCTCTGAATACCGCAAGTATATTGAGAAGGATCAGGCCTTCGAGCGACGATTCCAGCAGGTCCTTGTCAAGGAGCCCACAGTCCCAGAGACTATCTCTATCCTTCGTGGTCTGAAGGAAAAGTACGAAGCTCACCACGGCGTCAATATTCTCGACGGAGCGATCGTCACTGCCGCCACTCTCGCATCTCGCTACCTGACAGCTCGTCGACTGCCCGATTCTGCAGTCGATTTGATTGATGAAGCTGCAGCTGCAGTTCGAGTCACTCGCGAGTCCGAGCCAGAAGCTCTCGACACACTGGAAAGAAAGGCCCGCCAGCTTCAAATCGAAATTCATGCCCTTTCACGTGAGCAGGACGACGCATCCAAGGCTCGTCTTGAGGCTGCCAAACAAGAAGCTGCCAATGTTAGCGAGGAGCTCCGGCCGATGCGCGAGAAGTACGAAAGTGAAAAGCAACGCAGCCGCGAAGTGCAGGAGGCCAAGATCAAGCTTGACTCTCTCAAGGTCAAGCGTGACGAAGCCGAGCGTTCCGGCGACACCCAGACAGCTGCTGATCTCGAATACTACGCCATCCCAGAGACCAAGTCCCTCATCGAGCGTCTCGAAGCTGACCGGGCCAAGGCCGATGCTGAACGTCGCGCTCAATCAGGCGATGCTGGCGAAGCACTCCTTGCTGATGCAGTAGGTCCGGATCAGATTAATGAAATTGTTGGCCGGTGGACCGGTATCCCTGTCACGAGACTCAAGACCACCGAAAAGGACAAGCTTCTCAACATGGAGAAATACCTTGGCAAAGTTGTTGTCGGCCAAAAGGAAGCCGTTGTCTCCGTGTCCAACGCCATTCGCTTGCAGCGCTCGGGTCTCAGTAACCCTAACGCGCCCCCCAGCTTCTTGTTCTGTGGTCCCTCCGGTACCGGTAAGACACTGCTCACAAAAGCACTTGCCGAATTCCTCTTCGATGATCCAAAGGCAATGATCCGGTTCGACATGTCCGAGTATCAGGAGCGACACTCGCTCAGTCGTATGATTGGTGCACCCCCTGGATATGTTGGCCATGACGCCGGTGGCCAACTTACTGAAAGCCTGCGCCGCCGCCCATTCTCGATCTTGCTCTTCGACGAGGTTGAGAAGGCCGCAAAGGAAGTCCTAACCGTTCTCTTACAGCTCATGGATGATGGCCGTATCACCGACGGCCAGGGCCGCATCGTTGACGCAAAGAATTGCATTGTCGTGATGACCTCCAACCTGGGTGCCCAATATCTCGCCCGCCCCACTACCAGGGACGGTCGCATCGACCCCGGAACCCGCGAGTTGGTCATGAACGCACTGCGCGACTACTTCCTGCCGGAGTTCCTCAACCGTATCTCCAGCACCGTCATCTTCAATCGTCTCACCAGACGGGAGATCCGCAAGATTGTGGACCTCCGTCTCTCCGAGGTCCAGAAGCGGCTCGATCACAACGAGCGCAATGTCACTATCCAGTGCACGGAGGAAGTCAAGGACTACCTCGGCGCAGCAGGCTACTCCCCAGCCTACGGTGCTCGCCCACTGGGCCGACTCATCGAGCGTGAAGTCCTCAACCGTCTCGCCGTGCTCATTTTGCGCGGAAGTATCAAGGATGGCGAGATCGCCCGTGTCGTCATGCGCGACAGCCGCATCGATGTCCTGCCTAACCACGATATCGGTGAAGACAGTGACATCAGCGATGATGATATGATGGATGAGGATGATCTCGACGCTGAGATGGACGATAGCCCCGTCTCGCCTGATCTGTACGATGATTAAACAGATCTGGTTTTCTTAAGGTTTCCTTTCTGTCGAAAAGCGAAACTCGCATAAAAAAAGAAGTGTTTGAACATACCCAGCGATGATGAGATGATACACGACCTTTTCTTGCTTTGTTTGTCAGCTTTGCCTTCTTACGTTCGCATGGCGTTAGCATTATGTATCTCTTCGCATTCTCTTTTCATGTACTTATGTAGTCTTCGCCGGGTGGATACGTCCCTAGGTCGAGTTGAGGGCTTATTAGCCTCGGCATTCATGTTAATACAAGTTTACTTTATTCCGACATCCAAGCAAAACCATGGATACTCCTAGGTAAACTTATTGTAGATTAAAGGTAATAAGCTACTGAGGTTTGCAGATCTATCTCCCTCATTTCTGGAATGTTAAAAGTGCCGTAGAACAATCATATTGCTGTTATCAAGCAGTTTGTCATTATCAAGCAGTTTGTCAAATCCTCGTTCCAGATCATCACCAGAGACCCATTATCTCTTTGTATCTCTCAATAGCAACAATGAATGCCGATTAGCTCTGGGTTAGACCTAACACGGACTCTCCCTATGTCGATGTTCCTCAGCCCAGCGTCTAAATCAAACTCTTTCTCAATGCACTCTTCCTAGGTGCGCAGTCACATTGTCCTTCCGACTGAAGCGTTTGCCACACGTAGGGCAACCGAATGAGCGCGGATTAACATGCTGCGTTTCAACATGGCGTTTCAAGACCCCTTTGCGGGAGAACATGCCGGGGTATGGGCAATTCTTCCAGGGGCAGCGGAAAGCACCGTGGGTGTCACTTATATGCGATGATTGTTGTTAGTAAGTTGGTAATGGTAACGTCCCGGCCTGACGCTGAGCTTGAACATGGAAGACTTACCCCGGGTTCGATTCGTGTGCTCCACGACAGCGATATGGCGGGTCAACACTGGCACAATGGCCACCGTTGACCTTTGGCCGAGGTATCTCTTGCACAGAGTCATCAGAGGATGGGGAGATGGTATTAGTAGTAGTACCAGACGCCGGGCTGATGTCGTCCGTAGGAAAGGGTTTGGCGGCACCGTTGCCCTCGAGCGAGGAATAGTGTACGACATCCTGATTCGGGCGACATAAGCCAAGATCATACGAGGCTTCCGGCATCACAAAATTAGGGTCAAGTGGTGCCAACGAATCCTGCGTATAATGGTTGTATAGAACATGGTTTGGATACGTGGAAGACTCTGCGCCCAAGGGGACAGAGAATGGATGAGTAGGAGAGACCTGAGACCATTTACAGCCACTGGTGTCCCATCCAGGTTCGTAGGAAGGACTTGGATCGTTCAAGGAAATGCTGTCGGATGGCCATGCCATCGTGAGTTGAAACGATGAGATGGAGTGGTCCTTTGAGGTTTGGAAGACGAGAGATGTTCTGGTTTATTGGACCTCAGGGAAAGAGGGTTTATATAGTTCTACATAGGCATATATTCATCCCACTCGTCACAGCCAGTTACAGGTTCACTATATAGATAATAAGGGGCTGCGCAAGCCCTGCAGTTTACCTGAATCTATAAACAAGGTGGATCAGCAGAATTTGTATTGATCCAATCAGGCTACAGTGACATAGCAAAAGTTTGAGCACCCCATCTGCCGGTCAGTCTCCACCAATAAAAGGCCGAGTATACCAGACGGTATAGCTACTTCAGGAAGGCGGTAGTGGAAGGGATATCGTTCTTGGCGACCAGTCTTACTGCAGCGATTTGGAGGCCGCGAACGGAGTAGTTCTCAGTGGATACGTCGATCTCTTGGCAAATATATTCAACTTTTGAATACCTTGGACGTTTCCCATATGTAGGCAGATACCTATATTTTTCAGTTTTGAAAACAGAGGTCGACCAGAAGCATGTGTTTGTATCCAATGAGAGCGAACGAAAAGTCCCTATACCGCAAAAATACCTCCATGTGATAAGAATAATTACATCGTCTGTCGCCAGGACTCATCACTTCGGTCTTGTCCACTTGGTCCGATTCGTTGACTTGGGAACTCCCTCTGATCTATTGGCAACATCTTCCAACCAAGCCTTGCCCGAACAGCCGAACAGATCATTTGCTTACCAGCGTCAGATTGCACCTCCACCCCGAAACCCAGGCGATGCACCTAAGTGGAGAAGAAAATGTCACCCTGCAAATCAGAGCGCATACATGTCACGGTGCGGTGAGTTCAGGATTTAGGGTGCAGCGAGTCATGCCCAAAACACAGCCTCATCTGTTGCCTCCAACCGTGACCATCAAGCTAGTTCTACATTGAAATAGGAACCCCTAAACCCTTGTTCTCTCGTAAAACTTTTTATGCACTACCCATCTTGATCCATCCTTCGCCATGTTGACAAAGCCGGACTACGCAGAATGGGAACCCCATAAGGCCCAGATCGAGCAGATCTATCTACACGAGAACAAGACCCAAAAGGAGCTAAGTCGGATCATGGAAACGACACACGGGTTTCGAAAAACGTACCATCTTCCCCTAGCTGCTGCTCATCGAATTATCGCTAAATAGCAAACAGAAAAGCGCAATATGAGAACGCATTCGAACGATGGAACTTCAAGAAGTACAAAATGACACCTGAGAAGTGGAAGGCCGTCAAACATCGCATAGAAAAAAGAAAGCGAGAGAGGGGCAAGGAAAGTGAAGTGTACATCAATGGCATTCTCTGTCCATCTAAAAAAGTGAAGTATGAGATCGGACGACATGCTTTTGAATCCACCATCGCGAGGCTTACCTCAGGTAACTTCCCACTGTGCAAAGCATGCCAACGTCGTGTAGCTTATATTTCCCTTAGTACCTTCTCCAAAAACGCCCGAAGGTGTGATGGTCTGTTCCCCTGGACCGACTACTACTGGCCATCACAATGGCCTCCAAATCTTCCTTGGTTTGCTTTCTCTCACACATATTTGTCGCGAACTCTACTAGGTCAGAAGACGCGAAAGTATCACTCTTCTCTGGCTAATATGTTCCCTAGGAAACCTTCTGCCAGCAACTAGTTCCACGTCACAAGCTCTTCAGACTACTGGACTTTCGCGATCACAGTTGAAAAAGAGCCTGTCCCACTCACTGGGCTCCTTGCTGTCCTGGAAAACCACCAGGTCTCTCAAATTGACTCAGAGCAGCTCTCGAGTGACAGCAGTACTTAATGTCACCATGCCCGAAGAATATGACGGCCAGCATCGGATTGTTTCTGAGAGAATCAGCAGCAATAGGGAGTTGCACCTGGAGGAGTTCATGCGAATGGCATTATATCTTTTGTCCAACAATCTTTTGGGGCACGATCCTGAAGAAAATGTGGAAGAGAAAGATAAAATCATCATAAATCTTCTTCGCATCTCTGGAGGTCTCAATACGTCGGACATGAGGAGTTTGGTGTCTCTAAAGGTCGCAACAGCCGATGCAATTACTGAGAAATTATTTGCAAGTGCGGTCAGGTCTGGCGATTTTCAGGCTATTGAAACAATGCTGCAAGCTGGGATGAGCCCAGATACATCAGTCCTGAATGGTGCATCGGTCACAAATGGAGGAGAAAGCTCTAGCCCGCTGGTCCATGCAGCCCGCATACGAGACAATGAGCTTTCTGTCAAGATAACTCGTCTGTTATTATTGCATAAAGCGGATCTCAATCAGAAACAGACCGGGGAATTAGCACTCGAATGCGCCATCGAGCGCCGAAATGAGGTGCTGTTAAGGATTCTGATATCCAAGGGCGCGCAACTTCCTTCACGCGCATTGGAGAAAGCCGTTTATTCTCGGTGTTCAAGAGAAATTGTTGGAATGATTCTGGATGCTGGCGCAGATATGGAAGAAAGACCTCGTCGAGGCGTGGCCACAACAGTACTTGGATATATTGTCCTTGACGAAAACGCAGAATTGGCGCAATTGCTGCTCTCACGAGGTGTAATTACTGATTCGCTGCATCCGGTGGACGGCCCTGATTCCAATGCTCACCGTCGCCGAGCATCGAGAAGGTTTTCTTCGAGAGTGTCAAAGTGTGTCTTTGGGAAACCATCAAAGCGCTATCAGACGACTGCATTAGGATTGACAGCTTGTAATGAAAACATCCAAATGATGAAAATCCTTCTAGCAGCACATGCAACCGTCAACCGAACAGACAATCCGGACAATTATCTACATCCACTCGTGTTGGCTGTTACCAGAAGAAAGAAAGAGGCCGCCAAGCTTTTACTGAAAGCAGGTGCCGACCTCCAACTTGCAGAGAGTTACAAGACGTCAAACGGGGAGAGAAGAAAAAGCTTATTCGAACGAGCCTTGGAAGCAAATGACCTGCCCATGTGCCAGATTCTTCTGGCAAATGGAGCCGAGGTAGGGGCACAGTTCATGCAGGATTATTATTCTTCTCAGTTGTGGGAGCACGTTAAACATAACGACACTGAAACCGTTGCACTACTTCTACAGTTTGGAGCTCGAGCAAACGATCTTTGCGAGGGTCTCCCTAATAGCGCACTGGGGTTAGCGATAACCCAAGGGAATTGGACTATGATAACTCTGCTACAAAGCGCAGGGGCGACAGGAGTGGGCCATGCGATTCCCTTCATCGCCAGCATTGAGACCGCGAGATTTCTGGAGCGGAGTAACCTGCTGTCGCAACTTCTTTGGGCTAATGGGCAGATGATACTTATTGAGGCAATCCTCGCGGAGAACGAGGCTTTAGCAAGCCTCCTTTTGAGCCATGGAGCCGACAAACAGGTCCGAGACACCGGGAAGACGCCCATAATATCAGAGATGAGGGCCAACACTCCATTGGAAGCAGCATTGTGTCGTGGCAATTTAAGCCTGGCACAAGTCATCATCAGCCGCGGGGGACGGGTGACTGAGGTTGAAATGAACGCAGTCATGTGGAGAGCAGGGATGATACAGGATCATTCCGTTCTGCGGGGATTTACCAACATGTTCGGGCCATTTCCCTTCTGTTCTCCAACTGCAATTGCAATGGCCGTGCGCTCAAATGATGAAGCTGCTATCTATTGTTTGTTGGAGGCCGGTGTTGACCCACGCGGTGCTCCGAAACTGAGCATAGACCGTGACTATAAAGAGCTTTTGGGACCCAAGCCTGCAATCCACACATACACCTATGAGATGATGGGCTGGTGGAATGCTAGTCACGTTAAGAGAAGACCCCGTATCTTTCATTCAGTGCTCGAATTGGCAGTGATACACGGCAACCGACTAATCCTACAAGCCCTATTGGGATCAACTACTTGGACGAGAGAAGAAAAGGGACGGGCTTTGTCAATAAGCCTTCACCTTTGGGACAGACGGTTTATGCAGGATTTGCTAGATGTCGGTGCAGACATACACCAAGACGTCTTGCTCATTGACCAGGTCATGAAACGGTATTCAAACCCCGTGAGGGTTGCTTTGAGCGAAGGGGATGTTCACTTACTACGAACTTTGTTGACCGTGGATCCTATCGTTGACCATATCAACAGCCAAGTGTACATGGCATACGCTATCGAGCGTGGAAACATTGAGCAATTGAAAATCCTCCTGACAGCCATCACCACTATCAACGGTCCACTGCAGAACTCGGAAGGAAAGTCACTTCTAGAGAATGCGTTATATATTGCCGGCGAAGCGGGAAACATGGAATTGATGAAGATTCTTCTAGAAGCTGGTGCGAGGATTCATTCTGTACCAACACCTGAGTACCATCATACTACCTTGTGGCACGCGGTAGAAAGAGAGGATCTGGAGGTTGTGAATAAGGTCTTGGCAGCAGGTGCAGATGTCAACGGTCCACCGTTTGAAGATGGCGGTATGACCCCGCTACAGCAGGCTGCAAAGAAAGGAAACATGGAGCTTGTGGACTTGTTCCTCAAAGCCGGCGCAAATGTGAACCAGGAACCGCAGCCTTGCGGTGGGGCGACAGCGCTGCAGTTTGCTGCAATTCAGGGTTATATTGGAATTGCCCGCAAGCTACTCGATGCTGGCGCTAGCGTCCGAGCCCCTAGGGCTGAGCGATATGGAAGAACGGCCATTGAGGGCGCTGCTGAACATGGCCGATTGGACATGGTACAACTTCTCTTGAATGAGGGGGTCCTGATTGACGGGAATGACCGGATCGAGTATATCAGGGCCATCAAGCTGGCTCAACAAAACTGCCACTATGCCGTAGCTACGCTTGTCAAATCATTCTCTGATTGGACCGAGGTGGATTCGGCGTGCTATGAAAAGCAAGTCTTTGACCGGGAGGAGCATAGAATGCTGGATGAATATGAGAAAACCAAAAGGGAAGGAAGATGTTAATATGGCTTGTTAGGTCGGATATATCCCTATCGGACGGCCTACATTTTACTTACCGCATCTGCGGGGCGTGTATATACTGTCTAGTAGAGAAGCATCACAAGAAGGTGTCCATTTAGGGGCTTGAATTTAATAGGATATATCCATGGATAAAACTTCGGATTATGTATCCATGAATATATCTCTGTCCATGAATCTACAAAGGATTCTACTATTTTGCCTCTTATCACCCACCGCAACCCGAGCATTGGAAAATACGACCTCTGGCTGAAGGACCTGGTGTAGTATACTAAATTCCAAGGATGGTGTAGTGTCTGTGTAAAGGAAGGAGGGTTCGCAGGGCTGTCCGGACCAGATCCAGATCCAGATCGATCCATGGGACCCAAACTTTAAATAAATCCTACCTTGAGACTTCAATAGTTTGAATGCGTTCCATGAAAGTGAGATTAGCTTTCGGATTGACGAGGGGCCGCGATTAAAATTTAATACTTTTGAGGGTGCAAGTTGCTGGTGATATACGACATAAATCTTTTGTATGTTGACCAGCAGATACGGAACGTAGGAGCTTTTCGGACGATCTGACCTTGTCCGATAGATGGAAAATGACAATTGTTGACATATTTTGCTAATAGAGAAAATGTCTAGGTAGGCTCTTCAGAGTTAAACAATCGAGCCGAGGCATCATTAGCTTGTTACTACCCTCAAGCGATGCAACCTGGTAAACAGGGTATATACTCCGTACCTGCACGGAACTGCCGAAAGGGGATTCTCGAATGTCTCATCGTATAGGCAACAGCAAATGGAACACCCGTTCCTAGCGGCTATTCATGCATCTCCCTCGTGGCGGCCGGTGTACCTACGAGATGCAGCTAGAGCGAAGGCAAACAGTCCTACAATTTTGCCACCATACGTGTTGTAGTGTTACATCGAAGATTCTTTACCTGTTCTGCATATGCACAACATATAACGAACAATAAATATATACATTTTTGTACTCCGTACCTGAAAATCGAATCGTCGGCTAAAACTCCTATTCGGGTGAGCACCCTCGCTACTCCGTACCTCGACTAGCCCAAGCGCAAGCCTACATATAAGCGAGGGGATAAAAGATAGCGTGGGGGCCAGAAACTCAGACTTGGGTGCACAAGCATGCAACAGAGTTGCGATCGAAGATGTCTCGGAGTTGACAGTGGGGTCGAGCGGGTCACTCCGGCGGAAGCAAGAGAAGAGGCATGGATAAAAAGTAGCAAAAATAAAAGAAATGGTGAAAAGGAAAGGAATTACCTCCTCATCGGGAAAAGATGGACTTGGCGGTGTTATGCACATAATGCTCGGGGCCCACCCTATGATTGTACCTTGTATAATTACAATAGAAGTATGGTTTACCGAGTAGTATAATTCATCCTAGTCGAACCCGTTAGACTTATTTTTAAGTGAGTGAATTCTTCAGGAACACCGAAGATTATCCGTGCAAGTTACTGGAATAGGTATGAATGATCGTCTATTCACTCAAAAATGAGACCGAATACACGTGGTTCGGGTTCTAAGCGACATCTAGAAGAATGAGTTGTCCAGTTTATGGGTTCCGTATATTGTCGTCCATAGGTATCGCACAATACATATATGTAGTTACTCCGTATATAGCATTGTATGCAATTTCTAAGGTTGGAGACCGCGCCGGAATGCTGGGTAGCCGAAACTCAGTTGAAACTCAGATTTAGTGGACTTGCGCGGGTTAATCCCGAGGCCTTTCAGCTGAAACAGTTTGAGATTTCACACTTAGAAGCCTTCTAATAATACATGCATGAAGACTGGTATTCATTGTGATTCCCATCCGCGAGGGAGTAGATCAGTAAACATAAAGTGAAGTCATACGATATATGACCGACGGCAATTGATAATGCATTTCCCCCTTATCACGTCATATCACTCTCCACGCAGATCCCGCGAAAATCTAGAGCAATGTTCGGGTCCCGACCCCAACCGATCCAGACAGAGCGTGTGCTCGTCCATGGTACCCGCGCAAAATGTCAATAGAGCGTCCGTGGATGCACAAGTGGACTCTTCCATGATTCCAAGGTCCCAGCTAGCTTTAACCAGCTCTTCCAAGGCTGATGTGCCGATCGACTGGCCGTGGAGCGGGAACCTTGAGGGCGAACCGCTGTTCTGTTGATACTCAGAGTAAGGTTTCTCCTTTTCTCGCAATTCCCTTTTTGGGGTCGCAACATCACCGATTTCGGACGCTGGTCTTCGGGGTAGTCACCGCCATATGATACATTACATTGTAGTTGTTGGTGCCCAACGTTGTATGCTGTACGGGGTGGATGATTTTCTTATTATGTACTCCGTACTCCGTACGGAGGATGGAGACAATAAATAGCTTATAGCGTCGATAGAAACTGATTATGCACGGTAATCACCGACATGGACCATGCTGGCTGTGCATTCGCAATAGCCCGCAGATGCAGACCAGCAACGCCACATAATGCTCAGCCCAGGCACTGGTTATCAACAACCGGGGTTAGCGTGATTAATATCGACATGCTTTTCTGGGAAGGATCCATTGCGCCCGAGCTATGTTCGCCGGTTCGCCCAACCCCCTCCCTTCGGAGGTCAAAGAACTTGGGCTAAGCTCGTCTGTCCAATGCTACGGGCCAATCCCTTCCCAGCTTAGAGCGTCGCCGATAAGATCGGTAGTTCTAGATGCAAGGTGCCGGCCGGGAGATCGGCGGGTTGCGATGGAATGTATTTCAAGGTTCTATCTGCCTCGAAAAGCTGTTAACAAACTCGCCGTGGGGTTGGGTATACGTGGTTGGGAGCAGAGGCTCTAGTTTGGGAGGTGAGATGTTCTGTGGAAATAACGATGGAGATTGTAGTTATAGTGGCGTATGCAATTCATGGGCTTGGACTTTCAGTACATTGTAAGGTATGTTGCAAGGATAAAAACTCTATGTCTAAGAAACAGTATTCTCGATAATCGCAGGGAAACAAAAACAGAGAAGCAAAAGTATGTAGGGTCGGAAGTAAATATGTACAGACAAAATTAAGAAACACATAATACAGGGCCGGGCATCAAGCCCTCGGGGACTTCGTGGATTCGTAAAAGACAATAAAAAATAAAAAGAATGAGACTTTTCTCAGTGTATAATAAGAGTCGATTAAACCTCCTCGCGGGCACGGGTAATTCGTGAAGAATTCGCCTCATAATCCGACGGCCGTGAGTCACGCTGCACCGTAACGGTAATATCTTGACGAATGCGCAAAGCGCGGGCCGAGCCATCGTCACTGCTCGCATCACGCTCCTCGCTGAGGCTGACATCAGAAGCAGTCCCCTTTTGCGGGGTAATCGTAGTGGTGCCCTCGAATTCTTGCAAGCCGAAATCTCCCGATCGTGCATGGCTGGGCGGACCATATGGAGGCAGATTGGAGCCTCCCTTGCTTGTCCAGGGCCCGGACTTGTAGCGGTCGGTGCCGCGCTTGGAGCCTCCGGTCCAGCTCTTGAGGGCGGGGAAGACGTCGCGGAGCAGTGACCAGATGAGAGGTAGGTTGGTGACCAGAATGGCGACGGTTGCTTCGCGGAAGTACCAGTTCATGTAGACGTAGGAGATCAAAGACGGGACGAGACAGTACACCTTGTTCAGGACCGCGGCGACGATGACGAAGATTCCCATGCCGAAGAGGAGAGTCAGGATCATCTTTTGCTTGAGCGGGACGCGGACTTGGACTAGCATTGGGATGGCGATGAGAAGCATGAATATGTCGGCAGAGATTGAGATACAGCCTTGCACGATTTCGTAGTACTGATAGGACGAGCATTGGTAGTCCGGTGTTGGGACGACGGCCCAGTAGTCTGTTAATGGGCGGCAGAGCAGGAAAAGTGAAAGTTCGGTTGCGACAAATCCCAATGCAACGTAGATTGCGAGATAGTTGATCCAGCGTTTCTGCTTCAATCCCTCACTGTCGGTTGTTAGCGAAAAGAGCAAGCTTGAAATATCGAGATTCAACATACGTGATACGCGCATAGATCACCAACATGCATGCTTTCAAACTCCAGACGCAAAGAATAAAGGAATGCTCCGACACGAAGACCCATTTGCTACCGCGCACTCGTTCACCGATAATTTTATCCGTTAATGATAGCCTGTCCTCCTCGGTCATGAGATTTGACCCGCCACCAGAAGCGACTTGATTTAAAGCGACACATAGTATCGTATACCAAAGTACCGCGAAGAGCATAAGATAGTCATCGACCTGGAGATTGCGAATGCCTAAACGTCGAATACGAGCGATCCTGTCGAAGATATTTAGTCAGTGAGAGTTTATATATTGGGATATTCAATTGATACTTACCATCGCAAGGTAGCACCCAGTACGCCGACGGCATACAGAGCCCATGTTTCACGGGCGAATTCCACCGCGTACTGACCTCCTAAGCCTGACATTGCCCCTGGCCTGTTTGAATGGGTGTCAACAGGATCTAAGGGAGAAACGAGAGTTAATAGGCGCACTCACATTTTATGAAATTAGCCGGGATATGAGACGCTATGTATAGAGTTCAAAGTATTCCAAGTACCGACCTGCATCTGCATATGCCGATGGTACGACAGGGGGATGGAAATTGTGTTAGATCCTTCGAAGTATGATAGGATGTTAAGTGGTAAGATGCAGAGGATAAAAAAGCCAATCCAAAGATCACTACAACATAATCATCACCATTGGACAGTGGGGGGAAGTGTTTCCTTGGATGGGATTAGTTTGGGAAATTGATTTCGTTGCATTCGAATTTGTCCCATTTTTGTCATTGGTCCACTTTACCGTACTATGCTTAGTCTGGAATTTCCTCTCATCCCTGTACAATATAAACCCTGTAAGTTTAGCTGGTTTACAGTTTAGTAGCTCTAAACTCCTCCCCAGTTTTAGTACGCAGAGTTTTACCACTTAGATCCATACTGAACCTAGTTATTACCTACCTGCTTGACTAGGCAAGAGGACATATGAGCTCATCCGTAAATTGCTATGCCCAATCACCAAGACAAACCGTCACCTTAAGCGAAGATAGACATAGCTCTTTCTATCTGGGGGAAAGGTCCACAGTGGAGGAGCTGAGAGATCAGCCATTATCCAAGGTTCGTGAAGGAGTATTTAGGTAACTCAATATCCGTGCCCTGCATAAGTCCAAGAATATAGACCTATCGTCGCTTCGGATGAGTTTGTTGTCGGGTATCAGTTACTTCACTCGAAACCGGACGAGGACCTGCTAGATCGGGGATTGAGATATTCTGAGTTTGCCACTAGCTATAAGTGTGAAAAGTGGGGTGACCAACGACATGCATGCATGGATGAGACACGGATTGGCCACGAGTCTTTATTTTTGAGGGATTTTGGAAGTGGAGATGGAGTGGATCCTTACTCGGAACGGAACTCTCCTTAATATTTTATGGAGTGTGGGACCAGCGAGGTCTAGATATGATGTACGGAGTACTCCGTACAAAAGAAGGACTTGCATGAACGACGGAGTAGAAAATCTACGAAGTGACTGGGAAATATTGGGACACTGCTTTATATTATATTCCTAAGGTTCAAAGGATCGGAATGGTCGGAAGTATGTGTCAAAATTCCCTCTACGCTAAACTCTAGCCTGAAGGAACAAGAGGCTTTATTAATATCTTCACTGCCGACACCGTACCTTGTACTCTGTACAATATATTATGCTCCGATTAATCCCTTGCCTCCGTAATTAGTCATACGACTTATAGTAGTTACTTAGTTAATATATGTTGTAGAGGCGAAATATCGACCAGACCAGGCAGTCTACTATATCACTGTGCCCACTTGATCTGAGGCTAAAATCGGAGTCGCCTTGTCTGCGCTATCCACACTCAGCTAGCTATACTGCATACTTCCGGAGAACGTTCTGGTTCAAGGTCTTAGTGGGTATAGAGGCTGAACTAAGGCCACCCTCTAGCCCTATATAGCATGATATATATCCTATACGAGACATACCCTGGTCGCATTAGCTTGACAAACATAGATTGTTTGTGCCCACATCCAGTGCTACTTTAACTGTCTTTTTTTTTTTGTCTCACTTGCGAATAATATGTTTTCAAAATCAAAATAGGGGGAGTCTAGAAGAAAGTCTTTAGTAGTGCATACTACGTATATTGTATGTGGGCACGGAATAACATGCCATAAAATATCTCCGTTTCAACCATCCATGGATGTCTTATGTTTATGTAATGTATGGGTACTTCCTAAGGAATCCAGATGGACATCTATTTAGAGTATCGATACTCGATGAACGGCATGAAGTTAAGTGACCCGCCAGAGAGCCCCTCCTAAAAAGAGCAAGTCGATATGAAGCCTAAATCTGACGGAAATGATACCAAGGGATGGAAAATCCTTTCTGCTGAAGCTCCCCTTCTGGGTTAAGCGCAATGCAACCATGCAGGTGTAGCCGCGTTTATTAGGTAGAGTTTGAGTTTCCGTGGGAGTACAATGTCCATCCTTGCCTCCAGTTTCGCCCAATAGAAATACTGGGGCGACTCCACTATGGACTCGTTGGCCGGATGATGTGCCCCCATGAACGTTGATTGGCTAGACATTGAGAAAGTAAGGGTGGGGTCGGGAGGAAATTCATGGATTGTCGAGCCGACTTGATCGGCTTAGCCGTATGATAATATACGTTGCGCGCCTTCTGCTCTCTTCTTCTTAACATCTGTGTTCACCTCGATTCTTCCCATTTCATTCTTTAATACGCCCGGGAGGTGCATTCCTAGGAGGTGAATATCGGAACCCGTTACTCGTTATCGTCAAGGAGTATTCTGGCGTGGTTTTAGGGGAATCCCCAAAATACATCCGATATGTCTGGGAGTGAGATCAGTTATTCGCCGAAGAAGGAGGTCAGCTACGTCCCTGAGAAGGAGATCGCCCCTACGCCAGATTATACCAACGATGGCCCAGTCGATGGAGTGTTGGTCAACGCCTCAGGCCATCGCCAGGAACTTGAGCGGAACTTTGGCCTAATCAGTATCTGTGCTGTGGCTGTAACCACCGGAAACACATGGATTGCCCAAGGAGGTAGTGTCGTTACGGCTTTGAGCAACGGTGGAATTGCAGGGACTATATATGAATTGTATATCGCCCTCCCTACCAGTCTAACCCACTAAAGCTGACCCCTTATTTAGCATGGCTGTGTCTGTCTGCTACTGGTTAGTCGCCGCATCGATTGCAGAATTGGCATCGGGTATGCCCTCAGCTAGTGGTGTCTACCATTGGGCGACTATCACTGCGGGGAGCAAGTACGGTCGCGTGTGCGGATTCTACGCTGGATGGTGGAACTGCCTGGCTTGGATGCTCGGTGCGGCATCGATGTCTTTGATTCTGGCTCAGCAGACCGTGGCTATGTATGCATTAATGCATCCCGGCTTCGCGGCCTCACAATGGAACGTCTTTGTCAGCTTCCTCCTCTGCACCTGGACTTGCTGCTGCATCGTGCTGTTCATGAACCGTTTCCTCCCTTACATTGGAAACCTCGGCATGTTCTTCATTCTAGCTGGTGTGTTCGTTACCATTGTCGTATGCGCTGTGATGCCTCATGTGAACGGCTCTGGATATGCCACCGACAAGCTTGTGTGGGCAACTTGGGAAAACGGAACCGGTTATACCCAGCAAGGATTCGTCTTTGTGGCTGGTATGCTCAACGGTGCTTACAGTGTGGGCACTCCTGACTGCTCGTCTCACTTGGCCGAGGAGATTCCAAAGTCAGTTTTCTTCTTTCCCTATTCCCTCTATTATCAGTGCTGACTTGACAGGCCGAGCCGAAATATCCCCAAGGCTATTCTTGCCCAGATGGGTGTTGGTTTCGTCACTGGTATCTGCTACATGATTGCAATCTTCTATGCCATTAACGATCTCGACGCGGTGCGCGACGCGACCACCTTCTTCCCCCTGGCTGAGATCTACCGTCAAGCCACCGGCTCCCGTGGCGGCGCCCTCGGTCTCCTGATTGTCGCTTTCCTGCCCACCTTGGTTACTGCCTGCGGCTGCTACATCACCGCCGGCCGCACACTCTGGACCATTTCTCGTGACGGCGCCACTCCATTCTCGGGATGGCTTGGACGTATCAGCCTCAAGTTCAAGAACCCCTTCAACGCCACCCTGACCTGCGGTGGTTTCATCACCATCCTGGCCTGCATCTACCTTGGCTCGAGCACTGCCTTCAGCGCCTTTGTGGGATGTTTCGTGCAGTTGTCCAGTCTATCATACTTCATGGCCATTTTCCCTCACATTTTGACCCGTCGTTCGTCCTTCGTTCCCGGATACTTCTACATGAACAACAAAATTGGCTACGTCGTCAACTCCCTGGCCTGTACCTACATCATCGTCTTCGTTGTTATCTTCTGCTTCCCTTACGCTCTGCCTACTGATGCCGCGTCGATGAACTATGCCAGTCTGATGACTGGCGGTCTCTCCGTCTTCGTTACCATCTGGTGGTTCATTCACCAGGGCTCCTACGTGGGCCCGAAGCATGTCCCGTTGACCGACAAGGCCCTGGCCGACGATGCTCGGTAAACCTCGGTGGGGATGTTAGGAGGACTGTTCTGCGTATACCATTTTGCTTGGCACGGCTTTTTTCTTCGCTGCACAGCTACAAAATACTATTTTTCATGATGTGACTTAACGTTATATACACCTTTCTGTACATTTCTATTCTTGTTGGGCTTTTCCCGACTCTATACATAGATAGCTACTGTAAAAACATAATTCATGCTCATTTGTCCAACCACTTTCTTTTGAATATGCACATTTCTCATACCAGCGAGTATCAATAGCCAAATGTTCAAACCAAGTCAAGTGTTTCCTGTCACTAGACTCAGTCCTTAACACAAAAGTGATCTATTAGACCACGTGACCACGCGTCCCTCGCCCGTGTCGCGTCCCCATCCCAACGCCATCTTGATTAAGGAAAAAAAGACTAACACAGTCATGGTCTTCAAACCATTCAAGTCCCCTTTAATTAGGAATCCTGCTACATCATCCACGGACAAGCCCGACGAGCCCAGTCGTCCTGCCAAAAAGCCCCGCCTCGAAGACGAACCGGCACCGCAATCAGCCAGTCGAAAGCCGCTCCTACAAGTCAACAATCGAGGGTCAGACAGTACCACACAGTCATCACACGGCGACTCGACCAAAGATGATACATCCGACGAAAGATACTTTAATGTTCTCTGGTAGGTCCTTAGAACGCTGGTCCCTCACAAAGCGAGTACCAATTACACCGAACCAGCTAACCCAGACAGGCGCAAACCAAGCGCCAAAAAGCACAAAACATGGGACGGAGACGGAATACTCTCCACCCGCGGAGAATTTGTGTATCTACGAGACATTACCGGGAAGGAGATGGGACGGAAGATGCACGAAGCCCGGCTCGAGCCGGGAACAACACTGTCTATCTCCGGCAAAGAGGTTGAAATAGACTCTGAAATGTCTCGCAAGGAATATCTCTCCGGCAGAATGTTCTTGGAAGGCACCAAGCCAGCACCTACCTCCACACCTGACCCGGTGCCCACACCGAAGAAAGAAGCTCTCCCCGCTCGAAAGAAGGGCGAAGTACGCAAGCCTACGGCTGCTGAGCGGACACAGTCCCTCAAGCGCTCGCTGGCTCTAGTTACCAACCCCAATGCGAACCCTGGAAACGCACCGGCGTCATTTGCGGCTTATAAGGCGCCGCTGCTTGCGAATACCGTTGCTCCCAAGGCTGTTGGGAAGGTCGTTCCGCGTCATGACCCTAAGGCCGTTGGTGCGTTGGTTATGCCGCGGCCGAAGTCTGTGCCGAAGGGGAGACAGGTTGTGGATGTTGTTGTTGATCCTCTCTTGGCCAAGAACTTGCGGCCGCATCAGCGTGAGGGTGTGAAGTTCTTGTATGAGTGTGTGATGGGCATGCGGTCGTTTAATGGTGAAGGTGCCATTCTGGCGGATGACATGGGATTGGGAAAGACTTTGCAGACTATTGCGCTGCTTTGGACTCTGCTTAAGCAGAATCCTGTCTTTGAAGCACCGCCGGTAATCAAGAAGGCATTGATTGTGTGTCCTGTCACCCTTATCAATAACTGGCGGAAGGAGTTCCGCAAGTGGCTCGGCAATGAGCGCATTGGAGTTTTTGTCTTTGATGATAAGAATAAGCGTCTTACGGATTTCACCAAAGGCCGGGCTTATAGTATCATGATTGTTGGATATGAAAAGCTCAGAACGGTCCAGGAGGCTTTGGCGAATAGTTCTGGAGTCGATATCATTATCGCGGATGAAGGCCACAGGCTCAAGACATTGCAGAACAAGAGTGGTCTAGCGATCCAGTCGCTCAGCGCCGTGAAGAGAGTCATTCTGTCCGGCACGCCCATCCAAAATGATCTGAGAGAGTTCTTTGCAGCCGTGGACCTTGTTAACCCAGGGATACTGGGAAGCTTCAAGTCCTTCATTCGAGAGTTCGAGACCCCAATCGTTCGCAGCAGGCAGCCAGAAGCAACGAGAAAGGATATCGAGAAAGGAGAGTCCAGAGGTGAAGAGCTGCGAGAACTCACCTCCCAATTTATGCTCCGCCGAACAGCAGACATCTTGGCCAAATACCTCCCCCCAAAGACCGAATACGTCCTCTTCTGCAAACCAACCCGCCCTCAAGCAAACATTTACAAGGCCGTCCTCGCCTCCCCGATCTTCCAAAGCGCAATGGGCAACGCCGAAAGTGCTCTGCAGCTAATAACGATCCTCAAAAAGCTCAGCAACAGCCCTTCCCTCCTAACAGCCAAAAACAACGACAACACTCCCAACGAAACAATGACCGCCCTCATCGCCTCCATCCCCCAATCCCTCCACCGCCACCTATCCCCCTCCTCCAGCGCAAAAATCCGCGTCCTCGACCAACTACTGGACACAATGCGCGACAAAACCGACGAGAAAATAGTCCTGGTCTCAAACTACACATCAACCCTCTCTCTCCTCGCAACTCTTCTCACCTCCCTAGGCCTCCCCTACCTCCGCCTCGACGGCAGCACACCCGCCCAGAAACGGCAAGGCCTGGTAGACGACTTCAACCGCCTCCCAGCAAGCTCCTGCTTCGCCTTCCTGCTATCCGCAAAGGCAGGCGGGACAGGTCTCAACCTGATCGGGGCAAGCCGTCTCATCCTCTTCGACGTAGACTGGAACCCGGCAACGGATATCCAGGCCATGGCGCGAATCCACCGCGACGGCCAGAAACGACCTTGTCGTATCTACCGTATTCTTCTCAAGGGAAGTCTCGAGGAGAAGATCTGGCAGAGACAGGTCACCAAGCTTGGTCTTGCGGATAGTGTTATGCAGGAGAAAAGTGCCAGTAATGGTGGGGCGCAGTTCTCGGCGGCTGAGCTGAGGGATTTGTTCAGGCTTGATGAGGACAGGGCTTGTCAGACGCATGAGTTGTTGGGTTGTCGGTGTGGTGGACGAGGTGTTCAGGCTGATTCTGAGGCTTCTTCGTCTGGGGCTGTGACGCCTGCTACTGTTGATGGTGGGGGTGGGTCTGAGGTTGAGGATTTGTCGGATCCACCTTCTGACCTTGATGATGGGGATGACGATTATGATTCGGATGACTCGCTGCCGAAACCTCATACTCTTGTTAAAGCTTCTGAGGTTGATATGGAGAAGCAAGAACAGTCTATCCGTGACGGAACTTACCGTGCTAGGATGGCTGGGAAGGGGAAGAAGGGCAACAAGAAAGAGGGGGATTCTAGGACTCAAAAAGATAAGATGCACCAGTCTTTGGCTCAGTACTCGCACATTGACCCAACTCTGCTTGCTACTGAGTCCGGTTCTAATAACGCGGCTGGGGTTGGGGATGAGGAGCTTGAAGCTGCCATTGACGACGATGTGCTGGTTTCTATGCTGAAGGATGAGTGTAACTTGGTTGGGTATGTTTTTAAGAAGAGTAATGGGGCAGAAATGAGGAGTTAGACTGTTTCGTGTCTCTTAGGAATGGCCTTTGGGATGATGTATTGTGATACATGTTCATTTATTTGAACTATAATATATATACACGATTAGGATGACATACGTAAAGCGACTCAAACATGACATGCAGAGCCAAGCAATAGCGTACAAAATCAAGGGCTTCTTGCCGGAGTTATGGATCCTATACATTATGACATGTTACTATAAAATGGGGGACAGAGAAGCAAAGAGAGAAAAAAAGAGAGAGGTTGGGCACGATTGCATTATTCCACGGCCAGGATATCATTCAGCTGTCTAAATGTACAAAAGAAAAGAGCTAATAATGATTGAAGATAGGCAAAAATAAGAAGAAAAGGGAAAGTAAAAACAGAGAAAAAGCCAACAATACACCCCCCATACCCCATATCCATATCCCGTTCACACGTACACCCAATCCCAATCCCAATCCCAACATCAACTCATCGCATCACCTATCAATACCTGAGCTTGCCAACAAGCCCAAAGGTGTAAGCCGCCTCAGCCTCACTCTTCATTTGAATCATAAATATCTTGCCAGAGCCAGTAGCAACACCGCCCTTCTGCGCGATGGAGGCGTCTTCGTTCTCCTCGCGGATGGAGACTGCAATGCCCGTGCGGGCGATGCGCTCAAAGGCGTTCTCGCCCAGACAGGCGTCGAGGAGAGTCTCGCCACGTGTCTTGCCGCGGATGACGATGCGCTTCTCGGTCGAGATAGCGCCGCGCGGGGAGGCGGATCCGGATGCGGGAGGTGAAGTACCGCTGGCATTGTCGTTATCAACTTGCGGGGAGCTGCTGTCGCTGCGGCCGCTGACGCCAGTGCCGGGGCGGGAGGGGTTCTTGGGTGGTGCGGGCATGATGGTCATACGGGCGGCGCCCATGTCGCGCCACTTGGAGGCAGATTCACGTGCGTAAAGGCGAACCTTGGCGTTTGAGAGACCGATGCCGTCGGCGCCTTTGACTGCTGCGGCGATGCGGCCTATGCCCGAGTTGGATGATCGGCCGTTGCCGGAATCACCAGAGCCGGAGTAGATGCTGCCTTCGCGGCCAGTGCGGGATTCGATGGTTGAGCGGGAAATGTTGAACATTTTGCTGCTGTTGCCGAAACGTTTGAGGGCGGAGAACGCGCTGCTCATGGTTCCCACGCTGCTTTCGGATCCTTCGGCTAAAGAGCGCGGGGAGCTAGATGCGCGATAGCTCTTTCTGCGGCGGGGCCAGCCAAACAGGCCTCCGCCGGATTTGGGGGCAGGTTCAAAGGTAGAGACATGGCCGTTGAACGGGCCGCGGGCGTTTTGGAGAGCGATATATGTTGGGTTGTTGATTCTTGATTGGTTGATTAGACCATATAGGACATCACATTCGTCAGGGTTGCGTGACCGGAACATGATGTTGTTACTGGACGTGATCTTGGATCGCTCGGTGGGAGGAGAGCGAATACTGATATCGATGGCGGTGCCACGGCGAATAGGAACGAGTGGTGTCAGCTCAAGAGAGATGAGCGGCCTTGATGATACGGAATCAGAGTTCTCATCAGGCTCAGAACCTATCGCAAAGGCCTCGATCAGGCCAGGACTAACGATGATGCTACATTCCTCAAGAAGCAAAGGCTCCCAGCTACCTTTGTCGGACCAGGCATAGACGGACGCAATGGTCTTGTTGGTCTTGGTGGGCTGCAGCGGCACAGTACGGTAGCCACTCTGCGACACAGAATTTGAAGGAGAGAGAGAGCTGGCATCGGTATCGGCGTCTGGTGCTTTTGGCTTGGGAGTAACATATTCTTCGTCTTCAGATATCGAGGAGTAATCATCTTCTGAGTCGGTAAAGCCACCGGACCTTGAGTATTCGGATGATGAGTAGGAATAGTGGCGCACTGTCGAGGCGTCCGAGTCGGTTTCGGAGTAGTCTGAAGCTGTAGAGGGTTCATATTCGTGCTTCAAGGGGGAAGAGCCACGTCGTTTGAGTCCACCACTACTGGAAGTGAGAACTGGAGGAGTTGAGCGCCTGCCATTGGCAGGGCTAGGCGAGCGATGAGGCGGTGGAGGAGGAGGACTATCATCATCCTTTGGCCGTCTTCGAGACTTCCTTCTCCTAGTTCTTGTTGGTGTCTCTGGAATTTCTTGCTTGGGCAAACATTCAAGCGGAGGATAGTCTTCCTCATCTTCGGGGCCGATACTTGTCGGAGTAGAAAGGTGAGTTTGGCTGCTAGGAGTTCGGATTTTGGGAATCAATGGGAGAGTTGCTGAGGGAACAGATGAGACTCTAGGAGATTCCGGCTCGGGTTCCCTGACAGGAGTCTTCTGAGGCTGAGGAATCCTCGAACGCGACTTTTCTCTCGGTGATGCTCTGGCTGGGGACTCCTCCTTTTCGCCATAGAATCTACCCCCCGTTGGCGTACTTGGAGTTTGAGGGGAGGCAACTGCAGGTCCATTGCTTTCAGGTGCCTTATCAGAAACAACAGTTTGCTGAGAGGCAGCCTCGGAAGCTGGGCTGTCACCGTAGCGAGAAAGCCTCTTCGCCTTGGATCGTTTGAGCCCGGTGGGAGTCTTTTCCGGGCTACTTGGCGAGCTCCTGGGAGTCGTAGAAGGAAGAAGAGGTAAGTCAGGGCGAATTGGCTTTGCAGACAGCTCGGATCCTCCAGTGGTATAATCAGTCTCCCGAGTGACGATCGAGGACAAAGAACCCTCGGCATCGGTAACAGAGCTGACCGTACTTGGCTCAGACGAGTGCTCTTTGGGAGGCCACGAGCGTCGTTTAGCGATCGCCTTCTCGCCGATGGGTATATCAATATCATTTGGCCTGGGCGGAGAAGCAATGGCAGAAGGCTTTCGAGCCTTGTTCTGCTTGGCTCGGCTGATGAAGCTTTGGCTTCGACAAATTGATGGCGGAATAGGGTCAGATCCGAGCAATGAGACCCACTCAGCCCCAACTTCTTCTTCGTCAATGCGGAGCGAGATCAATTCTTGCCAGTACTTGGTTTCATCTCCGGGAGCACTGCGCAGCATGATCACGATCTCATGCTTCGATTCTCCCTTGCGGGCTGAAACACACCTTAGGTCCATGGGAGGGAACAGAAGCCAGCGATCTGAATGATCAATTTCACAAATCAAAAGATCACCTCCAGGCCCTTTGCTCGAGGCATTGTCGCGATATAAAAGCTCGGCTCGACAATCCACAAGTTGTCCACTTGAGTGATACAGAGATAGATTAAAGAAATCGCGAGCACGCACATGGCGAGTCTGATCGATGCCGATCCCGTGGAGGACGCCTAAGGTCATCGGGTCTCTCGTGCGTGTCGGGTCGATACTGGCAGCAGAGTCATCTTCCAATCTCGCTCTTTCATCTCGGACGCGTTTTCGGGCATCGATAACAAGACTTTGATAGGCGGCAGCGGTTTCTTCAGCTTTTGGGGATGGTTCCAGCACATTGATACCCTTGAAACTCTTTGCCAAGTACTTAAGACGTACTAATGGCCGCTTCAGCAGATAGGCCACATCGACCTTTTCCCCGTCGCTGTCTACGATGTCGCCGTTTTCATCTCGCTCCAAGCCTTCATCCAGGCTCTTCGTGTCGGCATTGTTGGTGAGTTCATCTTCTTCCAAAGGAGCCAGGTTGACAATGACATCTTTGAATCCAAGGCGCCACGCCTTTAAGTACTCGCGGTAGACCCTCTGGGCACCTTGCGCCCATGTAAGCAATGCATCCGCGTTGTCCTGCGGGATCCGCTTGTGCAGGTTCTTGAGGCGCTCAATCGCCACTCCCATGTTAACAATTGGCTTGGAGAAGTTCACGTCGTCTTGAGGGTCCAAAGACGGTCGAAACAGGCCTGCAGCAATGGCCGAATCAGAGCGGGACAACACGCAAGTCAGGAGGACCGGAATTACACCCCCGACCAGGGTTTTCAGCTCGCGCATATACTTCGTCTCGTCACCCGAAAGCTCATAGAGCAAATCGTCAACTGTCGCGTGGGCCAGGCGGCTTTTGTTGGTGCGAATACTCCGATTCGAGCGGGTGCTTCTGCTCCGTGAAGCCGAAACAGATAGCACAGACATGAGGTCATTGTGGGTGGTAAGCCGTCTTTTCAGTTGCGAGGAGACCACAGGGAGCGAGTCTGGGTCGAAGTGGTCATCCTTTTCTGCTTCTTCTGCCTCCTCGGCAAGTTTCGATTTAGGCTTCTCGGTGGGGGTAGACTTCGGTACGTGCTCAGTTCCATCTGTTAGAGTGGTGCTCAAGGTTTCCGTAGAAGCAATCGTTGATAAGCGATGGTATCCGGTGGCCGGGAATGGCTTCTTACGGCCAAGCGGTACAGGTGGGTTGAGTCCCGATACTTCAGAGCCGCCGTCGGAAAATGGCCGTAAATCGGACTCTGAGAGTGCGAGACTATCCTCACAAGGCTTGTCTTCGACATGATGGTCCTCTTTGCTCTTGACAGATGATTTGGAACTCCTATCTATGCTAGCCCGCTTCGATTCTGGGGCTATCTCGCGATCTTGTGCCTTTGGTGTTTTGTCGATTGAAGAAGAGCTGTCCCTTCCCTTGGAATGCCTACTCACAGCGCTCTTTGGGCGTGACTCTGAGCTCTTCGGGCGCTCGGTGACCGTCGATGGCTCGGATTCGGTCCCAGGTTGTAGCTCTTCGTCTGCAAGTTTTTGAGATCGCCTGGCTCGGCCTGATTTCAGATCCAGAGGAGCTGGCATATCACTCTTAGATTCGGCTTCATCCAGAAAAGGATCCGGGGTGTCAGAAAGCCATGCCTCGATTTTGGCTCCACGACCCGTAGTCGGCGTAGGTGTAGGTCTCGGCGGTTCGGGTTCGGGTATGCCAAACATTTTTCTGGATTCGTCGATCATGTGTGCGAATATACCACCTTTGGGAGGCTTTGCTGGGCCGCGCTTGCGTCTCCTCGACAGCTCAGAGAAATCCGCCTCGCTTGCTGCCCATGCATCCTCAGGAGGAGGGGAGCGCGTCCTGAGTCTGTCCGAGAGCTCCGAAGGTTCCACAGATCCGGGATGGTCCGTCTCATAGTCGCTCTCGGTGATAGTATCGATGTTCTGTCGTGCACCCGCGGACTTGGTTTCTCGGGTAGGAGATTTAGACCTCCCCCCGGTAGCTCGTTTTGCCTGAGATCGAGGAGGATCGCGACCTTTCTCATCTTCATGTTCGCTATTGTCGTGTTTCCCCCATGAAGACCTAGACTGCCTTTCATTTGTGGTATATTCGGCTATGCGCTTAGGTGGAGGTAGGTTGCGCGACGAGGACTGGGTTGAGGCTCGATTTCGCGTACGTTTCCAATGTTCGTCGCTTACCACACGTTTGCGGGGTGTACTGTGACTGCGCTTCCTTGTGGTCGGGGGTTTGTCCTTGTTCGGCTTTTCCAGCTTCTCCAGCTTGTCCAGCTTCCCGACCTTGACCTTAGCAGGCTTTGGTTTCGGCTTCGCATCATTTTCCTCGTCATCGGCATAGGGGTCGTCGACCGTTACAACCCCGCCACCTTGTTGTTGCCATTTTCGCACTCTCGAGCGCACCGTGTTCGTGTCGTGCACCCCTAGCGGCTCTCCGATGTCCAGCGGTTTTGACGTGGATTTTGCAGTTCCTCCACGATTGGAGGGACGTTGTGTCGTCGCAGGAGATGGCATCGGTACCTATAGAGCAAAACAGAAGCCAACATTTAGTAGGGAGCTCTCTCAAGGTTTTGTTGTCAAAGCAGGTACCCGAAAAAACACGGGGGCTTGTCGACTTCGACGCAGTAGTTTGTACTTACCAAAGCCCCCAAAGCTCTTTAACAAATTTGGAGCATTTGCTTTTTCGACGATCTCAGGGAAATCCTTCAGGGATCATAAACAATGCGTCAGATCCGCTGGAAGGTTGACCAGCGATAAGCCTCCCCCTCCCGCACTAAATTCAAATGTTGTCCGGGAAACCAGATTGGATCAACCAGGTCTCTATATTGGGGGAAGTTCTTATTAAAGGGTTCCCCGTGATATGATCTGGTGAGTATTAAAGATGATCTCTGAAAATAAAAAAGAAATCACTTTTGGAGAGACAGCTAATGTCGGTTGCGCGTCAGGTGGCCCCCTGTGAGCGTCATAGGGTACTTTAGGGGAGATATTAAATCTATCACCTGTTAAATCTCGGATTCATATTATTTGATCATGTAGGGCTATCATATCCTACATATTATACATTGACCAATTTCCCCCAACCCTCGCATCTCTCGAATTCCCTTAATATTTCGCGCCAACACAGTTCTAGCCCGATGCTCCACTCCCTCGACCCGCCACTATACTAATGACGAAAGAGGTATTACTTAGTCTTTTCCTTTTCCGAGCGTTTGAGTGCAGCCGAGATGGTAGAAATGCTCTGATAGAGATAGTCTATTATACAAAGTCAGCATATAATGGAGATCCCTGGGAATTGCACATACACGCCGGGACAACAATCCAGATGAAGTTCATCAAGAAGTAATACAGCCAAAAATAATACGGCTCCGGTCGGGAATAGGGTCGCCCGTGGACATACTCGTCAAACAAACTGGTCGCATAATACAGCATGTCGCCGTACAGATGGCTCATGCACACAATTACCTGGATGGGGTGGCGTAGGGAATGCCTGGTTGCGGTCAAGTATGCAACAACAAAGCACAATGGTCCCCACAAGAGCTTTGTGGGAATCAGCGGTGAATCCTGTTGGCCTTGTGTATAGTTGTGGGACTCACCACGGTCATTGTCTCCATACATAACACCAACGTGTCCGAGGTCATATACCGGGAATCCGATAGAGCATATTCTTTCCATAGTTGCCCAAAAAGATCTTGGGCAGAAGCCATGTGGTTATGGTGGACCATGAAATAACCCTCGAAGAAGCAGTGCAAAGTTCCAGCTATATCTCCATTGTCAATATTCAACCCTCAAATTGATCTTTTCTTAATTGGCGTCTTACAGAGCACGAACCACAATATGGTGATTCGATCCGCCATGCGCAGCGTCGGTTTCACATAGCTGGCCAACGCAAAAGTCACACTAAGAAGAACAGCACACGCCCCACCAGCAGAGACGAGAAGCTGTAACACTGGGGCCTGGTTGGGCTCATAACCCACAACATTGGCATCGAGGGGGTAGTATGGGTGGGATGGAGGACTGGGCATGTTTGCAGTACCCCTGAGAGTGTTGAACCTGGTATAGACTGTTAATGTCACTGGCCCAGAAAAGCACAGAAAAATAGAGAAAGATCAATGGAAAATGAGACAACGGGACGCTCGCTTGGCTTTTTGTGAAGGTGGATTTGAGTTCGGCCAATAACAAGCTTAACTGGATCTACAAATGAAGCCTCGATTTAAAAAGAGAAGACGATTAGTGATTAAATTAATCAAATTCAAAGAACTGGTGATACAAGCTTGAAATGCTTGCGTCTTGTGTTTGTCTTTCAGAATTATTTTCGAGTATTTGCCTGCCTCAGGCGTCAATATAACATATATTGACGCCTGAGGCATGAGATTCCTTCGCCCGTGTACTTTCTCTCTTCTCTCTTTCGCGATAACCTCTCATGGTTGCATGTTCTACCCAGTCAATCTTTCTTAAATCTTAGCCACAGCATGTTAACTCTCTCCAGCAGGATGGACTCTGATCGCTCCTGGTTTCGAGGACCCCGACCCTACGCCATTTCGTTTGATCTCCCCGCCCCTCCGGAATGGGACGGTGATACTTCAAGCTGGGCGTGTTAGATGAGAGGCTATTTGTGTTTATGAGGCTTTAGTCCATTAAAGATCCGTGGGCGACTAACGGCAATATCCTCGTCAGAATACGTACTTGGAGATTTCTTGAGCCGTGAGCTCAACACGCAGTCGGAAGCCGTGAACATACTCCACGCATATGTTTTCGCAGTGTGAGAGTCTCTATGGGTCGAACCATCAGTATAGGGCCTTCGCATTGGCCTCGCTAGCTGATTGCTATTCTCTGAGCGAGGATTTGATAAGCAGCTGACTGTCTCCGAGAGCACTCGCGACCAAACAACGTAGGCAGAGTGCAAATTGCAAATATAACCTCCTGGATTACTACGCCCGGAAAGGTCAAGACGAGGAGACATTGACATACTTCCGGAATGATGTGAAATATGTGATCATGGAGTACGGCACCCACAACATATCCTTTCTAGAACAATTCTTGCTTTGGAAATCACTTGTGGGTTGGGATTGGGAGGAGGCACAGCTAATTATAAATAAGCTCAGATGCCTTCTCGGGAACTTGGACTTGAAAATGAGGCAGGGCCCGTATGGTTGGAGGAATTGAAAAAGTCCGTGGATGACTTCTCTGTTCTCCGAAAGTGGCGATTGGGAAAAGAGAAGTTGAAGACAAGAGGCGAAGGCAACACTGCAAAGCCCTGGGAAAACCCCTTCCCTACCGACCCTTTCCGGTTCGTAGGACAGAGAAAGGGAGCTCCTAAAGTAAGGCGCGAATGAATGTGCACCTTTTCCTGTTTTTCTTTTCCTTTTTTCCTTTTTTCCTTTTCATGTTTTCAATCTCGGATATACCCATGTTCCTAGTGAGTTGATAGTTCTATTTGCAATTCATGCCGGTTCTATAAACATTTGTGATGCTCACTCCTCATCCAAATATGTATTGTCGATGACAACCCTTGCATCCTGCAGGTTCAATTCATCCGAATTCCCATGCTCGACCAACACTACTAGGGCCCGATAGTCCTCTAGCTCGACTGCCGTGTTTACCATATCCTGTGAGAGTTCAATATCGATCCCGTTGTCGAAGAAAACCTTCAAAAGCCGTCCCCGGCCTGCTTTTAAGGCATCCATTACAAGTTCATTGGTCACTTCAATGTCAAACTCGCTCTGAAGGATGTATTCCAGAACAAGCACAGATAACCAATCCCCCGGGCTCTCTTTTGCTGTCATCACCGCTTCCAGAAGATCATGGCACGTTTTGGAATCTTTGACCCGAGAAAAGAGAAACTCAACATGCGCGGATCTCCAAATATAAGGATCGGCAGCATTTAGAAATATCTCAGGACACACTTCGATGTGTGGTGCAAAGTCCCAAAGCACCTTGAGCATGTCAATGCTACAACCGAAATTTCCCGACGCCGCAATCAGAATATCTTCGGTAACAACAGCGTTCTTTAATTTCAAAAGATGCTTCATCACTTCTAAGCTCCCCTTCGCCGCAGCGGCTAATAGAACAGATGGCGTGGCCTCGGTTATTGAACATCGATCCAATACTAAGGTCAGCATAGACTGGTTCCCAGACTCAGCCGCAGTCTTCACATTCGCCTCGCAGAGCTCAAGCTGCCCAAAATAGCTCTCCAGCATCTGCAGTGTTCCATAACCTGAATACCGATTACCAATGACTGCGTCAACAACCATGGAGGATGGTTTCTCAATGGTTGTTGCAGTTCGCTGCAATAGAAGCTTTGTCATTTCATCTCCGAACTGACCATTCTGAGCAGCTCCAAGTAGCATCTGGCTCGAAATATTCGTCGAGCCGTGTCGGTCGAGAAGTTTCGATATGGTTTTATCGAAGTCCAACCTTTTTAATGCGTTCACGATCACCGCATCGGTAACCTGCATCTCTCGGTTGTCCTCAAGAATGACATCCAGTGTGATGTTCCCTTTGACGGGATTTTCCGTAAAAGCGATCAAAACCTCTTCTGAAACCTTCAGACCAGGTTTCATTTCCAGGAGCGCTTGAAGGGTTTCCGGATTTCCCCATGTATTCTGAGCGCATTTCAGCATCATCTGGACCCACAATTGATCGTCTAATGGTCGGTCCATCAAGGATACAAGGAGCTTGACCATTCGAGACCCGTCATGAATATTCTTTGCTCCACCAACTATAACTTCGGTCGTAATTACGCCTCCAGCGTTGAGAAGGAGCTCGAAAGGAGTGGCTCTTCCCCATGCCGCAGCTTTCACCATAACCTTTTCTGTCACCGGGCAACCGTGATCAAGAAGAATCTGAATCACCTCAGAGTTTCCGTTATTGGTAATGGTTTGCAACATAACTCTCTCGGTCCATTTGATCTCACCAGCGCGTTCCAACAAAAGCTCTATCTTGGCTCGCATTCCTTCTGAAAAATCCGCGTAGTAGCTAGCCAATCCGATAGTGTCACATGTAATGATCGATCCATCGTTCTTGTCAAGGATTTCTCTCAGACGTTCAATGGGTATCTCGTACATAGCGTTCTTGAGCATCGCAGACGTGATTACGACGTCGGGGGCTCTGCTGAGAAGTGCTTCAATCGTCGTGTACGAACTGCATTGTTCAATGAGCTCCGTCGTAATGTGTAGATTTGTATTATGATCAAGCAACAGCTCGACTATTTCCGTATCTGCCCCTACTTGCCCCGCTTCCACGATGGTCGATCCGGTAATCAGGTCAGGCTCGGCGAGAGTCAAGAACCATTTGAGCGGCTCAATGTCATCGTTTCGGACTAGAGCACTCAAAATGCGCTTTTGCAATAATGGGACTTTTGCTTTCCCCATCAAATACTTCAAGATATGATACTCGCCGTGTATCGTGGCTGCCAGAATGCATGCTTCTTTGACGTCATCATCGAGCTCATTATACTGATCGATGCGAAGAACTTCACCGAAGCCGAAGACACAGGAAAGCAGAAATGCCCGGTCCAGGGATCGATGGTAATTTCGCAGTAGCCCAAGGAGGTGCGATCCGTCTATGGTTTCCATTTTGCGGCGCTGACGAGAACGTACCCAACACTTTAGTGGACAGTTTGGATCCGAATCGTCAAAGAGAAAATAGCGCAGGAGGTGAAAGAGGTGTAGTTCCTCGTCTAATCGATGTACCTCGCCAGCATGCACACAGTGTACGTACCAATTTCGCAAGGAGTAGTCATGTATGCCTTTCCTGTAAGAGTCGATCTCTGACAAAGTTACGGTACCTTCATCACTGAGGCCTAGCCTGCCGAGGAATTCTTCTGCACTGGGCGATCCGGAAGCTCCGAGCAATTTTAACAAGCACACCTCCGCGGCAAAGGTGTTGCTAACTTCGGCGGAGTATTCGGGCTTATTTTCTAAAAACTCCCGCACCGACAGATGGGCGAAGCGGAAGGTCTGGTTTCCTTCTTGGGTTGTTTGAGAGATCACGAAATTGCTGAGAAGATCCAAGATGAAGTCTTCATCGATCTCGTGTATCTTGATGTCCGAAAAGCTTGTAATAGCTTGGGAGAAGTCTTCCCAGCCGAAAACCCGCCTCGTGCATAACATCCATCTCAACGTGTTTCGGAACAAAGCACGGTCTGTTTCTTCGGTGTTTTCAAGTGCCTTCGTGTAGAGGTCCTCGTATAGCTCGCTGAGTTGGCGCGGGATCTTCGACATAGCAAATCGAATGTCCCTCTCAGTACGAATCCACCGAAGACTCTGCAGCTGCAACTGAGCCCAACGAAACCTGAACCTGTAAGCTTTTGCGTAGAAGACCCGGAAATATTCCAACTCACATCCCGTTAGCCTTGGAAATAGTATCTTCCTTGATCAACGCCTTCAAATCTTCTTTTGTCGCTTGGACTCGGATAGAGGCAAGTAGCTGGTTCTTTGCAGCAAGCCTGTCCGTTTCAAAATTCACAAATTTCTCGATATCGGCCCCATTCTCTACCCACGTCACCTGAACCCCGGAATGCGCCTGGATAGATAACCTCAAGTCGCCCTCTTCGCGTGAGGTGACAAAGACCTTGATGAGGCTAGGCGAGTTGTCGATAATATACTCCAGTGCCTCGACGAGCTCCGCTCGCTCCTCCCTACCACACTCATCCAGAGCGTCTATCACAATAGTGTTGCGGGAATAGGCTTCGGTGAGTTCAATAATTAGATCACGGCATTCCCACAGAGTAGGAGCTCTCATTGAACCATCTGCTAGGTGTATTTTCCTGTAAAGAGAAAGTGTTGGGGGGGCAAGGGGCTGGTTTGAAGATGGGCTGGAAAGCTGACGCGCAATACACCCGAGAATACTCTGTGCATTTGCACGTTGGGGCTCGGCAGTGTTGCGAGAACAATAAAAGTAGGCATGAGCGAAGTTTTGAATCTGGCTGGAGTCATTCATGCCATCATCAATGACCATCGATGCTAAGCAGCTTTTTCCCGCACCCTGAGCACCATGAAGCCAGAGCAGGGAGTTTGTGCTTTCACGTTTCCATTCGGTGAAACTTGCATGTTGCAGAACCCATCGGCATGTTCCATCCAGGACCCGAAATTTGATCGTGGTGTGGTGGTCAAGATATGGCTGAGTAGACAACCAGTCCAACATCTGTCGTCGCTGTAGGCCTGAATATGTGTCAGATTGCTCCGATCGGCTAAGCAGGGAAACTTACTGTCCAAATGATCCTCAACCTTGTTCATGTGGAAGAACACCTGTGAGATTGGCTGTTCGATCCGACTGAGTGTATCTCGCAGTGAATGAAAGGTTGTCATCTCTACAGCATAATCAGTGGCGGGCATGTCGGCTCGTGATTTGAGTCGTCTCCTTACCTAACGACAATGTTGCAAGATGAGAGACCATATCCTTGTTTACTATCATGATTTATCATTCAGCCATGCGGACCGAACAAAAAAAGAGTGCAATACTTACTCTCAGCTTGAACCAAGCTAGCGCACCGATCCACCCATCTCTCGCCCGCTTCCATTTTGTCCAAAAGTTCCTGGAAGTCATCCTGGCCAAGAAGCCCGCTTCTCAACAGTCGCACTAGAAGTTGTGAGCTTGACCCAGCTACAATCGAACTTGGCAATATGAACTCACCTCCTGTTCGCTGTTCAAAATAGCGCTTGGCCCCGACAAGATATTTGAGGATCGAGCCATACACGCTCACAACCGCCTGCTCAAGCTGTTCCGAAGCAGCTGAGCCTTTTTGAATGTAAATTTGCTCGATAATCCTATACCTTGCCGTCATTTTGGCGATTCTTTCGGCCCCTTGCACAACGAAATCGAATTTGCTGAAGTCGTTGATAGCAATCTGCAACAAGAATCGAGCTCCGGCCCACGGTAAGGCAGCATGGCCAGGGTCATACTGCACAACTTGATCGCCCACTGATTTGAATAGTTCAATCCAGTGCACGACTTTATTCAGTAGGTCACGAATTATAATTTTCTTCCCTGTTCCCGGAATGGTGATTTTCCATCTCTTCCGGATGCATGTATCGTATGCTTCCCGAGTCGTTTGCTCGAGACTCTCCAATATATCAAGCTCACTTTTTCCAGCTTCCTTGATACCATTGTCGCTGTCGAAGGCGAGCAGCTTCTGGTCAGCGTTGTCCAGTTTGGCTTTCGCAACCATCCAAAGCGACTGGATATTGACGCACATGATTCCTTTGCCATCAATACACGTTTTAATTAGAGCCGGTAATGGGTAGAGGCGGATCAGCCGAGGTCAGAATGAAGCTCACGTTGGAATAAGAAAGAAAGAGGACTAGCGTCCACGGACCTCTGGAGGGGTTCCAAGGTTGACCCCGCTCTTAGGTGAGCTAAGGCACTCTGAATACATGGATGGTATGTACACAGCGCAATTCAAAATCAACTACCATTTGATTCAAAGCCTGCCTAGCGTTTTGAAGTATCTTTTCAGATTATACTCTGTATAGCTATGTGAAAGTGCTAAACACTGCAGGAGACTCAACGTGACGCTATGTCAAGTTTCGAACTCTCCAAAAATGTCAGCTTGCCTCAAAACCACTTTCTTTTCAGCAACTCGATCCTCATGAAAGTCCCAACGTCTGTAAAATTAGTGTTGGTTACCAATGTTTCGGAAAGGTCAGGAGTGATTCATGCTTACTGTTCTGTGCCTCCAACAGACCCAGCGGATCCTGTGCAGGCTGGATGGTCTTCTTTTTGTCCAACCCAATCATCATGATCTTCCCGATGCTAGGCACGCCATCCTTGTCCATAACAAACAGCATCCAGTATCCAGGGATGAGAATACCCGAATCATTTGGCAGGGTAGTCCTCCAGGTACTGCGGAAGAATGATGTAGGTCTAATATCGAGTGGAATGCGGCGTTGATCAGTGTTGACAGTGTGGGTGGCGGTTCCCAGACGGATCAGGGATGCTGACGAGATAAGGCCGGAGGTTTTGAATCTCAGGGTGCTACCCACCACGGCATAATCTTCCAGCCCGGAGAGGATCTCAGGACGAGGCCGAGGCTCACCTGAAGCAGTAAGGAGGTAAGGAGGGGTAAAGATCTGGCCGTCATAGTGGTTGGCTGTGCAATTGCCGCAGAGTCCACCACCTGCGTTCAGCACACGGCCATCGGGGAGGAGGATTGACACGGTATGGTATACTCTCACAACATTGTTCTGCTGTAACTCCGTGAAAGTGTTCGTTTTAGGGTCATAGATTTCCGGAACAAATTGGACGGTTTCCTCATTAAATGCAACACCGTACTGCTGGCCGCCAAAGATGGCCACTTTTCCATCGGGGAGAACAACCGTAGTGTGGAATACACGCTCACGGTGCATGGTGCCTCGTCCGGCCGGTTCAACCTTCGGCTCCTCACCTGGTTCGCCGATCGTGATAATGTGGGCTGCGTTGGTGGACCACGATTTATCATAGTCAGGAGAACCACCCAGCGTGAGGATCTTTCCCTTCACGGCATCGAACATGATTGCGTTACCAGACATGGAATCCTCATCTTCCATACGAAGTCCTGCTGCCTTAACACTTCCATTGCCATGGGCGGAGTACCAGTTCATCTGTTTGCTAGGCCCAGCTTGGAAGATACTCTGATCCTTCCAGCCGAAGAGCCAGCCATGGTTGTCCGCTCGCCAAGCACCTTCCATATCCTTGGTCAACATCGGGCGGACCTTTGCGTCAGGAAGCATAGTCCAGTTTCGGGTAGCAGGGTCGTAGACTTCGGCATCTTTGTCAACGTTCGAAGCTCCAGCCCATGAACCCCCAATGACAAAGACACGTCCGTCGGAGAGAGTTGTGGACGCCTGGTATCCACGACGGAGCTTCATTTCGGTTGCGCTGATCCATTCGTCATTGACAGAATCATAGAGACTAGTCTCCGAGGCATCATTGCCACCAGTCACAACCATCATGCCAGTGCCGTCATAAGAAATTCCGGGGCAGAACATGTCGTGATGGGTGTTGGTGACAGTGCGTTTAGTGACCTCGCCGGTCAATGGGTTCCATCGGGTCATGACGGTCTTTCCTCCCGGCGTCGAGTGGAATTGGTCATCGGCCCACGACGACCAAAGGGCAAGCATGCCAGATCCCTCCTGAGCACCGGAGACAGGCACAATAGGGAAATCAAGAGTTGGTCCCCAGACACCGAGAGCAGGGTCACGAGGAATAGTGTACAGAGTTCCATAAATGTTCAGTTCCGCAATACCGACCCAGGGATTTTCCTCGTCGGCGTCGGTCGTGATCCTCAAGTATCGGGTAGAGGAGGGTTCAAACGCGGACATTCGCTGTCTGTTTGTACTGGGCCACATTCCATATGCAACAGGGCCCGTCCAGGTTTCATGATCTGCGCTGACCCAAATCTTGTGCTGGGTAATGAGGCCTTCCGTGTCCGTATCAACTGGAGGAAGGACAACGACGGCGCCCACTTGGTACCAGGCCCCAAGATCAACAATGAAAGTATGTCCCTTGTCGGAGGGGTCGCTGCGCCAGGCAGTAGCACTCTTGCCATCGATGGCATTTTTGCATGGGTAGCCATGAACGGAGCTGCTGCATATCACTTTCCAGTCCTGACGGGGGATTCGATGGCCTTGATATGGAGGAGATTCATCTTTAAACTCCGGTACCCAGGAAGGTTTGTCGGTTTTGCCATAGCCGGAAACACGCTCTCCTCTCATGGCTTCATGCATGTATTTGCCCATGGCATTGACTCCCCCAATGGAAGCCCCCAAGAGGAGGCCGGCCCATTGAAGCTTCATCTTGGGGAAAATTTATCGAGCGTGAAGAGAGTGTGAAGGAGAAGGGGAAAGAGAAGCTCACTTCACCTGTACAACAAGAAACTCTTGACGTGATTAAGGCTACATATAAGTGCAGCACTCGGCATACTTCGCCTCGGGCGCAGCGCCACTGCCATTCAGGATGCAATTGACTTTCCAGCACGGAGTAAATCGGCAATAGCCCAGGCCAATATTACGCACACTATGACAGCTTAGACCGATCCCTTGAGGGGCAGGTGGAGCTGCTTTCCACCAGTCAACTGTCTATCTCGGCATTGCTGAAGATCCACAAGAGAGATCGACGTCAGTGAGTGTCTGGGCCCACCTTGCGTAGTACGACGTGAGTGGGTACTCCTTTTGAGATCGGTGAAGAAAAGTCCCAAAAATCAGACCCGATCGGCGACGCTCGGGGACAGATCAAAGATCGGCGTCTCCTGCAGAAGACACGGCATGCAAGCCCACTCCAAGCTAGATAGGTAGTTCAGCTGTGCGAGGTTATTCCTAGCCTGCATATTGGATGCGGGGTTTTCCAAGGTTGTACGGCCCTTGGCGTCACGGTTCGGTAATTGAAGGTTGACCAATTGGCAATTGCTGATTTTGTGCTGCAAGACTACTGCATGTCGATCATGGGTGAAAAAAGAACCTCGAGATGCGATGGCGCATGTCCTCGGGTAGATAGTTCGTGCTAGCGGAAATTGGGTGGAGCCCGGCCCGCTTCCGCTGAGACACCCATGGATTCATGATGCGCTAATCTTGAGCAAATCTATGTTGTACTCTCTTAATTGTAACATCACGTAGGTGGAAGACCACGTTCAGCTGAGTATCTATTCATTGGTATGATCGGTGCTATTCTACCCTATGTACTCCGTACTAGCTTTTTGCAGATATGAGTTACCGTTGCACTAACTATGGACCCACAATTTGTCAAATGGAAAGTGGCAAGCTGAAAGCTATCTGCTCCACATCCCTCACTTCATGATTTTCCTGCGATTATTTCAGACTGCTGGGTCGGCACGCCCTGCATAGGGTGTTACATCCATACCCGAACAATTGATCGTCATGACTTATTCCATTCCCTCTTATTGACTAGAATGTTGAGTTGACACCCCCCATCATTCAGATGCATTTAGGTAGATCATGGCCAAAGCATAGAGATCTGTGCGACGTACATTGATGTGCATCTTACATTGCCAGATATGGATATTGGGAGGTCTCCACTACCGCAGCCAGTGCGTACGTATGTACTCCGTACTGCCCAGGTGTGTTATACTACTCCGTACTCCGTCGGGAACCGTGATCTTCGTGTTATTCTAACATGTGTGATCTTATTTGCTTAAAGGCGACCCACCAGTCAATTGTCGCTGGCAAGTGCGCTACTTTGCATGTCGATCTCTGCTATCGGAAAGAACGCGACCTATGACCCTCTCTGTATTAGGAATCCCCTCTGTTCGTACCCTGTGGGGCAATAGGTTCGCAAACTCAAGACAATAGTTGTCAGTGCGTAATATGGAGTATGGCCTTCCTCTCTTGCTCCAGATATGCCCGTGTAGCTGAATGTGGCTGTAATGGATTATTGCTATTGGAGCTGTGTCGAATGTGCCCCATATCTACGCCGTAATGGGCGATCTTATCCTGTAGCTGAATGCGGTTCAATCGCAGACCTGTCCTGGCCCGCCTCCTTCCTTTGCTTTTTTGTTCAAAAATGTAATTAGTGTTGGTTCGGCGTGCCTCTTTCTCATATAATTATCCCATCCCCTCCAGTCAGCCCTTGTGGTTCGACAGTAGCCTTCATTGACATTGGATCGTACACTCTTGAAGAGTCTAACTTTCCATTATGAGTCTTACTTCAGCCATCAAGGCAAATATCCAGGGAGATGTTTGGTAAGTCTTCCATGCTGCCGAATGTTTATATATCAACATGGCCTTCCAAAATACTCATGTGCCTCAGGCCCGGTCTTCCCAAAAGATTTCAAACCTTTCTCTTCTTTCGCGTACGAAACCAGGTTGATTTCAAGAACCGACTGAAGACTTTCATTCCCAAGATCACCACGGCTCAAGATGCCTGTGAGATGGGCGCGACCATTAAGCAGGCCAAGAAGGAGGCTGAACTGGCAAAGAGATCCGCTAAGCTCCAGGGTTTACCAGGAATCAACATTGCCTTTACCTCAACCGGCCTTGAAGCAGTAAGTAATCATCCCAACTGTCCTCACTTGTATTGAGAAAATTCTGATAATTGAACACGTAGCTTGGAGCATTTGTGAGTGTCAGTGATCAGAAGCTCGTCAAAAAGGACAGAGAGCTATCTAAAATCTTCCGCCAAAAACAACTCCGTGATGGACTGTTCGAAAAGGGCATGTATGCGGATCTTGTGGGCGAGGGGTGGGACAACCCCCAGGAGCTTCGAAAAGAATACCAGCCCACCAAGGATAATGAAAGACTTATTGATGGTGTGATTATGGTGACCGCAAGCGTGAAGCGTGATTTGGATACCAAGATCAGCGAGGTGAAGCAACATTTCCTGGCCGAGGAGGGAGAACCTCTCAACCCAGATACCTATGTCCTCAGTAGGGACCCTTCTATAGAGTTGACCCTGGTCAGGGAAGGAAAAGTTCGCCCAGGTGCTATGAAGGGGAAAGAGCAGTAAGTACTTACCGAACGCCTGCGAGTCTTTACGGGCCAAACTTACCTTTTCATTCAGCTTTGGATTCAAGGATGGAATCAGTCAGCCTATACTTGAGGGCTGGGATGAAAGACAACCCGTGGGAAAGGAACCCAAAGCCACCAAGCCAGGGTAAATGTGCTCACTGCGGTTGGATGAAAGAACCTCACGCTGATGAAATGCAGATTGATTGTTTGCGGGCATGAGGGCGACAAACTGGACCAACCATCATGGGCCAAAGATGGCAGTTTCCTTGTTTTCCGTGACCTCCAGCAACTTGTTCCTGAATTTGACGAGTGAGTGAACCCTGATTTGTTTAATCGATTCCTATCTGGTATTGACCAGGTCTATAGGTTCATGCAGGAAAATGCGAAGCACGCGCCTTTCACTCAAAACCATCCCAAGCCAGCCGAAAAGCTTGCTGCGTACTTGATGGGAAGATGGAAGAACGGTTCGTTCCAAATTAAAACTGCTGAAGATTTGCGCGAAAATTTGCTGATTGGATCAATATCAAGGAACCCCTGTGGATGAATCTCCTCATGATGACTCTGATGAAAGCCTCTTCTCATCGAACAACTTTGATTACCACCCTGTGGAGGAGCACAACAAGTGCCCCTTTGCGGCACACACCCGCAAAATGAGACCACGAGCTGACTTGGAACACGACCATGCTGTTATTGTTCGTCGTGGCATTCCGTATGGCGAGGAAGTCTCGGCCGAAGAAATGACAGATGGAAAGTCGTCTGAGGAAAAGGAACGTGGGCTTCTGTTTGTCTGCTACCAGAGCGATATCCGAAATGGATTCAACTTTTTGACTACCCGTAAGAACTCAGAACTTGAACCCATGCATAATGTGTGATAAAGCGCCCGTCGCTAACATCTGATTTTCCCAGGCTGGGCGAGCAACCACCACTTCCCCGACCGCAAGACCAACTTCGTGGGTGATGATGGTCCGGGTATTGATGCGATTGTGGGCCAGCGAAAGGACCATCACCCGCCTCGCTCTATCGGTCTTCCTGATGGCAAATATCCCACCGAGGCGCGCATGCCGCTGGAAAGCTGGGTCATTCAAAGGGGAGGCGATTACTTCTTCGTGCCTTCTATCTCAACATTGAACAATGAACTGACGGGTCCCGGAATCTTTGACCAGGAGAAATTGGAGCGCCTCCGTGAAGAGGACGCCTAATTATCGGGGACGGAAAGGCTATCTCTATGCTAGATATCGTGTTACACACTTTTCAAGCTTTTTGATATAATCAACAGGTCCTCTGGACGTCTCATAGACTGTCGGAGAACATAAATTTCTGTTTTTTTGTAAGATATAGTTGCCCTGTTTGATATAGCGCCTGTCATTGTTTATAAAGCACTAGAAATGTTTTGAAAATCAATTGATCGTTCAGCGAAGCCTAAACGAAACAAGCCACCACATCCAATGCAGTGTTATGTTCTCAAACATGTTCAAATACCTTTTCCCCTCAGCTTCACGCTCAAGTACTTTAAATGTTTCAACTGGTCTGCAAGTACCTAGATAGGCCCTCCATCTTATGGAAAATATCGAAACTGACTATATATATCGAGTATCATTCTCAAATAAGCTCACCGGATGATGATGAGATGGTAGCAGTTCTATCCCAAGAGGTTCGTATGCTCTAGCTAGATAAATGGACTTATGCGGAGCTAGGCCTGAGCATTATCAGAGGTTCATCAATTCAGGTAGCGCCTAGTCCACCTCGCCTCCCAGCAGATTACGGCCATCTTCGAAGAAGCTGTCTGTAGAGAAGAGCTGCAAGATGGATGGTGACATTGGTCTTCTAGAGACCATAGATCCGATCGGAGCCGAGTTGAAGATGTCCGAGGATGAATAAACGGAGTTAGAATTTAAAATTCCACGACCAAGTCAAAGACCGGCCCCCGAGCGATATTGAGACCATAGAGATATAATTCTTCAACGGGAAAGCCATGAGGCGGACAGCGAATTGTTGATTTATCCGAAGTCGTTATAGATCCCGAGATTCTGCCTCAGGCACCAACTCCGCAAAGCCCTTGGGGTCCCTTTGCGAGGCTAACCCCTCAACTTACCGTGATTGCCCGACACTGCTTGAATGGCGTCGCACCCCATGGTTCTCCTTCATAATGGCATCTGAATCTCTGGGCGTTGACGTCTCACATTCCACTATGGAGTCGCCACCAGCCATTGCCGCCTTGTTCGTCATCAGCTTCGACATCAGGACCGGGTAATTCCTTCCCCTTCCCCTGGGCATCACAGCTCTTAAGCTTAGGAACCTATCGCTGACATTCTGTGACATAGATATGTAGTCTCGTGGAAGCGAACTGCGCCGGGAGGTAAGCAATCAATTACCTAGCCGAGGCTACAATCGGCACGCGATACTGATTCCCGAGTGAATAGTTGAGGTTGAAGGGGTTGTGGAATACAAATCACTGCCCTCTGGGCTGCACAATGTGACTGAGGACCTGGTGTATGTTTTTCAAGGTCTTCAAGAGCTTTGGATCCCATATTTGCTGACGCGCTCCTATAGGTACTTCGTGCATGAACAGTACGCCGGTATCAGCGCGTTCCTCAATCATCCCGCCGCGGAGGCCGAACGCAATGCGAAGATGTTTGCGATCGGAGTTCTGGTGCCCCTCAGCACCGGAAGACTTGGGAAGGGCTGGCGACATGCTCCAAGGCTCAAGGAACTGACGCTGTTCGTATCTCCAGGCACCGGCTATGGACAAGGTCCCGACTGACATTGGTGCTCGTTAGGAAATACGCCGAGAACATGTCGGATATGCAGCCTCTGTGTGATTATTGGGACATGTATAGGATAGGAGGAACCGATTCTTCAGCGCCTGACTCCCCACTTGACTCGCCTCTTAGTCTTCGATTCCGACCCGGCGAGCCATCAGATCACCCGAGTCGCAACCGCGCCTTCAGTGATGCAATGGTACTGGAAACGTTCAGGCCAGCCTTAACGCCCTTCCACCCTGCTTCATCGCTTCCGAATTTCACGGAATGCTTCGGACCTTTGATATTCCCCCTCTACAGAGCAGCTTTGCTGCGCAAGCGGATTCTCTTCATGGGCGAGGCTCCTGTACACACATCTTGCAACTTTGGTACGCTTCTATATGCATTTTAATTGACCTACTGCTAATTAGATCCAGTATATGATCTATCTCTCTTAGCCTCATTGCCAAACTCCCTCCTGCAGCTACTCCCCGACGATCGCATACCACCGCTACGCCCGCGACCCCTCTTCAACATTGGTATTCATGATATTCCCTACCTCTCCTCCTTCGATCCATCGCGCAGCATCATAGACCTAGAAACAGACCCAAGCTGGATCGCGTGCTCCACCGACACCGTCTTAACCATGAAATCCGACCTCTTCGACGTCCTCATCACCCTCCCCGCACCATATTCACAACAAACCGCCGAGCGAGCCTTCCCCAAAATCTCCCTAGTCCATAACACAGGCGGCAAACCCAACCAAACCCAATATATCGAGCTAAAAGCAACCCAGCGCGACGCCCGCCGCTATTCAATGCTCCGCCGCGGACTCCACCGACTCTCCAACGACCGCCCCACCTCCCCAGAACAAGACCCCTCAGACACAGACTCAACCTACTCGTCCAGCCCCGTCGTCGAGCCTATCTCCTGGGCACGCCTCGCCTACACGTCCTTCATCTGGTGGGCCTCCGCTGGCGAGAACCGCGACGGCCTCTCGGAGGAAGAAGAAGAACAGCAGATAGAACAAGACTCCCGCCTTCTGGCAAGCGTGGAGAGTCTCGCCCGCCCACCCTACAACTCAACCTCCCACTCCGACCCACCCCGTAATCCCCTCCACGAAGACCAGCAGCCGCCCGAAGTAACGCTGGTCGCGTACTTCCGTCGCCTGACGTCGCAGATCTTCGTTACGTTGGCTGGCGCCATCGCACGCTATGATAGCGACCTTGACGACGACGCCTATAATGATGCCCCGTATATCGATGAAGACGATGATACAGATGCTTCGCTTTCCATGTCTCGCCAGTCTATCCACGGCGACGAGGGAAGTTCGCCTTTGCTTCGGCAGCGGTCGAGTGTGGGCGGGTCTCGGAATAATGGGTCGAGAGTTGGTCACCGGGACGGCGGTACGGATGACACTGTCACGATTACAGTGGCGGATATGGCGGAGATGGGGCTTGACGTGTGGAGTGCAACAGACCGGGTCTTTGTTGAGGAGTTGGTTTCTTTGTGGTGGGGTCGTGGCGCGAAGGTTGATAGTGCGAGGATTAGATGTTGTGGGATCTCGGTTTTGTAGACTGGTTCTCTCTAGGGCTGTTTATGTTTGAGGTCTCCTTTATGAAGATCTTCGTGGGAAGTTTTTGTTTCTTGTTAGGCATATATTATACATTGTAGGTCAATATACATCCTTTTATACGTTCCTTTCAAGTTCTGGCTGGATAAAGATTGTGACCATGATAAAATAGAATTCACTCTCGACAATCGAAATCTATGTACAGAAGAAGAAAAGTAAGACATAGGAAATATATAAGGAGGGAGAGACACTGAAGCCGAAATTGCATCAAAGGAAGGACCGGCAGTTGGGAAATTAAATCCATAGTATAATGAGGCTCATGATATCGGAGCCAAAAGATCCAAACACAAAACAAACAGAACATATTGCTTCCAATCGCCATGCAATGAAAATAAAGACAAATTGATGCAGCGCCGGGGGGTATTAGAGGAAACGACAGCAAACCATGCAAAAGAAAGACATAAATATGCATCATGAGACATACATCCCAGGGCATTCATTAACGTCGGAACATGCGAACAGGAGCACTCATATCTCGACGCTCACCGAGTTCATTTTCGGTGCTCGAATCAGCTCGAAGGTTGGGGTTGGGAAGGCGTCGAGGTCCCCGAGCAGAGGTCGGGTTGGAGGCCCGAGCTGCGCGGCCAGGTTCGCTGGCACTGACTGATCGCTGCTTGCTATGGGTACGACCTCGTCGCGCTCTGATCTGTGCAAGTGCTTGTTCGCGGTCGATGGGTGTCTCGGGCACGCCAGGGTGCGAAGTGCGCTGTGACTGTGGCTCTTGTCGGGAAGGAGCTCTCTTTTGGTGGTTGATGGGTTGGCGGTGTCCATAGGGTTCTCTCTCGACAGGTCTCGACGATCTTGCTTCCACGGACAGCGGTGCACGCGAGTGTTCGGCGACACCACCTGATGGGGTGGGACGAGGCATTCCCGTCAGAGCCGGCTCCCCAGAGGGGGTGAGCGAGTCAACCTGTTGGTCGGGTGATGCAGAGGCATCCATATGACGCGCGTGGACATCTGGCTGAGGCTCAGCGAGATCGGGTGTCTCGAAGAGATCCAATCGCAGAGGCCTGACATTGTCTCGGAGAGGAGATGGGAATGTCGTGAATGTGCCAGTCTCTGGAGAAAATGTAACCAGGGGCTCGGCTGGCATCTCCATCTTGTGGAGATCTGTCGGTTCGGCCTTCATAGAAGGCGCAGTGTGTTGGTGGGCAGGAACAGGTGGCGCAGCCAGAGGGGTACGACTTGGCTCGGGTTCTTCCTGGCGGGCGCTGTGTTGAGGAGACTTCACCTGGGGATTGTTGGCCTGGTGAAGAGGAGATCGGTGGACGGGGGGTGGAGGAGGGGGAGGGCTAGCCTCGGGGGTGCTGGTTGGGTGAGGATGGGCTTGGTGCACACTAGCTTTCTGAATGCTGGCTTGCTGAGCACGAGCTTTCTCTTCCGCCTCAATCTGAGGCTTTTGGAATTTGTTATAGTAATCAGCGTCGTAGATGTAGCGACGACCTTGGCTCTCAGCAAGCCTGCAAGAGCAGCGTTCGAACTGGCACTCAACGTTTAGGAAATGCACCATATCTTCGGCTGCGACTCTGCGACGACGCTCAAAGACTAGCTCTTCCTTAATCTCTTCCAACAGATCTTCGTCCAGCTCAGCCGTCTCGGATGCGGGTTGTTCACCCTCCGTCTTAGGTGCACAGTCCGACAGTCGTGGGCGTTTGGGAGGAGTGGCTTCTGCGTGATCTTCTTCGCGTGTCGGAGCTGGGGATCGGACAGATCCTGCGGCGGCTCGTTTCGGTCTGCGTGGGGTGGCCAGAAACGCAAGGTCACCTTCGGCTATTGACAGTCTTCCGAAGTCTTCTCTCCGAATCTCATGGGCGCGGACTTCGAGGGTACTCGAATGATTGTCTGTTTCGAGCGCGCGGAATTTCTCTTTCAAGACTTCAAGTTCCTCTGTAAGACCAGCGAGAGCATAGGCGCGTTCGAATGCCTCCTGTTTGGCCTTGTCCTTCGCCTCACGTTCTGCTCCCAGTTCGTCTTTCAGTGTTTTGATCTCTGATTTCGAGTGTTTCAATTCTTCTTGAACTTTTACCAGGGTCGACCCAGCCCGAAAAGCTTCCTTGCGGGCTCTTCGGATTTCCTTTTCGAAAATTGATCGTTCGTGGGCCTGGCGTTCTTTCGTTCCGTGTAACTCTTCCAGCAATGATTCGAGGCGTTCACTGATCCGGCGTTCTCGCGACTGTGCTTCAGACAAATCTTCTTGTGCGGTGGCTAGGGCGGACTCGGCTTCCTCGCGGCCCAGGATAGCGCGTTGTAGAGCGGCATTGTTTGCTGCAGAGTTGGCAGGGCTGCCTCCTCGAGAGAGACCGTTTAGGAACGCCACTTTGGCTTGAACTTCTGAAACACCTCGGGTGTTCTTGTGGTGTAGCGTGAGGAGATCGGAAGGTAGTGAGGGAGAGGCGGGTAGGGTTTGTTGATTCATGCGTTCCGGCGAAACCGGATGCAGGGCTTTTGAGGGGCTCAGGATGGGGCGTGTTGGAGACTCCATCGCGGATGATTCGTGAGGAGTAATGGATCCAGCCGATGAAGATCACAAGGTCAAAGAATCATCACAGGAATAAGAGGATTCACGAGGGAAAATCACCGTTGTGGAGTTAGGGTGGTGACGCACCCACAGAAACATGTTTATTGCCCTCTTTGGAAGCATCATGTGACTGTTGCCCTGGTGACTCTCTGCACCTTCCCATATGTGGTTAGACACTCACGTGCGGTACTCCCCCACATCAGGCCTAGCGTCATGTTTTGGCTATGTCTGTGCGTCCTTAGGCGGGCATTGTCGATATCAAAATTTACTGAGAGGCCAGACTACGAGAGTCATTTGTGTCCATCGATATGCATGAAATTGTTACACTTCAGCTTGGCCAGCGGGCTAACTATCTAGCAACACACTTTTGGAATCTACAGGTACTGTCATCTACGGTCAGATACAAACTTTGGTCTGATATTCAACTAGGAATCCTACTTTACATATAACGAAGGAGAACAGTCTGATGTTGATCATGACGTCCACTTTCGACCAGGCGTTGGGGCGGATGGCTCTGAGACATACACTCCACGCACAGTAATCTATGATCTGAAGGGCGGGTTTGGAACATTGCGCAGATACAATGCACTTTACGAGCTGAGTGAAGACTCCACAGCTGGCCAAGGATTATGGTATGCGGCTCAAATTGATGTACAAGTTCTTCAAATTAACGCCTGGCAGGGATGGAGGAGAGATAGTCCAAAAACAAACCGCAATTCAACAAAGTGAATATCAGAAAAGCTTGGATCTGGGAACTCCAGCGCCTCGCCTGACATCAGACTCCGTACGCTACTGGTCAGACTACAACAGAGTGTACTATCATCCGAGGTCCATTGTCCAGCTAAATGAATACGACTTGAACTCCCAGACCATGCCCTTCGAGGATTGGAATGTCGGGGCAGAGTTGTTCAAAGACCTTGATAAGGAGCATGACCTGCTGGACCGTGACCTGAGACCTCTTTTTGAAGAATGTGATAACTTGCGGGCGCTGCAACTGTTCTCCGGGTCAGATGATGCCTGGGGTGGTTTCGCTGCCCAGTATATGGAAAGACTGAGAGATGAATTTGGAAAGAAAAGTATTTGGGTGTGGGCTATTGAGGACAGCACCAAGATGCAGCGGGTAAGTGAGACAGTGATCCCATTTTGAAGGCTCGCGAGGTCGGTTGACTAAGTTTCGAACTTTGTATAGCATCACCAGTTCAAGAAGGATACGAACAAGGCCAGGTCACTTTACGCGATTGCCCCACTGGCATCGCTGTATTCTCCAATCATGGACGTTCCGCATGAGCTGCCCGGCTATCTCAATGTTGATCGCCAATCGGAATGGCAAAAAACTGCCTTGCTAGCCTCAGCTATTGAGACGGTCACATTGCCTTCCCGATTGCGGGCATATCAGCATTTCGAGGCTGCTCTCGCTGGAGAAGATGGCACACACTCCATCTTCGAGTTGCAATCTTCAGTCAATAAAATCAAAATCAACGACGGCCACACCAAGGAAGCCTCCAACGAAGATGGGCCGACCAAAGCCGAAATTGAATTTGACATTGACTTCGCGTATGACGGCGAGTATAACAAGGGCGCTCATATCTTCAACCAAGTCCAGGTAACCCGTGGAGACGAACCCGAAAGGGACAGTGCGTCCACCGAGGACAGCGATGTTGGTCACCTTCGCAAACTCAGAAGATACAATGAAGGGTCGATGCTGCAAAGGTAGGTTTCCCATTTTGCACATTTATTTTGACTGTCTCAGCCAGGTTCTCACATTTTATACCCTCATTATAGTTTCCACACGCCACTCAGCATGCCTATTCTTGACAGTTTCCCGCACGACATGTTCCCCACCCCCGAAGCAGGTACTGGAGTAAATGTGTTTACCGCATTGACCGCCTCGACACGGACAGCTCAGAGGATCAAGGCTATCTCGGCGACTGCCGCCCGCGTGGTCTCAGTCGATGAGCGTGAGGCCTTGGTAAACGGACTCGGCGAGATTCGAGAGTACTACGAGACAGGGTGGAGTAGCGGCTCGGACGATGAGGACGACTAAACACAACTCTTGGATATACACTCGTGTTGATGTCATCGCAATAAAAACTGACAGGGTATATGGCCGGTTTCGGGCGGTTATCATCTTCCATTACGCAGGCCCAATACACGGAGTATGCAATACCACACTGTATAATGATTCCGCAGGGAAAGACTTAGAAGGATTCAGTGGCTTAATGTCCACATTTGTAGAGAGTATCACCCCACATGTAGTAGCTTTAATTGTTTCTGTTGGGGCATGACGACCGGGATATGAGCCCCACCTGGGCATGGTTGGACGGGAATACGGCAATGGCAATGCACACCGGACCAGGCTCCTAAGCTCATTCTCTCTCCGCAATTTAGAAAGCTGGTGACTTCCTGGATCATACTTTTCCAAGACCCTGAGGTTTGGATAGTTTGAGACATATATCCTAATTCTCGGATACTTCGAAGACATATCAGATGTACCCTTGATACCAATGCCCCGCATTTTCCGAACCGTGGACGAGTCCCTCGTTCCTTTTAATTTTGGGGAAAAAAAGAAAAAAGAAAAAAGAAAAACATTGGAAGAAGGCTGACAAGAATTCCAAGGTCTATGAAGACTTCTAGTTGTGTGACTACCTTAAATAATGCAAATGCATGAACGCCTATGCAGTGTATATTGTACAGTAGCAGGGGCAGATATGTAGGGTCGTTTCTCGAAGTCCAACAGCTCATCTACCCCGCCATTATTTTTCTTTTTTTTCGAGACAAGGTTGAGGGCGTCATCAGTCCTGAAAATTCTAGTAGGCTGATCTGGATTTTTAATAATCGAGAGGCCGTGGAATAACAGGGCAGTCCTAGGAGTTCCGCTACATCCACGGATGTAAGGAACGAACATTAAGAAGAGAAACAGGAAGATATCAGGGCAAATAACCAAAATCAACAGGGAAAAAGAGGGAAAACAAGGAAAAGAAGGACAACACATTTGACATCACCAAGTACTAACCCACCTGGGCAGGCCCGGGCATCCGTAACAAGCCAATCGGCATCGGCAACTCCCCTGCATATTTTTAGAGACGACTACGTTATGACTGCTCCTTTTCTCCGCACCTGCACCGTCTACTCACATTCACCAACACAGACCTAATTGCCTGTTTTACGATCATCCGGCTGGAATAGACCCTGGTGACCCAAGTCCAGACTCTAGACGGGCATTACCGGTACCGCGCTGCCCTCCGATCTCTTCATGCCTTGCCAGAGTCCCAAGGTTTCCAAGTTATTACTACTTTGATCTGGACATGCTCCGTACCCAGTTCCAATTTCCACGTCTGTCATTCGTGAGGTTTCCCCACACTTTCGTCTGGAGACATGGGGTTCCAAAGGTTGTGGCCCGAAATTAAGAGTTATTCATAGGTCGGGCTCATGACGTGTGGAAGAGACACTTTCACACCAGACTCCATATCACTACTCCATATGGAGTATGAAGACAAAGGAAAGAGGCAACGAACAACGAAAACCAGCAGAAGCCTAACCGAACAAGTGTATAATTCCGGAAAATCCCAGAGCTATCGCCCGCATTGCCAAGAACCGACCTGCATCATCAGAGTCAATTGGCTGATCCGCCCATGCACCGGGCTCTGAACACTTTGACTGGCATGGCTCAACTCAGATTTTCGAGGCCGGTAAACCACACGCCAATATCCGAGACATTGTCAAGTCATCATTGGCTCAACCCTACTGCCTGGTTGTTTGTCAACCGGGCCCGTGTACATGCGCTGGTTATGACCTCTGCATCCAGGTCCATGACCAGCCACATCGCTGGAAATATACAGGCCAACTACTGAATACTGGTCATTCATGCGAGTTCTGGTTGGTGTTAGAATATGTGCGCCACTTTTTTAGACTTTGGTCTATTTGAATGCCCAGTATGGTGCCGGTTGGTCCACACTAGCCTAATGGCCAACAGAACGGAGCTATCGACTGCGCCAGCCAAACAGGAATTGGAGCTCTGAGCAGACCTAACCCCAGAGGCACATATAAACTTGCCCTATTCCCCGCCTGCTACCAGGCTCGATCCTGCAGACACCTCAATTGTCTATATTACCTGTCTAGGAGCTCTCTCGCTACGGTTCCTATAGTCCTTCGTTTCAAGGGACGTATCAGCCCTATATATTCCAGTACATACCAACCATTCGTTTGCAAGTCAAGATGCGAGGCGCTCCAGTCGTTCTTCTCTACGCCGTGACCTTCGTGTCCGGCATGGTCATTACTCCCAGACATGCTGGTGAAGCTCACATTGCTGTCCGCGGCGGCGGTGAGGACCACTACGGCGGTCCTTGGTGGGCCGGTGACCATGGGGATCACGGTGATGGCAGTCACGACGGTGGTGGTCACAGTGGCGGTGGTCCCCCAGCGGAGACTCCTCCGCCTGTCGAGACTCCCGCACCTGTTGAGACCTCGACTCCGTGCGAGACCGACACGCCTACCATTCCCCCGGTCGTGACGCCTAGTACTCCCCCGGTTGTGGCACCTAGTACTCCCCCGGTTGTGACACCTACCTCGACCCCATGTGAAACTGATACCACGACCCCACCTGTCGAGACCTCCACTCCATGTGAGACCGACACTCCTACTTCTCCTCCCGCGACCTCGACTCCATGTGAGACCGACACTCCTACTTCTCCTCCTCCCACGAGCTCGACTCCTTGTGAGACCGATACTCCCACTTCTCCTCCAGCGAGCTCAACTCCATGTGAGACCGGCACTCCTACTTCTCCTCCTCCCGCGACCTCGACTCCATGTGAGACCGATACTCCCACTTCTCCTCCCGCGACCTCGACTCCATGTGAGACCGACACTCCTACTTCTCCTCCTCCCACGAGCTCGACTCCTTGTGAGACCGATACTCCTACTTCTCCTCCCGCGACCTCGACTCCATGTGAGACCGATACTCCTACTTCTCCTCCAGCGAGCTCGACTCCATGTGAGACCGGCACTCCTACTTCTCCTCCTCCCGCGAGCTCGACTCCATGTGAGACCGATACTCCTACTTCTCCTCCCGCGACCTCGACTCCATGTGAGACCGATACTCCTACTTCTCCTCCTCCCACGAGCTCGACTCCTTGTGAGACCGATACTCCTACTTCTCCTCCTCCCGCCAGCTCGACTCCATGTGAGACCGACACTCCTACTTCTCCTCCCGCGACCTCGACTCCATGTGAGACCGACACTCCCACTTCTCCTCCCGCTTCTACCACTCCTTGCGAGACTGAGACCCGCACTGGTACGCCTCCTCCAGTTACCCTGACCACCACATACACCACTACCACCTGCCCAGGTAAGTAAAAATCCGACTGCTCCATCAACTGCGCTTGCTAATAGTATCAGTGACCTGGAGCACTATCACGAGCGGCACGTCAACCTATACCCATCCTGTGACCCAGACCAGCACGATGACCGTGACGTCCGTTTCCACCTGCACTGAGGGTTGCACTCAGCCCACAGCCCCTCCCACTCAGGTCACAATTCCCCCTGTTGTTTCCGCAACTTCTGCGGTGGTGCCTCCTCCGGCTACTGAGTCCAGTGCTCCGGCTACTGAGTCCAGTGCTCCGGCTACTGAGCCTACTGCCCCGGCACAGTCAAGCCCCATCACTTCTTCCACCTCCGCTCCCCCTGCTTCCTCCTCACCCGCTTTCAACAGTGCTCCAGCTCTCCAGAAATCTGCTGCGGCCTTCATTCCTGGCCTGGCTCTTCTGTTTGCTCTGCTCTAATTGATTTACACAGAAGTTGATCTGTCAGACGATATATCATGTCATCGGTCTGGGCAGTGGCTAGTCGGAAGCCAGACAAGGGACTTTATATATGCATGAAGAAAGAGACCATTACTAAATATGGAAAAAAATTTTGTATTCGGCATATCCAGTCTTGAAGGACGCCAGGATGACGGTTAATAATGTGTTTCTTGACAACTTGACGCTCCTTATCCATGATTATGGAACCCTAATTATTACGAATTTATACTTATTTCCATTAAACCCATGTTTCCTGTCATGATTATAAGATTAGACTGTTCACAGCTTGTTTCCCATACAAATCAGCCCTACTGGAAATTAGGGCTGTGGCATAATGCGATAACGATAAGTAGTGCAAACAGCAAACATCGCCCTGTGTGTTTGCATGATGACCCGTGTCCTCATCCAACAACTCTTTCAGGCTTCAAAGTTGCGTTACTGCCAAGTGGCCACAGTATCCCTTTGCTTCCAAATGGCCTAATTTTTGAGTCATTTTCCTGATTTTCTTTTTCTGTCCATCGTCCCCCACTGCCCATTCCCAACACAACAAAAATCTCGAGCTATCCCATAGCTCCATCCGATCATCCTTCTGGCGCATAGCTAGCCCGGACCCCGACACACTATTCGGCAAACCCGAACAGTGATTGAACATCTGTCAATTCGTCTATATATGTGCGCACGAGGGTAAATCTTCCCCGTTGAAGTTACAGACAACTCCCTGGATCGGCGATTTGGCTGACTCCCGCAGCCCGGAGCCTACACATAGATCATGGCGTCCTTGAATCGCCGACAATTATCTAGCTCGCCAATGCTATCCCTCGTGGCCCTCCCATTCCTCGTATTCCTCCTCAGCTTTGCTGGGCCAGCTTCTGCCGCCGGATCGGCCGTCCTGGGCATCGATATCGGCACGGAATATTTCAAGGCTGCTCTCGTGAAACCCGGCATTCCGCTCGAGATCGTCCTCACTAAAGATTCGAAGCGCAAGGAGTCCGCTGCTGTCGCTTTCAAGCCTACAAGGGAGAGCGATGCGTCTTTCCCTGAACGGTTCTATGGTGGTAATGCGCTCGCCCTCGCGGCTCGGTACCCGGATGACGTTTACATCAACTTGAAGACTCTGTTGGGTGTTCCGTTCAATGATGGTGACAACGAAGCAGTCAAGACCTATTGGAGCAGGTTCCCCGCATTGAAATTGGAGACCGCCCCCGATGGTCGCGGCTCTGTTGCTCTCCGCAGCAACCGACTTGGAGAGGCGCAGAAGAAGGAGGCCTTCTTGGTTGAGGAGATTCTGGCAATGCAGTTGAAGCAGATCAAGGCTAATGCTGATACATTGGCTGGAAAGGGATCCGATGTCCGCGATGTCGTCATTACCTACCCTGTGTTCTACACCGCAGAGGAGAAGCGTAGCCTCGAGTTGGCGGCTGAGCTGGCGGGTCTGAGGATCCAGGCTCTTGTCAGTGATGGATTGGCTGTCGGTTTGAACTACGCCACCAGCCGTACTTTCCCCAGCGTCTCTGATGGCGAGAAGCCCGAATACCACATCGTGTATGACATGGGTGCTGGATCTACGACCGCAAGTGTCTTGCGGTTCCAGAGCCGCAAGGTTAAGGACGTCGGCAAATTCAACAAGACCATCCAGGAAGTTCATGTTGTTGGATCTGGTTGGGACAAGTCACTTGGAGGCGACTCCCTGAACGACCTCATTGTGAACGACATGGTCGCTCACTTAGCTGAGGACAAGAAGCTCAAGGATAAGGTTACTCCAGCTGAAATCAAGGCGCATGGGAAGACTATGTCCAGACTCTGGAAGGATTCGGAGAAGCTCCGACAGGTTCTGAGCGCCAACACTGAGACTTCGACAAGCTTCGAGGGACTGTACGACGAGAATGTCAACTTCAAGTACAAGTTGACCCGTGCCAACTTTGAGAAGATGGCTGCTGAGTATGTCGCCCGCATTGGAACACCAGTGCAGCAGGCTTTGACAGCCGCCGGTCTTCAATTGAACGATATCGAATCTGTCGTGCTTCACGGTGGAGCCATTCGGACTCCGTTCGTCCAGAAGCAATTGGAGAACTTTGCCGGCTCTTCCAAGAAGATAAGAGCCAACGTCAACGCTGATGAGGCGGCCGTGTTTGGTGCTGCCTTCAAGGGAGCTGCTCTGAGCCCTAGTTTCCGCGTTAAAGATATTCGCACCGGTGACGCCGCTACATACCCCATCTCCTTGAAGTGGGAGTCAGACAGTAAGCAAAGAAACCAGAAGCTCTTTACCGCCACTTCCCAGGTCGGTCCTGAGAAGCAAGTTACCGTGAAAAACCTGGAGGATTTCGAATTCAGCTTCGCCCAGCATGTTGCCCAGAATGAGGAACAGCCTATCCTCAGTGTCAAGACCCAGAACCTTACTGCGTCTGTTGCTAAGCTCAAGGACAACTTTGGCTGTTCTACTGCAAACATTACCACGAAGTTCACGATCCGCCTCAGCCCTGTGGACGGTCTCCCCGAAGTAGTGGCTGGTACCGTTAGCTGCGAGGTAGAATCTGAGAAGAAGGGAATTGTTGAAGACGTCAAGGGCTTCTTCGGCCTTGGCAAGAAGGATGAGCAGGAGCCCCTCGGCGAAGATGGCGAACCTCGTGAATCGATCACCCTCGAGCCCGAGGCGGAGTCCTCCACTGCATCCTCAGCCAGTTCTAAGACCACCACCACGTCCACCAAGGATGCAAAGAAGGACGCAAAGGCCACCCCTCAGGTTAAGCTTGAAGTTATTCCGATCAGCTTGAAGTCTGTCGTGCTCGGAACTCCGGCGCCATCAGTCGCAGAGCTCAGTCGCATTAACGGCCGCCTCCTTGCTTTCGATAATTCGGATCACGATCGCATCCTGCGCGAAGAAGCCCTTAATGAATTAGAATCTTTCATCTACCGTAGCCGAGACCTCGCCGATAATGACGAGTTCACCAAGGCAGTCAAGCCAGATCAGCTGACGGTTCTGTCCGAGAGAGTCTCTAAAGCCAGCGACTGGCTATACGAAGAGGGCGACAACGCCAAGACTGCCGATTTCCAGTCGAAGCTCAATGAACTGAAGACCATCGTCAACCCTGCACTGAAGCGGATGAAGGAGAGCTCTTCTCGCCCAGCACGCGTGCAATTGCTCAAGGACATGCTCAAGAACGCCGAGTCCATGAAAGAATTGATCAAGAACCAGATCGACAACGACGAGCAGATCTACTCCTCTTCCCTCTCAGCCTCAAGCGCTTCTTCCACCGAGACCTCCACCGAAACCAGCTCATCGACCCCAGCCCCAGCCGCTTCTGGCGAGGGTCTCGATGGCCTCGATGAAGACGCGTACTCCGCTTCTTCATCTTCTACCACATCTACCAAGAGTGCTGCTGCGGCCAAGCCCACAGGCCCCAAGTACTCCCTCTTCACTCCCGCCGACCTCACGGCCATCACCCAGGCCTACGAGTCCACCAACCCCTGGCTCGAAACCCAGCTCAGTCTGCAAGAGACGCTTTCCGAGTCTGATGACCCAGCTTTGACCGTTGTGGAGGTCGACTCGCGGCTGCGCGAGTTCGAGCGCATCCTTAACCGCATGTATGAGAGGATGACTGCAAACGCTGGCCAACAGAAGAAGAGCAGCAACAACGGTAAAAAGACAACTAAGGAAAAGAAGAAGCCCGAGTCTGAGAAGAGCAAGGGCAAGGGCAAAGATCAGCCCAAGGAGAAGGAGGATCTTCCCAAAGATGAGCTGTAAAATAAACATCCCCTTTTCACTATGCCTTTTACATTTGTTTCCTTTTATTTCCACTTTTGACTCGTACAGAGCACTTCATTCTAACGCAAACCATGTATCATGCACACACACATCCTGGAAGATAGAAAAAGAATCACAATGGAGTTCGGGCTGAGCGTTAGCAGTTTTATTATATTTGCTCCCCCTGCTTTCTTTTACTACAAAGACCTCTACTTCACAGCCAATCGCACTGTGTAAACCACCTGAGCTCTACAAATTCATAGATGGAAAAAGGTAGGGCTAAAACTGTCATTGCCAGTCCATCATCCTATGATCCTATCAGGAGATCACTTCAATAGACTACACAATGCCAAGCGCATTAGTCCAGCCTCAAAAGATCCTTTTAGTTCCCGTCACCAGCACCAGCACCAAGCCCAGCTCCAAGACCAGAACCAGCGCCAAAGCCACCGCCGAAGCCACCACCGAGGCCTGACCCAATTGAACCACCGCCACCGCCGCCGCCGCCCAAGGAACCGCCAGAAGCGCCGCCAAGGCCAAGCCCACCAGGACCTATTGTGATCACTCAATTAGAATTTTGCCCCAGGTAAGTAAAGCATGACATACCAGTAGGGGCAGCAACAGCGGCCATAGCCAAGCTGAAGAGTGCGATGAGGAAGTTGGACTTCATTGTTTTAGATCGAGCTATTGGGCAATGAGAGTCAATGGTTAGCTCAATTGCCATGTATTATGATACGAGACTGTAGTGGGTCTCACTGAATGGCTTTAGATGTAAGCTTGCTAAAGATGGGAAGGTTGATTCCTGTAGAACTAATATCCAGAGCAGCGGGCGAATACCTCCATTTTATACCTCAAGGATCGGCTTCATCTTCCAGAATACAAGACCGATCAGCGAAACCTCTCAGCTGAGATCGGAGATTGAGTGGATTTCTTCGGTTTGTTGCATACGCAGCGTCCAGTCGCTTCTGCTTTCGGAGCGTCTGATTTAGAATTCGAGGCTGTCCTGGTTCTAGCGCGTAGTGCTTTTAGCAACATCCTGGAGATGGGGTTTTTCCTATATATTTGAGCGATGCGTGGTATAAACTTCCGGGAGATGCTGCATACCTTCGAGTACAATATATGCTTCGGCTCCTCAAGTTGGGACATGTCTCCTTTTGTGTTGCTCTGGTTTATATTCGGCTTTGTTTAGCAAGCACGGTCCGAGCTAGGCAGAGCTGCTAAGTACAGTCGGCCTAGCGATCCAGAAGAATGCATATCTGCTTTCGAATTCGTCTGGCTCAGTTTGAAAAATCCTCGATCCGATCTGAGGTAAGATTATGTAGCATGTCCGGCTTAGTGGCTATTCGTTTGGAGGAGAATCTATACAACGTCGGTTAATCAATCTCTCTATTATACCTAAGATGGGATACTAGAGTCAGTGAAACAATTGGCCTGCATTATAGCTGGTTCTCACAGACTCGGAGAAATCATCTTTATGGACGATTTACCAAATCCCTCGTCAATTGTAAACCTTATTCAAATGGTCGGAGGCATTAATCGGGGCAACAGACCTGCGCATGGTGACAATGGCCTAGTTGAGGATGAGATCAACATCCGAGACTCGGTTGACATGATAGTAGTTGCATTGGAAGTGTCCACGTGCGATTATTTTACAATAGGTCGCAACAATTTGGTCCACCGAAAATGCTCCAGGATTTTTGCATTGGGTTTCTTTCTATTTGTCTATTGACAGCCCATTGTCACACCACTGCTGTAACACATTAATTCCATCTAGGCATTGAGGGTATCAGGAACATCTTAATTTGTATTCTCACAACTATTTTTGATTTAGTATGAAGATTGTTAGACATGGCCGGTAGACAATACCTAGTTACGCAGCTATGAATGGACTTGTTGACTATTGAAGGAGTCAAACACTCAATAAGGTGAATGTAAAGGTGAAGTATAAAAGGTTCCCCGTCCCCCAATGCGGTAAGTAGGGCTGACCCACACCTGGCCCTGTCGCGCTAAACCCAATCGGTAAAGAAAAGTTCCTGAAGCTCAACCTTCTCCATCCAACCCCCACCCATTACGAACGATTACACAATATGGAGAAACCAGATATCGTGGAGTCTCCGCGCAAGCGACAGAAGACAGAAGATGTAGGCTCAAATGAGGTCGCTATCGTCGTTAATGGCACAACCGAAACTCCGAGCACCGCAGTCGCAGATGCGCAGGCTCTAAAGGAAGTTGAGGTTGGTATCACGGAGTTTGTGAGCAACGACACTGAGGGATTCTCAGGTATCCTGAAAAAGAGGTTAGCTATTATGTTCCCCTGTTTGAGGATTCTGCTAATAATCATGAGCAGATACACAGACTTTATGGTCAATGAGATCATGACCACCGGCGAAGTTGTCCACCTCCGATCCAGCGACATGACTACCGAGACCAACGAGTCCGCGCCTACACCTGTGCCAAAAGCCCCTGAGGTGGCAACACAGGTTATGGAGAAAACTGAAGGTACCCCGGCCAAGGAGGCGGAAACACCAGAGTTCAAGGTCTCGGAAGAGGACCACACTCTTCTGGAGGAATACTTTGGCGCTCAAAATGCCGCCGAAATTATTGCGCTTCACAAGATTGCTATGGCTAAGCCAAAGGGTCGACCCAGCGAATTCGGAAATGTCACCTTTGCCGTGTCTGATCGCGAGCTTCGCACCAAGATTCACCAGGCCATCCGTCGCATTTTCAACTCTCAGCTAGAGTCTAGCACCGACGCAGAGGGAAATATGTCAATCACCGCGGCGAACAACCGTTTCAAGCGCGGTGCGACCGCAGGACGAGCCAATGGCCGGCCCCAGGGCTACCGAATCAACTGGGAAGAACTCGGCGGGCCATATTTGCATTTCACCATCTACAAGGAGAACAAGGACACAATGGAAGTCATTGGCTATATCGCCCGCTCATTGAAGATGAACCCCAAGGCTTTCCAATTCGCTGGAACCAAGGATAGGCGGGGTGTGACCGTGCAGCGTGCCTGTGCTGTGCGGGTTCACCGCGATCGGCTTACAAGGGTGAACTCGGAACTTCGCAATGCTTATATTGGAGACTTCGAGTACCGCAAGCAAGGGCTGGAGCTAGGCGATTTGCAGGGCAATGAGTTCGTTATTACTCTGCGCGACGTCGAAATTCCCGGCGTGAGCCTGAGTGATCCTCAGGCTGCGATTGCCAAGGCATCCGAAGTTGTCGGTACCTCTTTGAAGAACCTCTACCAGCGAGGATACTTCAACTACTACGGTCTCCAGCGATTTGGAACCTTCGCAACCCGAACGGACATAGTGGGCGTCAAGATGCTGCAGGGGGATTTCAAAGGCGCATGCGATGCTATTCTGAAATATGCCCCTGAATCTCTTCAGGCGGCAATGGAGGGGCAAATGTCCACTGCTAATATCGGCGCCGATGACAAGGATCGCGCCATGGCCATTAATATCTTCCAGACTGGCGGTAACGTCAGCGACGCTCTGCAAAAGATGCCTCGCAAGTTCTCCGCTGAAAACAATCTACTCCGCCACCTCGGCAGGAACAAGAAGGATTATTTGGGTGCGCTGCAGAGTATTCCCCGTAACCTGCGATTGATGTACGTGCACGCATACCAGTCGCTCGTCTGGAACTTTGCTGCAAGTGAGCGCTGGCGACTCTACGGCGACCGGGTGGTGGAAGGCGATCTCGTCATTATCCAAGAGCACCGCGACAAAGAAGCTGCCTCTGTTGTCGAGGCTCCCGAGACTGTCGATGCCGATGGTGAAATTATTGTTGTTCCTCAGGGCGAGGACAGTGCCGTTGCGGCCGAGGACATGTTCATGCGGGCACGTGCCCTGACGGCCGAAGAGGCAGCCAGTGGCAAATATACCATCTTTGACCTGGTGCTTCCTCAGCCTGGATATGACATTATCTACCCCGAAAACGAAATGAAGGAATTCTACCGTCGCTTCATGGAAAGCGAGCAGGGTGGTGGCCTTGACCCGTCGAACATGCGCCGTAAGTGGAAGGACATCAGCCTTAGCGGCAGCTACCGCAAGATTTTCAGCCGCATGGTGACGGACAACTACTCTTTCGACGTGAAGCTTTATTCCAAGGACGATGAGCAGTTCGTTAAGACGGAGTTGCAAAAGCTGGAGGGCAAGGATGAGGATGCCGATACCACCACGGCCGATGAAACCCCAGCTGATAAGCTGGCCGTTGTTCTAAAGTTCCAGTTGGGATCAAGCCAGTATGCTACCATGGCTCTTCGGGAATTGACGCACGGAAAGGCCACAGCCCACAAGGCTGACTTCGGTGGTGGAAGATAATTGGGAAAAGCAATCAGCACCAAAACAGTTCATTTCACACTGCACATGGCCTCAATGTGCCCAATACTAAGACTAGTACTGTGGTCAGGATATCATTCCAGTCATATTCAAGTACATAGTTTGAGGTACACAACTTGTAGCCTATTACAATGAGACCCTCATTGAACCCACCCAGAACGCCAGAGATCCAAAACAAAAGTACGTAAAGAAGCTCTAGACCAAGCTTAGCCTCATTATATCATATCGCCTTGCCGACACCCTCAAACTCCCTGAAACCGCCTCCTCTCCTGCTCACCTATCGGCGACGCCTCATCAAAAGACGACACCACAGAAACCTCATCAAAGTCCCTCTCCCTCCTCCGCCCATCCAAATCCGACACATCAGAAACGGCGTCAACATCATCATCCGAACCACCAACAGGAATGCCAATACCAACCTCATCATCCGAAAAATCCTCAAACGGCATCCTAGCCAACCGCGACGGCCCCCTCGACGACGTAACGGACGCAACTCGACCCCTCAAATCCTGCTCCGTGGCACTTCGCCTCTGGTCCATCTGAACAGCAACCGCAACCCCAATCTCCGCTTCGGAGTCACCAGGTCCACGCGCCATAGACATGCGGTGCACGGAGCCCGAGCCAGGACTGCGATCGAGACTGGGCGTTCGACCCCGACTTTCCGTCGAGGGTGAGGTGCTGATAATCGGGATCCGTGGCATGGGCATGGGCATGGACGTGGCCGCTGAGGACATTGCCGGTGTCGAAAGTGAATGTCTTGGTTCTGGTGTCGAGGTTTTAGGAGACATCATTAGCTCTTGTGTTGACACTTCGCTTCGGTGGCCTGTTGCTATTTCGTATGGTGGTGGCAGGGCGTTGCGTTCCTTTTCGCGGCGTCGTCGACGGTAGAAGAAGAATAGGAGCGCTAGGATTAGAGCTAGGCCAATTACTGAGACTGGGACTGCTATGGCGATTTTTGTTGTTTTTGATGGGCCGCCGGAGAAAGTGGTTGGGTCGCTGGCTGCTGATGAGCTTGTTTCTGAGGCCGAGGCTGAGATTGTGGTTGTTTGGGTGGATGTGAGAGAAGATAAGTTTGAAGTTGACGGTGTTGTCGAGGTTTTTGGTGTTGGTGTCGATGATGGAGTATATGATGCATCCGGCAGGCTCGTTGGACTGGCTTCTGAACTGATACCATTGACAGCGGATGTCTCACTTGGTGCTGTGTATGTGGTCAACTCGCTGACTGAGGGCCATGAAACCGTCCCAGGAAAGATACCTGTCACTGGCACGGTTGGATCTACCCAGCTTGACGGTTCTGCAAAATTCTTGTTGTTTCCGCCGGGTGCTGTCGTGAGCACCACATCCTGGCCCACTGATGCAACCTGCGAGGTCGGATATTCTGATGTAATGGGATCCCGGGTATCTGCATCACTGCCCAACATTGCAAATGGCAAGAATCTCACCATGGCGGATATGGTGGGTTGAAGTTGGATGCTCGGGGCACTGTCTTATGTGAAGGCTCCAAGGAGACAAAGAACCGCCACGAAAGATTATACAAAGGACACTGGTGCTAGGGTACTCCCATTCAATTACCACTTTAGGTAACTCCTGATGTCTTATAGAATAATTAAATATGCCCAGGTTCGGGAGTAGAGAAGTTGGAAGGCAGGAAATGCGCAATCCCAAATCTTTGGAAGAACAGCGAACATCCACAGACAATGTACGGTGTCCAAACACAACAGCCCCAAAGTGGGGGTTTGAAGCACTGCCCTCAAGATGAGACGCTCTAACAATGAAGGGACATGCAGACTCGGCGTCAATGAAAGTCCGTACTCTGATCCTGATCCCTTTGAATTGACCCATTTGCCTTTCAAAGAAATAGCAAAAATATCAGTCGCACAAATAATTATTAAGATACATACAAACCATTGAAACTTCATTTTCCATGAGGCTCACAGATTCTATTTTTACGATGTTCACGCTAATATGGGGCCACGTAGGATCAACACGAGCCCTAACTGCTTTCTGTTTAGTTTCAAGGCGGGGGAGTTTGGAGGTTGGAGTACATTATTTCACGGGGAATTTTATTATTGGATTATTTGTTCTTCTTTGACACCAATGCTGACAGTGGCATGTTCATTCAAATGAGGAGGGAGCCAAGAGTAGCCCATATTTGACAAGGATTCATTTAAAATCGAGAGTGCAGCTTCCATGGATTTTCTATTTTCTGTGCTGAATAGCATAAAATTTGTCAGGCTACAAAGTATCATACTTCATATTAGGCCGAACGATACGAACGATAGAACTAGTAGACATCCGGGTTGGGACTACGATACTGCTAAAATTAGATCGACCACCAACCTAATCATACGTGATGGAGTTATGTGGAGATTCGAAATATATTCTATTAAGTCCAGATGAGGTCTAGCTGTAGATCGCATAAAATAACAAATTCCAAGCTATAATGTAATGTCTTGATCCAGATGCCTGATCTGATTCCTACATACTAAAGCCCAACAGGATTATATATTTTATACTGCCCATCTACAACTAGTATATAGGGACCTGTGAAATCGACGTCGAAAATGACACCCTCTGGCGCCAGAAACGGCCGCCTTTCCACCCGTAATTTTGGACAGCGAGACGCTGCTTGGCCACCCGCTGCCCTGTACCGCCCCTACTGTAGTTACGTCAGGTTAACGCCGCCCGGCCAGTGCAGATTAATATCGCTATAATCGGTGTAGTCGGCTTTTATCAACACGTCCGTGACCCCTAATTCAGAAACTTTCATTGTCTTATTAAGCGAAGTTAATTATATTATCGAGAAGAAACGCGCCGCGGATCTAAACGAAAAGATCGATAAGCCCAAGAAGACCCTCCTAAAAGAAGTACTAGAGTCTTAACATTCTACCGCTAAGGACGTCGATCACCGGATCAAATTAGAAGAGAAAGCAACACCTGGTTACTACCGCTTTTTTTCAAGGTATCACTTTGAGATTAGAAGAAGCTAAACGGTATGTTATAGATAAACTCGCCAAAAGGTTTATCATGCTAACCAACGTGCTATTCTCTTCACTAGTCTTAACAGCAAAAGAAAGCAGGTAGATACCGTCGATTACTAGAAACTAGATACTCTTACTTAGAAACTGATTGACTCGGGAGCTTTCTCTCCTTCGCCGGCAGACAGCCTCTACATCGGCCCTCAACGATCATGCTTATGGGCTCCATGTTATGTATGAAGACATCTTGGAAGCGGAATGGAGTTTCTGCAGATGGCTTGGCAGACGTTCGGCAGAGTTTCGGAGGAAGCTGAGGATTCTGCCCCATGCATTTAGGATTCCTCGTTTGATTCTGCTCTCTCTTCCTCTCTCTTCTCTCCAGATTTGGTTACTTCATTTAAATGATACAGCATGTTTCAACATCGCTCCTGATCGTAACACTCCATACGTGCCCGTCTTCGAGCAGCTCTACACACTCCTACTCTTCCCGATCATAGCGGTCATCCTCCAGCCTAAGCTCCTATACCGCTGCCTAATTCTCACAGACTGCCAGCGTAACGGGCATTCTACCCTCCCGCAAGAGTAGTATGCCTTCTCGGTCAAATAACCTCTCTTATTATCCCACGGTTCGAAGCTACGAACCGTCCTCACCTCGCGCCGTGCGTCGATCAGGTCGTTCCTTCTCACCCGTAGTATTCTTATAGCGACCAGTTCCCCATTATAGGAGCCCGTCTATATATCTCTACCGTAACTCGGCTTCCTAGACCTATCTAGGATTATCAAGGAATCCTATCTCTCGGTATGAGGAAGCTCTGCTGTAAAAGTCGGAATTAGAATATAGTAAGCCGGAGGATGAGTAGCTGCGATGGCGCGTTTGGGACTTGGAAAATGTGCTGAAGAAGCAGAAGGATAGGGAGCCGACACGCCTACGGACACTCTACTATTGTAGGGGATTCTTGAGGGACCGCCTAGTTTTTCTCTTCTTCCTTTACTGCCGGACGTAGTCTTCTTTTCTTTTATTGTTACTATTATTATCTCTTAAGGGCTAGAAGATTTGTAGGCAGTTCATAAATCAATCCTTCCGTTTGATCCGCCATCTTTACTGATTTTCCCAAGTTAGCTGACCAATACTACTGGCGGAATCCCGGTAGTGACCCGTTCGACCGTAGTGCTCTCAATTCACTGGCGTATTATAGATGACATCATCAAAACACCTCTATTCAGGAACAAGCCGGATAATATCTCTCTACCTAGGATATCCATTTATCTATCCGTTCTGGACTCAATAATCATCCTCCTAGCTGTCTCATACCTCATATCTCGTACCAAGGTGAAAGACACCCTAGCTCTCACTTAAAATGTCATATGTCTATCAAAGCGAGGGCGTTGTGTCGGAGGAAGGTGCAAATCCGTTTCTCGAGCACCTTCCCTCTGATACGCCCGTCTATCGTTACGACCGACAGTGCGCTATTGAGAGCCTCCTTCCTCCGTATTCGGTCGAGGATCGCTTTATCGTCTTGAAGGACTTCCCGCTAGAGACACTAACCGAACGCGAGGAACAATTACCACAACGCTGTGACTATTCGCCACCACTTCAGATTCTTATCATCACAATGTCTGGTCAACCGCATGAAGAAGCGGCCAGCAGTTTCGAGATGATGATTGGGACCCTCGCCGAAGAGATGAAAGTCTGGAGACGGGTTGCAGGCTGCGGAACCACTCGAATCGATACCCCTGACCGAAGAAAGCAGGCAGACCGGTCGTGGAAGCCAGCCCGCCAAGGGAGGAAATTTCCAACGGTAGCATTGGAAGTCGGCTTTTCCGAGACAACTGCAAAACTGGAAAAGGATATCGCTTGGTGGATCAACGAATCAAAAGGCGAAGTGAGAATGGGGGTCACGGTCGACATCAAAAGAAGATCCGGCTGCATTGAAATCAAATCCTGGACCCCAGCATTCGAGCCATCACTACACCGTGACTATGTCACAGCAAGCGGCCGCCACGTCGTCAAAAGACACGCCGATGATCTCCCACTACCTCATATCGCCCAGAGAGTTCTCTTCAAGAGAGGCAGAGATAGCTCCGGTCATACGATTGAAGGGGAGGGCCTAACCATACCATTCCATACTCTCCTATTGGATGAACCAGGAGAAGGCGAGAGGAACTTCGTGTTGACAGCTGAAATGCTGTTGCAGAAGTTGGCAGAGCGTGTCTGGGATGCGATCGACGACGCTGAAATGATCCAGGCCAAAGAGAGAGACTAGAGTAGAAAAGGAGCGTCGATGCCGAGGTGCTGTTGACTGTGGCCCACGAGGAGGTGCAGCCCCTTTCATTTCCTTCTCTTCAAGATTGTTGTAAACAGTTCCTGGCCTAGCCAGATTGAATCAAGTCGGCTTCAGCCTTTCACACTAGTTCTCCGAAAGCGTTTAATAGTGTTGTATCCCGTTTGGCGAGAGATGCCTAAGCGAGACGCGATTTCCGTAGGCTTTTCTTATGATTCATGGGCGTAGGAGAACGGATAGCTTCGGATAATTCAGTAATTTTGGACCGGTTACCACTAATTGCAGAGTGAAACGGCGGCGTGGTGGCCGAGATGGGGTGGTTGAAGAGATGGGGTAGGAGCGGTAGGGGTACGGGCAGAAAATGTAAACAGACTTTTGGTACCCTATGTGTATAGTCACTCGGAATATCGACATGGAATCACACGATATGCTGCGGGCTACGCTCCGGGGCGACTGCTATTCCAGCCCCCAGGGGCGAGAACGAGATAGGCATCGGACCGAGCGGCAACTCCGGTAAAATAACAGGGACAGTGCCTCGGGCTGAAAGCCAATACGCAGTGACCTGTATAGGCGGGATTAAAAGAAAGCAGGCGGCGATGAGTACAAGACAGAGGAGTTAAAGGGACGGGAAGAGGAGAAAAGATATCGACAGGGCGAGGTCTGGTCTTCATGTTAGGGCGATGGGGGAGAGGTTATGTGACAGTGTATTGGGGGAACGCCCAAACGGCAAAAATAACCCCCTGTGGTAATTCACAGGTCCCGATTTTACAAACATCATTGTAAAAATAAATATCAGTTTCAAATAAATCTAAAAGCTGCAATATTATGGTAATGGAAACTATGTCGGTGTAAGCCAGAAATATATATATCCCAATCATCCCGCTGTTGTAGGAATTCTCCAATCTTTTTAACGAGGCTAGATATCACATTCAAAGTCCTAGACTATAAAGCTCCATGCGATTATTTATGTCCAGTCACTATACCATGTGTTTTGGGTGGATTCTTGCCAAGTAAACTAACCCCCTTTCGTTAAAATGCAAACGTTCTCTTCAATGTCGCCAGAGGCAGAATGTACCTTTTATTAGGGATTCAAATATAAAAGGTACAAGTGAATTGTAGATGAGATAACGATATAATGACCTCAGTACCTCGGTAGGGCTGAGTATGGACTCGTTTCCGATAACCCAATAGCTTCTTCGAATCCACCCATGCCTAGAGTGAGGACCACTCTTCACACTTAGGCAATTCCCCTTCTTCAACCCTCTTCTCTCTTCAATCTTGTTCAATCTTGCTCTAAGGTTAACAAAACTCGAGCATGGCCGGTGGTTTCCTCTCATACCACGAACCTGGAAGTATGTACTCAAGCATATGCCAATTGATCTCTGCTCATTTCCTCACTGATCAACTCTTACAGCCGTCGACATTCTAATCGTCGTCTCTTTCTTCTTTTTCCTTTCCCTCGCAAGATGGGTCTCCGCGGCGGCAATCCAGGCCGGAATTATAGGTCAAATCGCCGTCGGCATCATCTACGGAGTGCCCTTGGCCAATATCCTTGAATATCACTGGCAAGAGACTTTTGTCACTCTTGGATATGTCGGTCTGATTCTGATCATCTTTGAAGGTAAGTGAAAATTTTCATCTTGCCCTGCTTGGTTGCTTGGCTTCTTGGCTTCTTAGACACTGATGTCATCCATTCTAGGCGGTCTTGGCGCCCGAGTGGACTTGCTCAAGCAGAACTTCACTTTGAGTATGATCGGCGCCGCAACTGGAGTTTTATTCCCTATTGGTCTTTCATACCTTTTGCTACATCTTGGTTTTGGATATGGTTGGTTTTATTTGCCCCAATTTCTATAGTCGAAAAGCTAACATGGACTAGGTGCGGTTGAGACCTTCATCATCGGCGCATCCCTTTCCGCTACTTCACTCGGTAAACTATTCCTCGGAAGTTCTGTTTGAGTACGTCTCAAATGCTGATAAATACTAGGGACCACCTTTGCTGTGATCAGCTCTACGTCCGACTCGGTCAACCTCGCCGAGACTCGAGTAGGGTCAGTTCTGGTGAGCGCGGCTGTTATCGACGATGTTGTAGGACTTGTTATGTTAAGGTGTGTTACTCATCTGAATATAAGGTGTGTGTTCATTGGTTAAACTGACATCCATACAGTGTGATTGGCGATTTGGGCAAACTTTCAGGAGACGGCGATAGTGTTAACCTGGGATGGCTGATCGGGCGTCCTATAGTGGCATCGATAGGCATGGCCGTCGTAATGCCTATCGTCACCAAATGGGTCTTTGCGCCATTTTTCCGAAAGTTCATTGAACACCGCTTTGCGCGCTACGACCATATCTCCAACATCATCCTCATGACTCTTGTTCTTTCAGCTTTTATTGCCATCGCTGGCTTTACTGGTACATCCGTCTTGTTTGGTGCATTCCTGGCAGGTGTATTTCTTACATACATACCGAGCAAGCACCCCGAGGGACCATTTGTTGTCCTGAGCCGCGAGGAAGGCGAGCGCGAGGCGGATAAAAGCCCCACTTTCGTTCATACCTTTGAGAAATACCTGTTAGGACCCCAGCAGTATTTGATGGAACCATTGTTCTTCTCAAGTATCGGATTCGCGATTCCGTTCTTGGAGCTGTGGACCGGGGAGCGCATTTGGAAAGGGATTGTCTACACCCTCCTGATGACGTTTGCGAAGGTATACAGATACCCTCAAAAGTCGTTTCTCAGCAATTGGGCTAACAAAGATATCTAGTGTATCGTCGGAATCTGGGTCCCCATATGGCAACTCGCTTTGGGGGGTAAATCTCACAAAGAGCCACACGAAGAGCAGAAAATTCAGGGACCACCGAAAAAGGAGGACAGCAATACAAGCGATGAAGAGCAAAGCGACCAGGACAAGGGGAAGACGTGGAAACGGACCTGCCTGGCCGCAACACTTTTAGGATCTGCCATGGTAGCACGCGGCGAGATTGGGCTTTTGATTATTGAAATCGGACACAACGAAACTCCGTACGTTAGTGATGAAGGGTTCTACACTGGCGTGTGGGCGATTCTTTTGAATACCATTATTGGCCCAGTTACCGTCGGTCTCCTGGTTCGATTCTATGCGCACGAGCTGGAAGGGGGTGACTGGGGAGTGCAGCGTGCTCCTCTGGCTATCACGGGCCATGGTGTCAGTGGGCACGGATCGGTATAGACGTTTCATGCGAAGATTACACGTCAGGTAAAAGGGCATGGCTGTACATAGCATGTGGATGCTCTATGGGAAGCAGTATAGCAATTTCGCTTTGATACATCTGACTCAATTACATATGTACATATCAGTTATGTAAAGATTAAGCTTGTTTGTACAATCCATGGATGCGTTGATGTGGCTTAGACGGCTAACGAATACGAGTACGAGACCTACGTATATCGGTAGGCAGAGGTTTAGTATCTTAGAAATTAGAAAGACCTGAAAGACCCGAAAGAGAACTTCAAAGTTACTCTTCGATCTTTTCCCTCTCCCCAGGGCTACTCCATCTGGATATGATCTCCTCCAGGGCTGCCAACCGCTTGACTTAGTAAGCTTCGGTGGCAATTTGCAACCCCCGCATTCCAACCTTAGAAGGTTCCAAGGTCGGGAAGTACCCAAGAAGGGAATTCTGTTGTGCATTTTCCTATCTCAGATTCTCACTTGCTTGGCTCATTTGGCGATGGTGATGGAGGGGAATATTCGTACTTGCACCGATGGCTCTCATTCCACCCTGTCACTGCCTCGGCCCGGAGGATATCACACCACAGAGAAGCGCAGGCTATTACTAATTTATATCCATGGCTTCATGGGATCAGAAGCTAGCTTCCTTGACCTCCCGCTACATGTTCATGATCTGTTAACGGGATCATTGACCGAGTCACATGTGGTGTACACCCGCATGTATCCCAGATACAAGTCTCAAGGCGAGATGCAAACAGCTGTGGATCAATTCAGTGTCTGGTATGTGATCGTGTTACAGGAATGCCGTTTTTCCTATATTGTTAACTAGTCGCATATGCTAATGGGGATACACTTGCAGGCTATCACCACATGAGGCAGATGACCTGGATGTTATCTTGCTGGGGCATAGTCTCGGCGGAATTCTAGCTGCAGACGTTGCTCGCTTACAGCAAGACGGGCAAGCAAAACATCGAATTCTGGGGGTAGTGGGATTCGATGTCCCCTTTCTGGGAATCCATCCCCGCGTAATAGCAACAGGAACCATGGGCTTAATGCCCAAGAAAGACCAGGAAGATGAAGAGAAGCTTGCGACAGAACAAGAATCTCTAGACTTGGAATCAGCCTTCAAACCCGCCCCTTTTAATCCCAACTTTGACCCACCGTTCATGAACGATGTGCGCCTGGTTGACCGTGGCTTTCTCAAGGGTATGATGCATTTTGTCAACAAAAATACCGACAATCTCTCACGATCTATCTTCAATCGCGTCGTATCACCTTTCAAATTTGCTGGTTGTGTCAATGACTATTCTGAACTTCGTCGGCGGTATCGGCACTTGATGGAGCTGGAAGGTGCTGAGTCCAGTCCCGGGAGAGTACGTTTTGTCAATTACTATACCGCGAGCACTGGTCGCAAACCACGAAAGTCCAAGGCGAAAGCCGAAAAGCAAGCAGAGAAGTCTATAAAGGAAGCTGAAAAGAAAGCCAAAAAGGAAGCCAGGAAGGAAGCCAAGAAGTCCGCAAAGGAAGACAAAGAGTCCACAAGGGAGGTTGAAATTGATCTGGATGAATATGCGACGAAAATGCATTCGCACGAATTCTCAGATACGCCAAGTGTTTCCGAAGAAACCGAATTAACCACCTCCATGAGCAAAACGACAATACAAAGAAAGCCCTTGAAGCCCACTACTTCTCATTCTTCCCTGGCGACCAAAACGGCCAACGATGACAAGGATACTCCGCTGGCGGATCATACAAGTGCAGCACCGTCTACCTCAACCTCAACCGACCAAACAGAGAATCAGTCTCCTTCAGGAAGGGTTTCCCTCTCAACCGAGAACAGCTCCATCACAACCACGGAGTCCTCAGACCCTAATAAACAACACCTTCGCAAGTTCATCCTCTTACCGTCACATCATTGGAAGTACAACGACAACGCCTATTGGGAGCCGATATTAATGGAGGACATGGACGAAGTCGTGGCACACCAGTCTATGTTTATCCCACAGGGTGCAAACTACGACCACCTCGTCGGAGATAGCGTTGGGCTAATTGAGCAATGGATTGAGAACGATCTTAGTCGACGATTTCTCCAAGAAAGCGTTGACTAATTCTGTTCAATCAATCCCGATCCCGCTTGTCATTTTCCAACTATGTAAATTCATATACTTAATAGATACTTAGAATCCCTTTCCCTATCCAGTCAATTCTCCAGCCCCGAAGAGGCCATTTACGCATTTACTAGCATGTTCTTTTCTGCCACCACACGCCAACCTCCAGGTGCCCATTAGACGGTCTTGAAAATCAGCTACCCATCATTTTGCAGCCTTTGAAAAGCACCATGGGGGTCAATTTCCTCCGAAACTGATTTGACCTTGCTCAAATTCTCAGACCCGTAGCCAGCCAGCGGATCCTGGGCTCGTGAAGAATAGTTCGGATACTTGAAATCAAGATAAACTCCATTCTTCTTCGCAATGGATTTGGTCTTACTATCAAATCATCCACGTAACGAGTGAAGCAAGATCAGTGAGGTCACAGAATCTCCACTGAATTCTGCCATTGAGACCGCCTTCCAGAAAATTACTAAAACCGCGGGTCCTGGGTCTCGAGCTCCAGCCAATGAAATCTGTGTGCCACGCGACTTCTCAAAAGCGTAGGGCCAATTATATTTTGTTAAGTTGACCCACATCTGTATACCTGTAAAGGAAAAAAGTAGGTAGCTTCTCTTTGATTATGCGTGTCATCCTTAGTGCAGGGGCCATGCTAATCTTCTCTGTATATTTTCAGTTGACCATATGCCCCGAAGGGCGAAAGGACTATCCTTTAAGTTCAATATAACACCACTTTTGTGGCTGAAGTATACCGCCTACCTATTTAGTCAGAACGTCGCGGGGAACACGTGGGCATGATAACAGAATCTGGTCAGACCGCCTACCTACTTGATTGACAACCAAATCAATGGATAACTTAAGCACGTGAAGAAACTTAAGGAACTTGTTTTGTTTCTCTTGGAATCTTCAATGCTATATTCATTTATGTTGTACAGTATACGGAGCTTGCTTATACAGTACCCACTTAGTAGACTATGTACATATCCATGCTGTAGATCAATTACTCGATAAAACTCTCACGTGACCAAGTGGGGACTATTGTCGTCACAGCTCCCCAACCACTTACAACTGTCATCCCCGCACTCCCAAGGTCTGCAGCATAATGAGTGGTTTACGCAATACTCTGAAGGGTGGCTGGCACCCTGAAGGCAAGGAAGGTGGGAAAGAGAGCTGGCGTGGTGATTTCAAAGGCATTAACCAAGTGGTAAGCCCACACCCCTCTCACTTCTCTGAACTCGCACCTCACGGGCCATTGATGCTGACATACTTGCTATTAGGCCGGTTGGATGGGAAAGGGCAAAGAAGGTGCATCCTCCGGCTCTGGACAGGGTCCCTCATCGCAGGGGGGTCTTAGGGGCCAAGTGGTGAGCTAACCAGCCCTTTGCGTATTCACGACTAGGCCATTGGTGTTAACCTTTGCTCGTTTTTAGGCTGGCTGGATGGGAAAGGGCAATGAGTCCAACACCGACCGCTCTGATCATGTCTCACAACCATTGTCAACCTTAAAAGACCCCTCTTCCTTTGGGCCTCCTCCCAAACATATTAAGTACCATGGAACAGCCGCTGTGCCAAATCAGATCAACGCCCAGAATCCCCACCAACGGGAAGTCGCCGCAGCAGAGGAGGAACAGTTCCAAAAGCCCGCACCGCCTCCGGTCCCATATCGTGTCGACACAAGCGGCCTTTCTACAGACAATCTCCCTCCACCACCAGTGCGACGGCTGGACTCTGCAAGCTCCGCCTCAACAAGCTCAATCTCAAAGCAAAAGCCACCAAAGCCCCCGCCACGACTTCCTGCCCGTAATGGATCCCCCATCTCCGACCCGCCCCCCGCTTATTCCCCTGCCCCGGTACTCTCCCACGATTATATCAATCAAGATGCTACGTCCCGCCTAGCAAACGCGGGCGTCTCCGTTCCCGGATTTGGGATCGGCCAGGAGAAATCTTCGTCGCCTGCACATACGCCTGTCAACGAGCTACAGTCGCGCTTTTCCCAGATGAACACCTCGGGATCTCCCTCAGTACCCACCCCGCCTGCTCAGGCCTCGACGAAGATCGAGCCGCAGTCTGTGAGCAGCACTTCTTCTGTCCAGAACTTCCGCGAGCGCCACGCAGATACCATCGATTCGGGAAAGCAGAAATACGGTGATTTCCGTGAACGTCATGCAGATACCATTGATTCGGGAAAGCAGAAATATGGTGACTTCCGCGAGCGCCACGCAGATACCATCGACTCGGGCAAACAGAAGCTGAGTGGCTACGCGTCACGGCTCACTGGCTCTTCCCCAGCAGCGCCTAGTCCACCGGCCCGGCCCGCGTCGAATAATTCTAGTATGAACTTGGAACCGGCGGAGCCCGCGCGGGGCACATCCTCTGTGCAAGATTTCCGTGAACGCCATGCCGACAAGATCGACATGGGTAAAGAGAAGTGGAGTGGAGTCACATCGCGCTTCAACACATTTGTGGAGGACCGCAAGTTCTCCGCCGAAGCCAACAAGCGGGTCCCACGCCCACCTTCTCGTCCCGTCTCCATGGCCCAGTCGAACTCTCCGGCGTCATTCCCAGAGCCCGATATCCAGACTCAAGCCCAACGCAAGAAGGCCCCTCCGCCCCCTCCACCCAAGCGGGCTGACTTTCGTGCATCCCCTGTTGACGCTTCGTCACCATCACCTCTGGGGCCTCCTCCCATTCCCCATAACACCAAGCCCCGCTAATGACTGTACTTTTAACCGCGTATATGTGTATGTTGCGCATTCCGGGCGTTGATGGGTGTTTTTCTTTACAACATAAACAGGATGGAAATGGAACAATCTAGTTATGATGACGATATGCGCAGATCTATCTCCCTATACGGTGTACAATACTTGTACATCATAGTCACTATCTATATCGGTGAGTCTCACGCTTTCATGCTTGCGCATATTCAACATACAGTAAGACCGAGGCTGCATGTGATCCGATTAGGCTGCTTTATATCTGATTGCACATTCCCCAACTTGTTGGGACGACTATAGTCAAACATCCCAACAAGCAGCTGATCACGAGTGATCTGAGGTCACCACATCCCTTCCACGTTCCAAGCTTCGGTCGGTTTAAGTTTCCACGGTAAAACCTTGGTTGACAATGTTCCGGGGAAACAAGGACCTCGGGAACTTTGTCTAGCTGACTCAGCGGGGTTTCCCCGGCCCTCCCTCGGCAGGGCTGTGCAGCCTGCAAAGCACAGCCCTGGAGGTGTCCAAGTACTATACAACCATCGGTCCAGAGTCCTCAGTTTTATTTTTTAAAGGCATTGGAGAACCAACCACCCTAACTATTCATAGTGCGATTCGCTTACAGGACCGCCCACGTCCAAGTGAACATCAATTTCTGCAATATGGAATTGAGAAACAGAATTGTTTCACTATTACATGTCTATTTCATACATCCATGTATGGGGTAGAACCTTCAAAGTCGTAACCCTTATAGGCAAGTGGCGATACTAACCTCGGCACGTTTGATGGCCAAGCCTTGGAATTCCCAACAAACTAAACGCGGGCGGATCGGGATCGTCGGTCATTGCCCTTGTTGAGAAATTTAGAGGGCAGTTTATCTAGTGGATCCACTGGACTTCAACACTTCAACCGTTTTTTTCCCTTTCTTTTTCTTCTTTAGAAATCACATATCTTTTTCTTTCTTATATCCTTTTCTTTTCTATACCTTTGTCGAGTTGACGCGCTGAATTGAACGCTTCCGCGCGGCGATAACCATGCACGATTTCAGCGTGCCCACCGAGTTTGGGCAGGCGATTGTTCGCATCGCCTTTCCTCCCGCGTCTCTCCTCGCCTTCCCTCCTCAAGAGCTTCCAGTGACCATTCCCGCGCCTCACGTTGACACCCCGACATGGAAGCAGCCCTTCAACATCCCGAACGATCTCTATAACCAGGTGTTGGACGTCCGGCTACCAATCACAATCGCCAGTGTCTATGCGCTCACTGTGGTCCTGATCAATCGCATCAACAAGAGCCGCGGGTATAAGCCATACGCGTTCAGCAACACCCGTTTGTTCAAGTTGTTCGTGGTTCTCCACAATGTCTTCCTAGCTGTGTACTCCGCATGGACCTTCGTGGGTATGTTCCTGGCATTCCGAAGCTCTTTCCCGGATAGCGACGATCGCAACGGACTGGTCGGAGTTGTGGACTCGCTGTGCAAGATCAATGGACCCCGTGGTTATGGCAATGCCGCTACATACAGCCCCATTACTGACGAGTGGTCAATTCCTAACCCCGCCTTCCACCTCACCAACGGTATGCCAGACCCCACCGATGCCGGCCGTCTGTGGAACCAGGGGTTGGCTTACTTCGGCTGGTTCTTCTATCTGTCCAAGTTCTACGAGGTTGTCGATACCGCGATCATTCTGGCCAAGGGAAAGAAGAGCTCCACCCTGCAGACCTACCACCACGCAGGAGCTATGATGTGCATGTGGGCTGGTATCCGCTACATGGCAGCTCCCATTTGGATCTTCTGCCTGGTTAACTCGGCAATTCACGCTATGATGGTATGTCAGACAATCGCATTGCTTTTGATTTTGTTAAGCGAAGTTACTCACCTTTTTCCTGGCTTTAGTACACATACTATACACTCACGGCTCTCCGCATTCGCGTCCCAAACGCCATCAAGCGCAGCTTGACCACCATGCAAATCACCCAGTTCGTCTTCGGAACCAACATGGCCGCCGCCTACCTATTCGTCCACTACACAATCCCCTACCCCTCCGGTAGCGCCGCGCTGGAACAGCTGACCAACGCCGCTTCCGCTGCCGCCTCTGCCACCGCCGACGCTGGTTCAATTTCCTGGTTGAAGAAGCTGGCATTCCGGGCTGCGGGCGCAGAGGGACTTGCCGAGAACGTTGGCAGTTCTTTCACCGCCGCCCCTGTCCAGCAATCCGGCTACTCCCAGCAGATGGTGACCTGTGCGGACACCACCGGACAGGCATTCGCCATATGGCTGAACGTCTCCTACCTTCTTCCCCTCACCTACCTCTTCGCGCGCTTCTTCGTCCGCTCCTACCTGAACCGTAAGGACCCAGGAGTGAAGCAGCCCACTCACATGGAGGCCGCTGAGAAAGCCGGCATGGATGCTCTGAAGAGTCTGAGCCGCGAGATCCGCAAGGCTGCTATTGAGGGCGAAAATAGCGAGGTTACTACCGATGATGAGGTTATCAAGGCTCAGGCCCAGAAGATCGCCCAGAAGGCCACCACCGCTGCCTCGCCGGTCCGCACCCGTTCGGCTGCTGCTTCCAAGGCCAAGACTGCCTCGGCCTCGGTCAGTCGGTCGGAGTCTGAAGAGGGGTTTGCTAAGGTCCCTGCCAAGAAGGGGGCTAAGAAGCAAAAGGCCGAAAAGGAGTCTTCCTCCAGCCCCAACAAGAAGGGCGAGAACCCATTTGGTGTATTGGATAACAATGCCTAAATGTAAACTTGGAGGTGGCAATATTCCTATACCGCATAAATTTGGAGTTTTGGGGGTTAAAAAAAATGATTGATACTCGGCTATGATATTCGATAGCTTTGCTTTCGTGTGTTCCACTCACCGTTCAGGGCTTCCTGGCAATTATATCACTAATTGTCGGCCCGGTGTGTTCGGGTCATGGGGGAAATCCGGGGAAATGCCCTCCGGATTATTTCCTCTCGGGGCCTGGCCTCGGCCATCCGAGTTATATACATGGACCAGAACTTGAGGCAGTGGATTTGATTTTACAGCGTCTTTGTATTCTCGGACTTTTTTTTTTGCTGTATGAACATATATTACTTTGTATATCTTTTATCACCGTTGACCTGTTTATTGTTTTAATGAGAAGACGGTATATTTTATAACTGTCTAGGCTTGATCACATGTTCTGTATCCTTGTCCTCCACATCCGGAGTAATCCCCTAACATGAATGGAGGAAAAACCCCAAGCCAAGCACCGGAGATACCACAGATCCACACAAAAGGGAAAATTAACATCCGGTACCTTGCTTGTACCCTGCCAGACGCCGCATTTACTCTAATTCAGTGGCTGATCGAGAAACATAAATTAATCATGGCCACCCCGGCAATGCCCCAGTTCAAAGAGCGGTCCACGACCCAAAATGACGCGCATCTTCAATTGCCTGCTAGTGCTCCTAGCTTGTCTCGGGGCCTCCACCAAAGCAGACGACCAAGCCGTCACGCAATGGCCACTGCAGGATAACGGCCTCAACACCGTCGTGCAATGGGACCACTACAGCTTCCAAATAAACGGCCAGCGCATCTTCATCTTCTCCGGCGAATTCCACTACTGGCGCATCCCCGTCCCAGCCCTATGGCGTGACATCCTCGAGAAAATCAAAGCAGCCGGCTTCACAGCCTTCGCCTTCTACTCCAGCTGGGCTTACCACGCACCGAATAACGCAACAGTGGACTTCACAACCGGCGCCCGCGATATCACCCCCATCTTCGAGCTCGCGAAGGAATTGGGCATGTACATTATCGTCCGGCCCGGCCCGTACGTCAACGCTGAAGCCAATGCTGGCGGCTTCCCGTTGTGGCTGACTACGGGTGAGTACGGCACTCTGCGCAATGATGATACCCGCTATACGAATGCTTGGACGCCGTATTTCACTGAAATGACGGAGATAACTAGTCGCTACCAGGTGACTGACGGCCATAACTCCATCGTTTATCAGATCGAAAATGAGTACGGGAATCAGTGGCTGGGTGATCCCACCCTGCGTGTGCCGAATGAGACGGCCATTGCTTATATGGAGCTGCTAAAGGCCAATGCTCGTAAGAATGGCATTACCCTGCCATTGACCGTAAATGATCCTAATATGAAAACGCACTCGTGGGGAAAGGATTGGTCTGATGCGGGTGGGAATGTTGATGTTGCTGGTCTGGACTCCTATCCTTCGGTATGTGCCTTTATCTATCCTGTTGGGGAGAGGATGGGGAAAAAAGAGCAAGAGCAACAAAAACTAATTACCTTGACTATCAGTGTTGGACCTGCGATATCAGCCAGTGCACGTCCACCAATGGCGCATACGTGCCCTTCCAGGTTCTGGAATACCACGATTACTTCCAAGAATCCCAGCCCAGCATGCCCGCTTTCATGCCCGAGTTCCAGGGTGGCTCGTACAACCCCTGGGGAGGACCAGAAGGCGGCTGTCCCGGTGATATCGGCGACGACTTTGCCAACCTGTTCTACCGCTGGAACATCGGCCAGCGTGTGACAGCAATGTCCTTGTACATGATGTTTGGTGGTCAAAACCCCGGTGCCATGGCTGCGCCGGTCACGGCTTCCAGTTACGACTACTCGGCACCGATCTCGGAGGACCGGTCTATCTGGTCGAAATATCATGAGACCAAATTGCTGGCGTTGTTCACTCGCTCTGCGAAGGATCTGACTATGACCGAGTTGATTGGCAATGGAACGCAGTACACTGATAACTCCGCTGTGAGGGCTTATGAGCTCCGCAATCCGGAGACGAATGCTGCGTTCTATGCTACTTTCCACTCGAACACTTCCATCTCGACGAACGAGCCGTTCCATTTGAAGGTTAATACTTCGGTGGGTGCTCTGACTGTCCCTAAATATGCCAGCTCTATTCGCTTGAATGGGCATCAGTCGAAGATCATCGTGACGGACTTCACCTTCGGCTCGAAGACTCTGCTGTACTCCACAGCCGAGGTTCTGACATTTACTGTCTTCGATAAGAAGCCTACACTGGTTCTTTGGCTTCCGACTGGCGAGTCAGGCGAGTTCTCTATCAAGGGAGCCAAGAAGGGTTCTATCAAGAAATGCCAGGGATGTTCGCGGGTCAAGTTCATCAAAGAACATGGCGGTCTGACGACATCATTCACGCAATCCACAGGCATGACTGTTCTGGAGTTTGATGATCGCGTTAGGGTTATTGTGCTTGATAGAAAGTCGGCCTATGACTTCTGGGCTCCTGCACTCACAGATGATCCATTTGTGCCGGAGACAGAGATTGGTACGTTCTCCTTATCATTTCCTCATGCTCAAAAGGCTAATTATCGCTGCAGTTCTCATCCAGGGTCCGTATCTCGTCCGCAACGCTAAGCTATCAGGCTCCAAGCTCTCGATAACCGGCGACGTCGTCAACGCAACAACACTAGACATCTTTGCACCAAAGGTTGTCAAGTCTGTGACCTGGAATGGAAAGAAGGTTCTCACCCATTCGACCGACTACGGGAGTCTCAAGGGCTCTCTTGATGCCCCGAAATCTATCGAGCTGCCGGCTTTGACTTCATGGAAATCGAAAGACAGTCTGCCAGAGCGGTTCACAGATTATGATGATTCTGGTGTGGCGTGGGTTGGTAAGTTACTCACTGGTATATGAGCATCACACGAGAAAAATTAGCTGATCCTCGCAGATGCCAACCATACAACGACGCTAAACCCGAGAACCCCGACAAGTCTACCCGTCCTCTACGCTGACCAATACGGATTCCACAATGGCGTCCGTCTGTGGCGCGGATACTTCAACGGAACGGCGACTGGAGCCTTCATCAATGTCCAAGGAGGATCTGCATTGTAAGTTCTACAACCCATCACATTAAACAAACATGACACTGACCTACTGGTTACAGCGGCTGGTCCGCCTGGCTAAACGGTGAATTCCTCGCCTCTCACCTCGGCAGCGCAACCACATCCCAAGCAAACCTCACCCTGTCATTCACAAGCGCAACCCTGCACACTGATACACCAAACGTCCTCCTAATCGTCCACGACGACACAGGCCACGATCAAACAACTGGAGCCCTTAACCCGCGCGGCATCATGGACGCAAACCTCCTCGGCTCAGATTCAGGCTTCACGCACTGGCGTCTAGCCGGGACCGCGGGCGGGGAGTCAGACCTGGACCCTGTGCGCGGCGTGTACAACGAGGACGGGTTATTTGCCGAGCGTGTTGGATGGCATCTACCCGGCTTTGACGACTCAGCCTGGGGAAAAGAGGATTCGACTAAGGATTCGACAACGTCTGTCCTTAGCTTCGAGGGTGCAACGGTTCGCTTCTTCCGTACTACAGTTTCCCTTGCTATCCCTGCGCACACTGATGTGTCTATTTCGTTTGTTCTTTCTACGCCGGCTGGTCTGACGACGAAGTATCGGGCTCAGTTGTTTATTAATGGGTACCAATATGGAAGGTATAATCCTTATATTGGGAATCAGGTTGTTTATCCTGTTCCTGTGGGAATCTTGGATTACACGGGAGAGAATACGATTGGTGTGGCGGTTTGGGCGCAAAGTGAGGAGGGGGCTAGTATTGGTGTCGACTGGCGGGTAAATTATCTTACTGATAGTTCCTTGGATGTTGCTTCGTTGGATACTAAGGACTTGAGGCCTGGGTGGACTGAGGAGAGGGTGAAATATGCTTGAGTTCAGTAGCTTAAAAGGTGGCTGTGGTGAAATTTAGATCTACATCACATGTTATACATATAAATAGCATTTGTATCTACGTTTCTTCCTGTATCTTATATAGTTAACTCTTGATACAATGCATTCTATTATACTGCTTTCATGATCTCATCCACCCTGTAGAGTTTACAATTATCTTTACTTGTATTCTTATTCAGATCCTCGGCATACGGGATCTCCTGCCATGATAGTCCACTGCTCTCAACCGCATGGGTTGAATACAGGGAAGTATGAATCAGGGCTGGATGGGAATCAAGATACTTCTGAGAAAGGTTATGCACAATTTGCTACTGGTGATTACTATTGATTTTCGAGGGTAACTAAAAAAGCCATAGCTGTAACCTCACAGATTCAAGGAAGACACGGCGTTCGCCTTCAATCCGTCTTGATCCCAAAAGCTCGCCATGATCTTTCGATCGCCAGTCCAGGGTAAGCGGGAGTGCTGAACTGCGAAGTTCTGGAACACATCATGTTAATATGCTTGCCTTCAACATCTGGGTAAGATCGTAGAAGGTCACTTACATCAATGATCAAGACATCGCCAATTTCCCAATCGACATTGACAGACAGCTCCTGCTGCAAGTTGTGCAAGATATCCATATCCTCTTCAGGAATTGGCTCGTCCTTTGGAAGGCCGGCATACTATACAAATATCAGCAAGAGTTAGTACATTTTGTGGATATGGCTCTATACCATCGGAGGAAGATACACGGCCTCTTCGTTGTTTTCGTTGAGATAGGTGTGAGGAGGAGAGAAAGTCTGGCGGTTCTTGCTATTGATGTATCGAGAGCCAAGGGCCTGGTTTTACAATCATGAGCACTCATGCCAAACCAAAAAGTCGAATGAGAGTAACTCACTGTGAATAATGTTTCTTTGCCACGAGTAGGATGGGTGCGTACTCCTAAAGACGTTAAGTATATTGGACACATCAAACTGCGACGAAAGCTCACCCGGTACTCGCTGCGTGACATCCACTCCATCTGGCCTCCATTTCCAAGTGAACCCTTTCCTCTGCCACACTGGCAGACTAGGATCATCTTTTGTCTCTGTTGACCACCCACCCATTTCCGCCAGGTCCCGAATTCTTCCATCCACAACCCTGCGCTTTTCCTTCTCCGATAGTGCGGAGATATCGCTCCCGTCTTCAGGCCCATACGCGGTCTTCTTATACAAACCATTTCCGAAGAAGGTTGTATCGGTCTCGGAAATGTAATGCGGAGCGGGGTAAGACAAGCCGTTATCGACGCAGGCTTTCAAAAGACGCGGACAAGCTGTTTTTAGGCGATCATATACCGCCAACGAGGAAGAAATGCCGGTCTTACCGCCGGACTCAGGGGGCTTGAGACAGAAAAAGACGACGTAGGGTGGGTGCGAGGGAGAAATGCTGAATTCACTGTGCCACATGATGACATGCGATGGAGGTCCCCTGGATTTTCCCATAAGTACTTTTGATTCAACGTTTAAAAATTCAGAGCTACATACTCATTTACGGTGAGTACATTTTTGGCCTGTACTTTGCGCAGAACATTCATGGCCACGGCGTCGTAGGGGTACCACCCCTTGTCACCATCGCCGGACAAAGCATCAAGGAACTGTGAAAAGTCCTCGACCGAGCGCAATGGAAGAGATTTGAGGTAGATGGCACCGCCATTACCATCGAGTAGTTTACGGATTTGGTTGGACTGAAGCGTCTCGCCGGGCTTTGGGGCGAACTCTCTCTTGACACCTTCAAGAACGTCAGGCAGAGATACGGAGTTGGTAGATGGCTCCAATATTAAGGGAAATGGTACTGGAGGCTCATTGGACTCAAGCACAATTTGGATATGCTTCTGGAAGTCTCTTGAGGAGGTAGTCCAGAAATCTTTGGCTGCCATGGCAAAGGGTAGGGATACTATCCTGATGCGTATGAGTGACTGTATGGGGTACAAGAATAACTGGCACTAAAACTAAGCGAAAGGCATCAATTTTTAATGCAAGATTACGATGAGCGGGGAGATGCTTCCTTGATCCCGAGCGAATAAATATGGCGTGACAGCTTTCAGGCTTTTCAGCTCGAAATATACCACATCCTTTTTGAAAAAAAAACAGCTCTGCAGAATTTGTTGGATAAATCTACTGCAGCTCAGCACTATCATACCGTCAGCTATCTTGCATCTGCATTTCCATTTACCTCCACATCAGCCTCCACCTACCTGCAATAGTGGGTTTCAGCCAGCCACACGATGATCCCACCGAAGTTTAAGAGCGGTGTAAATACTCCCTACTCCATGTGTATTCGAAGCTATCATCTGCTGGATTCGATACATACTCTGGCAACATACGGAGTACAAAGTGGAAACCGAGTTTCCCCGGTGTTTGGTCTGGAATCGCTCCACTAGGCAATATTGGCTGTTATCACTTTCTCTACCTGTTATTTGTAACTCTCCCACTCTCAGCTCTCAATATTCGCATTCCTCTATATCTTCACGGTATACATAATGGTTAACGTCAAAGACTACAACGCCACGAATCTCGCCTTGCCGACTAATTTGCGGGGGATTCTGCGCACCGGGGATATTCTTTATGGAACATGGTGCCATATCCCACATGAAGAGGCTGCCAGGGTCGTGGCCTTGTTGCCACACGAATTCTGTTTCGTTGATGGAGTAATGAAAATTTATCCCCAATCGTTGAACCTCGCATTAACCCCACTCTCTACGTTTAGGAACACACTCCTTTCGGTGCCACTCAGCTTGCTGCTGTAATCCGGGCCATCAATTTCTACTCGAATGGTTCGATGGTTCCTATCGTACGCTGTACGACACCTGAGATGGTAACTCACGCCCTGAACGCCGGCGCGGGTGGTATCGTCTGGCCTCATATCCAGAACAAAGAACAAGCCGAGAACTTGGTTCGCATGATTCGCTTCCCGCCCCGTGGTGATAGAAGTGTGCCTCCATATGCCCTGATTGGTCCTCAGAAGGAAGTACCGGAAGGTACTTCAACTACGGAAATCTGGGACAATCACGTCGCAATTTTCGCGCAGGTAGAGGACATCAACGGAGTGGAAAACGTCGAAGAGATCGCCAAGGTACCGGGAGGTATGTTATTGTTTTCTTCTGAGATTCAGTTTTGAGATTTCCCAGGCTCCCATCATCATATTGACTCTAGATTCCCTTCTAGTTGACGCCATCATGGTAGGGGGATTTGATCTGCAGTCCTCGCTGGGGCTACAGCCCTGCTCCGCCAGCGCCCATCATCCCCAATTTTTGGAGGCCATTGAGAAAATCCAGCGAGCCGCGGATGCAAACGGTCTCACAGTGATGGGCGGTGGAATGCCGGATACTCTACAGGACCGTCTCAAACTGGGATGGAGACTCTTCATCTGTGGCACAGATGTGGCAGGTATTATCAATTGGGGGACGCAGGTACTGGGGGAATACAAGGAAATCGCAAAGGGGGCGACTCGTCCGGCCCAGAATGGAGTTGGAAAGACAAACAGCGCATGAGAGATCCACAAACTACGTAACTGGAGACTAGTTACATATAGGTACAAATGTGGAGTACATACATGCATGTACCTAAGTAGGTAAATAGTGGGGACGATAATTACTGCTCCGACTGGCTTTGACGGACCGGACGGACCGTTCCAGCGTATTACATATACTTGTGTGAAAGCCAGGCCTCCAGCGTATCTTACCGTATAGTTGTACCGTACATATGTACATGTACCTACATATGTAGTATGTAGTCCAGATGCGTCAGCGATACTTGGAGAAATTCATGTAAATTAGTAATTCCTAGCGACGCTTGTGAATTGTGGGATGTTATAAAATCCCCTCACACCATTCACTTGTTTCACAAATGATTATTTGCCAACACTATGGCTTTGCAGATATATGGCTACGAGGTACCGTTTCCTGGTCTCCCTTTGGTGGTCGATATTAAGGTCTATAGAGAAACCCTCGCACCCGCATTGTGCGCATCGTGGTTTGTCCTACCATATTCATCTCCTATGTCGGGTAAAATCTAATGGAAATTTCTCGCCAGGCTGAACTTGAAGGAATACCATATGAGCTGGTGGAGGTAATCCCACGCAAAAATGTCGGCAAGGCTATGTACATGGGCAAATTCCCACTGAGCCAGGGCAAAATCCCCGGGATCGAAGCGGCAGACCTGCGCTTAACAGAAACAATTGCGATTGTAACGGCAAGTGGTGCAGTTATATGACATGACTCTCTACCATATGGATCCTGATTTTGTTCTCCCTCACAGTACCTTTCCAAGCTATCAAACACAGCTAGGCTTCTCGGAGACGGGTCGCATGAACAAGAGGCCCAGGTGCTTTTGATTATGAGCTGGGCCAACCAGGAGCTTCTACAAACTCTTGCATTGTGGTATGGACTGGCCTTTTATATTCCCCTTTGATATCAAACCCTTTTCTTATTACTGTAGGTTTCTTCCTCTCATTCCAGGCTTTTCTGATCCTCCCCCTTACAGCCATGCGGCTGTGGAATCTGGGAAGATCAAGTCTCGTCGACTTTTAAGCTCACTGGAAGGAATGCTAGATAGGAAGCAGTGGCTCGTAGGTAATCACTTAACTCTTGCAGACATATTTGTGGCTATATATGTGTCTCGGGGGTTGGAGTGGGTACTGGATACGAAATGGAGGGAGGAACATCCGAACGTAATGAAACATTTCAATGCGGTTGCGAAGTTGGAGGCCGTGGGGAAAGTCATTCCGAGTTTCATTTTGGTTGAAACGGAGACGCCAAATGTGAATCCATATGCCTGAGGGAAGATCAACATGGCAGATTTCTATAGCTGGGAACAGAGTATTGAAAGGAAATTCTATGGATGGCGTAAAGGAAACCCCAATTCTGAATCTATCTAGACCTTATGTTTCGACATATTATGTTATGTATCCAGCTGTGGTGGGACCTTTTGCTTACACCTCGACAAGAAAATAATGCATACAGAAAATTGGACACTTCGTCGTAAGGAACAATTCTCATAGTCTATCTTGATCAAATTGCGGGCGATATAATGGATAGACATCAGTGTATTACGATTCCTAAAGTCTCACATTCGTGTTACCTATGATCTGAAGACCTATAGACAGTACCCAGCTCAGTTTCAAGCCACATTGTTTCCAATCATGTTGTTGATACCCCTAGCCAACAACTTGATACCATCCGCATTGAGTGCTCTAAAAATTATTGTTAGTTTACGTGCAGTCAATAGCTATAAAATCTTACGCAAATGATATCCGACTGTTTCCATCAATGTAGATATGGCTTTCCGTTCGCAGGTATTGGAGCTGTGACGGCGTAAAATCCAAGAGCCTAGCATGTCCCTAGAAGGTCAAAATCAGCAACTCAGACCAGGATAAGAGGAACCCACGAAAACATCCCGACTTGTCGGGTGAGGAATCCCCACTCATTTGGGGTCTTCAGCGTGTCTAGCTCATCTTTCAGCATTTGACGGCGGCGTCTCAGCTCAGCTGTAATTTCCTTGAGATCCTCTATCCACACCTCTTTAATATCCTCGTCCCTCAAGATAATCTCCACAATCCTTGCCCCAAATGAGGGGCTGGAGCCCGTCTCCGACCGCGCTAACAAAGTCATTTGCTTTTGCATATCTTCTTTTATTTTAGTGTTCGGCGCAATGATACTGAGCATTCCAATGCGTTCACCGTACAGCCCGAAATTCTTCCCAAACGTCCCTGCTAGTAGTAGCGGGACGCCCGAAGACTCGAACATGCGAATGGCTGTTGCTTCTGCAACTGGGTCTCCAGATACGAAGCCCAGATAAGCAGAATCTAGAAAGGCAAAGTGACGGCGGGCTAGGAAGACCTGGACTAGCTCCTGCCATTGTGAAAAAGTAGGGTCGCAACCTGTCGGATTATGGGCACCAGTTTGGATAAGAATCACAGACTGAGGGGGCAGGGATTCAACGGCTGTTTTGAACGCGAGCCAATTGAGAGATTTGATGGTGGCGTCATAGTAGGGAATGTCAATGGGTTGGATGCCTTGCGCTTTGAAAAGGTTACTGTGGTTGACTGCATGATTTGTTAGTTGGGGTTTCCAACCGAATACGACAGATAATTACATACCCCATGTATCCTTAGGAATATATATCTTGCGGTCCCCTTCCTTCCAAGCGGGATAGTGGTCCTTAAGAAAGCGGGCACCCATATGAATTGCCCCCGTAGCTCCCACGGCTTGCATGGAGGCGATACTAGAAGGAGAGCATGTTAATGTCAGTCCAAATATATATCCAAATCTGACAAGGTTAGTGTTATCTCTTACAGCTGGTGTGCTACGGCAGAGCTCTTTGACCCGAAGAACAGCTCCTCGCCAGCCTTCAAAAGCCCAGGAGCACCCAGAAAAGGTAAATAGTCATGGTGCCAGTCAGGATCACACAATAACTTCTGGCGAGCCTAGAAATATACGTTAGTGCTATCAGGGAAAGAAAATATGAAATATTTACCAAAATCGTGGATGGCGGGACAAAAGGCACCCCAACAACAGCCTGATAGGCCCCGCGCAAGAGGTTGACTTTCTCGGGATCTGTATCTTGGTTGTAAAGTGATTGTAGAGTGCTACTCGCTTCTGATTATGGTGTTAGCCCGCCGTTGACGCCGTTGAGCATCGAAGTTAACCTAGCTGTCCTTTGACGATACCCTCGAAGGGATGGTCCGTTGAACTCGCCATCCTTTATCGGGAATAAATCACAAGCGAAGCGAGAGCTCTAGCAGCAGGAGTGAACAAAAGTTCAATTGGGCTATTGAGACTTTCTCGTAAAAGACAAGGAAAGACGAGGAAATCGTCCAAGATCAATGCCACCTTAAGTGCATTGTACAGGTGGTAATCGTGAATCGCGTACAAGTTGAATTTTGGTATTAGTAATACAAAAACGGAGCGCTGGAGCCCTGGAGCCTGGAGATACCTTGCCCCCTTAGAATGAGTCCTATCAGATTTTCATTTTTGCCCATGATGTTACATCATAAAGAACGCATCCTACTAATCTAGTTAGAGCTGGACTACCTACCTAGGTAGTTAGTTACATATGTAGTCATAATTATTTTTTTATAATTATTTGTTTTGGTCATATCTCCGTGCGGCACGCTCCCTGTACAATATAGACCCAGATCCACTGCAGACCCACATCTCCATAGACCCCACCTTCTCCATAGACCTACCTCCGACTCGTTCTGCTGCTCATCCACTTGGCAACTGAGCGTGACGGGCTGAACTTTTCAGCTGACCTCTTGTGAAGCTGTGTACGGAGTAACCGGGATCTGCAATGGAATGGAATTTCAGCTCAAGTCTTCGACGCCTCGGGAAATGTCATCTGCGACTCGCATCTCCATATCCACCCTTTGGCAAAGGGCATTTCACTGTGCCAACTTCAACCACAAGGAAATGGGCTCTCGCACAAGCCGCCATTTCCTTTGAGTTACTGAGCGGCCGTATATCAATCTTGACAGCCAGCCGAGAAAAGAAGTCGTCGCAGAAGGCTTCATTGGTCTCGTTATTGTACATCCTAGACTTTCCCAGATTAGAAAAGTCGCGACAGTTAAGAAATAGGGTCATACTATTTTTAGGGCCATTGCATCACAATTTTCCTTTTATGATGACCCTTTCACCGTAATTTGCGCCACAAAGGTCTCCTCGTCGCTAGTAGATCTACATGGATCCGTGTTAAGATCAGCGATTCCCCATGCGGATTGAAATCTGTGTGAATGCCAGTACCGAATGTTGAATGGATACTGGAAAGGTTACCAAGTGAGGGGGAAACAACAAAGATAGTTTGGTTTCTAAAAGGCAACATAGGTAAATTCAATGCTATATCAATATGTACTAGTTACGAAGACAACAAAGTGTAATGTCGGATCCCTGGGACAATATATCACAATTGCACCAACACCTGGCAGCCTCCGACGTTCACGCTCCGCCTCGTCCGACATAAGCTGTACCACGAAAATGGAAGGGGGGAAATGCAACGCCCCAACGCCCTGTTCCCTCGCTTAAATACGACTTTTGCATTTGTTGGCAGACTCCAATGCGCGTAGCAGGCAATCCAATAGTTCTTCCTTGTCCTCCAGTCCCACAGATATCCGCACAATGGTCTCCTTGATGCCATGACTCTCGGCCCATTCCTTATCCTTTTGAAACACCATCTGTACATACGGCAGAGCCAGCGTAACATCTGCACCAATGGACGGCCCCTTGTGGAGTTGGAGCGAGTTCAAGAACTCCATTGCCACCTGAACTGCGACGAACTCGATGGTGAACATTCCGCCGTATCCCGGGGTGAACTCTTCGGTGGCGGGCCGCATTCGCGCATGGTAGTTGTCCGCGGACCAGCACAATTTCGGGTAATAGACTTTGCTCACAATGCTGGAGGGGATCGAAACGTATGGAGAGATCTGGTCCATGAGATAGTTGGCCGTTTCATTCATGCGCGTAGCACGCTGCAGGAAATTGCGGCTGTTATTCTCCAGCTGGCGAGCATCGTCAACGTGTAAATCGTTTATGTACGAGGCATTGATGATGGCTTGAAGCTTGCTGTAATACCGGGAGTTCGGATTCAGGACCATGCTATGAAGAGGCAATCAGTGACCAGTTCGGAAAAGTGAAACGTTAGGTTGACAGGGTTGATCAACTTTGTAGATCCTTACCTGCCAGCGAGCACATCCGCGAACCCATTGAAAGCCTTGGTGAGCGACGTGATTATAACGTCCGCGACACCAAGAACGTCCACGTTGGCAAAATTCCCAATGGTATCATCCACAACGATTACAAAATCATACTTGTCGGCTAGTTCCCTCAGCCGGACCATATTGACGGTTCGGAGTAGAGGGTTTGATGGGCACTCGCACCAAACTGCCTGAATCTTGACCCCTTGGAGGAATCTGTCATCTAGGTAACTTTCAAGCTCATCAATCTCAGCTTCGGTGCCGGCGCTGAAAAATCGATAAGACGGCCCAAATGCCTCCATGGTCTTAATTGTCAGCTCGTAAGTAAATCCCACGACTACACTCTCTGCTCCACGCCAATTAAGCAGCATATGATGGGCATGATAGATGGCCGACATCCCAGAGGGATAGAGATAGACATCTTTCGATGAAACCTTGGACGGGCCTCGGCGTGAAACTGGGGCGTACTCAATCAGACTGGCAATGCGGGCACGTATTGTCTCGTAGACTGAGTGGGAGACAGAGGGGGTGGGCTGTGCGGTTTCTTCCACTTCGCGGATTCGGTCAAGCGCTTGGAGACAGCGTCCTGCTTGACGCGAAGATATTCCCGTTCCTGTCAGCCTCCAAAATAGGGTTGCCGTGCCCGATAACTTAGGTGGGTATACCACCGCGTAAAGAAGTGGCAGTTGGAGAGCGTACTCGGGAATATCAGCTGTGCCAAACCCAATACTACGTACTGAGATGCTGTCCGAGGATCCAGTCTGTTCTCCATGAGTTGCGGAGATCATGTAGGCTTTACAAGCACGAGCAGCGTTCAGATTAGAAAAAAGCATGAGTTTCTCTTCCAAAAGTAAGAATTCTTTTTGAACGGCTTCGGCAAGCTATTTCAAATCTATTGTCAGCGACCACTTGCATAATTGAGCTGGGAATTGGGAGATTGGGAAACGATACCACTTGGATGCTTTTATGAACGAAAGATCGAGGATATCCATTTTTCAAAGCTTGGGTGGCCTTGATGTCCCCAAGGGCTATAGCACAAACTTCCTGCCAGGTAGGGATCTGGACAGACACCGCGTGTAGTCGGTCTGGCACAGCCATACCATGGGAGGCGGGAATGACAGGACTCATGTCGAGGTGTTGCGAGTCGTCACTATGAAATTTGCTTTAGCGATATTGCTTAATATCAAATGTATCAATTAGAATATGGCGCCAGAAATTGATTTTATACTCTATGCTCGCAGCTACGAGGGAACTCCAGGGCTCTACACACTGCTAAGTCAGCTCGTACCCTCCTGTCACCGCCCTTCATTTTACTTTTTCTTTTTACCTCAGAGCACCTAAGCCAACAACTTCATATGGCTGCAGCCAAGTGGACTTGCTCTTGGGCCCCTACATCATGCTAATCCATACAGCTACGAAATCCATGTTCAATTATATGTTCCGATAGGTCTATTTTTGCTTCATTGGCATATTTCTTGCGTAGATTCAAATTCCACTATTCCAACACCATGATTTTTGTCCTCCGAGATTTGCACATCGCATGCGATAGAAGCCGATCACATCGCAGCGTGGAGTAAAACATCAGATCTCGTAACATATCATTGCTTTACTCACGCAATTGATGGCTGCATTGCATTACATTAGTGGTTCCACTTACTGAACTAGTGAGCACTAGTAATATTTGTATCTGATGCATTGATGCAGACGCTGCTTACATGCAGTTTTGACAGATCTCCCTTCGCTCTTTGACCTCCCTTTTGCTAGACTTTATGCCTTTGTCTCTTTGTCCACATGAAGCTATATAGTGCAGCTTCATAACAGTAGATAGGGATCATCATCAACATTACATTGACACTTTATGTTAATCACGTTCTTCTTCTTTATAGAGTCGTAGTGATACGTCAATATCAAGGTTCTTCGGATGTATTTCCCAGTTCAAACATAAAAATTACATGAACTGGTTTATTACGAATCGCTAAATTTATGTCGGCGCAGGAGTCAGACTAGTTAGTTAATATTCCGCATGAGATGTAATTTATGTTATGAGATCAATAATCCACATAAATTGTTAGGAGAGTTGATACAGATACACTTGGGCAGTCTTGAACGCCATTGATTCATTTCAAAATGGAACGAAACCGACGATTTATCGTGGCCTCAGCAGAGATTTTCCCTCTTGTCTCTCTCCTCCTCCGTCCAACTCTGCTTCAGGTGAATACCCCCAGTTTTTTATTTTATTTATTTTTTCCACTTCTTTTTCAGATCGTTTGCACTGTATTCTGCTAGAATTTCTAAGGGTATTGCTCTTAACTCCCATCCTTCCTTATATTCTAAAGTCAATCAAGATAATGACCACTGTCCTGTTGTAACAATCCTACATACAAATCTAGGTATTTGTCTTCATTGTAATAGTAGCGAATGACCTTTCAGCTCTTTTTACAACTTTGTTTATTGGCTTAAAACTACCCTTACGTCTTAAGATTGAGAGTGTCTAGCCTAAATAGTAATGATACCCTTTCGTTTGGTTGCCTCCTTTGTTCTGGCCCCTTGCTTCCGCAAACAATTAACTTAAGCTGAGCTTGGGTTACAATTCGGTGGGATTAATAAAGAGTTCAGCTGGAGTGGCGAACTAAATCTACTAGCGTGCCTCTACCGATCCATCTGCTCGGTTCTCGGGTTGTTTCCTTGCCGGTTTAGAGGGCTGAAGGCCAAGATCAACAGACAACATGAACTCCTGCAAGGTGAACCTAGGCGACTAGTATTACCTGCATAAGGCAGGATTATTTAAACTAGTTCATGATAGCCACAAAACAAAACATATATAACCAAATGAAAATGGACCTCTGAGCCCCTTTACGCCAGTGCGTTAGCCGCTCCCAGAGGTTTAAATTCCGAGTCCCGCTCTCCCGCTGTCATCCCTACTTAAATATCCTTGTTCGATCGGGTACATGATTATCATAAGTCTCTCAAAATGAACGGGAAGCATGCGACTGAGAGAACGGCCTTGCTCTCGCCGCAAGCTGACCATGAGCCGGAGGCGGGAAGAGGTAGCGAAGAGATAGTCACCCCGAAATGGCGAAAGGCACTGGGAATTATTCTGGCTCTGTTCGGTAGGTGAAGCCGATTCTATCCTATCCGCTTTTGCATGGCTTATAGAAGACTCTCGCACAGGCGTTTTTATCGCCGGTGCAGATCAGTCTTTCTTGATGGTGACATATGAAATGATCGCATCGGACTTCGATGATGTTGAGGATAGCGCTTGGGTTCTCACGGGATACAATTTGGGCTACTGCGTGGCGCTGCCAGTGGTAAGCGGAGGCGCCAAGCATATCTCAGGACATCCTGCTGATCATCAATGGCCTATATAGTACGGCAAGATGAGCGAATTATACGGGCGCAAGATTCCACTGGCTGTTTCATACTGTTTATTCAGTATCGGCTGCCTTATCTCGTATGCAAGGCCCTTCTTGGTTTCTTGGAAGTACATGTTGACCTGACAAACATTACAGGGGAACTGGAATGCTATTATGGCAAATAATTGCAGGGAGAGCTATCACTGGCCTTGGAGGAGCGGGCATGGTTGCCCTTATTTCAGTGATCATTACAGGTAACTGGTTCCCCCTGACGTTAAAGGGACTATTCTTCCCACTGCTAAATATTGTCCAGACAATGTTTTACCGAGTCAAGTGGCTCTTACAAGAAGCTATGTCAACACGGTCAATACCATTGGACGAGCATTTGGTGGTCCCCTGGGCGCGGCCATTGCAGATACAGTGGGTTGGAGATGGTAAGAAATAGTACGAAGAATAGGCTCATGCGTGTTTGCTCATGATATTATACCTAGGTCTTTCATTTCGCAGGCCCCCACAGCTCTTCTTTGCGGCATTTTTTGTATGCTCTTGTTGACAACCACAGAAGGGCCCGGGGATAAGAGCAGCGACAGATTCAAGAACTCTACGGCCTCGCCCAAGATCGACTTCCTAGGAATCATAACCTTCGCCATTGCGATCACGAGTCTGTTGGCATTGATTGAAAGCTGGGGCAAGGGTAAATCAGAGTCTTCTTTGGTCTTGTTGGGAGCAACGGTTGGGTTCGGTGTGCTCTTCCTTCTAATCGAAGCATATTACGCTGAGCAACCGTTAATTCCACTCTCTCTGCTGAAAACAACCTCAGCCATTTACATGGCTATTCAGGTGCTGCTACTGTTTGGTCGTCAAGCGGTACGTCTGAGCTGAGCCTGTGTTGTTTACTTCACCGGGAAAATGCACTAACTTCCATGCCTAGCATTTGGCAAGCCTCTCTCCCTATTTCCTCTGGACCAGGGATATCAGCGCAACAAAGGCTGCGACTTATCTTATTCCCTCCTCGATTGGATTTACCTTCGGATCTATCATCGCCGGCGTTCTTATCCAAAGGTTCGTTCGGGATCTCTCCTAAGATGACTAGTTGATACTAAAGGAGACTCTCTCCCCCGGTGAAGGTCAAATCGCTACAAGGGACTCTGCATTGCCTCAACACTTCTTACTGTTTCGGCGTACCTTCTTATTACCCTTCGGTGGGGAAAGGATACACAATATCAATGGGAATTCTTGTATGTTCTGCCCGCCGGTGCGGCTTTAGGAATCGCGCAGGCTTGCACTTTCACGGGTCTCGCCGTATGCACCGATCAGTCAATGCATGCCATCGCCATCTGCATGTATTACCTCTGCCAGCAAGTTGGTGGCATCATAGGAGCAGGTACTTCGACTGTTTTCCTACGCTCGATCTTCAAAAGCACACTAATGTCTGTTCTGTCCAACTACCCAAAAAAAGACAAAGTAAGTCGCTGAAATAACTATGTTCATTGATTCGTGGTCAAGTGATCTAATTTCTCGCTATCACAGGTTATCCAGGATATTCTCAACAAAGCAAGTTTGCGAGGCGTTCCAGAGATACTCCAAGAAACCGTACGCTCCTGCTATCTGCATAGCTTCCAATATGTGTCAGGTCTGCCGCCCTTTAGAGCTCTTACTTTGAACCCAGAGTGTTGCTTACCAGCGAATTCGTTCAGTTTTCTCGGTGGTTTCCACGGCGCTGGTCTTGCCACTCATACTTCTCACTCTAAATCCACTTTACAGTTGGAAGAAAGAAGGAAGGATTAAGGGTTGGCGTTTTTGGCGTTTTTTATGAAATACCCCTATGAATAGGGCAAGGACTGGCCGGCCTCACGTGCGACGATACGATGCGGCTACCTTTCCGTCCGGCGGATATGGCTGATCCTTCGATTTAGGATGGTGTTACGGTGGACGGAGCTCTGTTTCTGCCCACTTTTCCAGGGGCGGATTGATAGAGTTCACATCTGTTTATTCGGTCTTAAGTCTTTGCGGTAGCGTCCTATCTAATGTATTCGGCGATAGTGCTAGCCGGCGCTACTAGAGTCTATTTCCGGGAGCTCTATAAAATCAGTCTAGCTGGCACTATAGCCAGATAGCATCGAAAACAAGTCGATTATGATCAGCCAAATCACTTGATTATTCCCATGGCGTAAAGCCCAAATATAAACTGATCTAATCTTAAACCAAGAAGCGGAAACCACGACGGCTTCCTTCACCAGGAACAGCACCCTCGACCTCCTCGCCGCGATCGAGCTTCTTATTGAGACGTACGAGCATAAATCGGAGCACCGTCGCAGAGACAATGGCGACGAAAGCCGTTGCGCAGTTGACGGACATTGCAGGAACTATATGATTAGTTGAGATTGCTAGAGACAAAACAAGCAGTATAGAAACACGTACCAAATCTAGGAGCATGGGAATCAGGATACATATAGCTAGCATAGATACTGCTAGCATTGCTAACACAGTTAATAGCAGCCAGGGCAGCGGCACGCTTCGCAGCCGGACGAGGTAGGGTATTTGAGATCCAGCCGAGGGCGACGACGTATCCGGAGTAGAAAGACGGCACCATCAGCATCATCGCCACATAGCGAGGTGCGGTAGCTGTGGTAGTAGCAGCAATGATGAATGCTACGACGGAAATATATAGCGGTGCGGTGACGTGGAAGTACCGCTCTCCGGTACGGTCTGCATGCCATGCGTTGGCAAATGCGCAAATAACAGCCAGGCAATAGGGCGGGGCTGTCAGGAGTAGAGTCTCGATGTTGCCGTATTGGAGTGTTTTGACGACTGTCGGGAAGAAGTTGGTGACTGAGGCGGAGGAGACAATACAGAGGATCATAAGCATCAGAACCCAGGTCTTGATGTCTGCGAAGGCGAGCTTGGCCCCGTGCAGGAAGGTCTGCTGCTCGCTGTCGACCCAGTCGTCTTCGCCGATGTCTTCTTCCAGACGCCACACAGCTAGTTGCTTCTCTTCCTCTGAAAGCCAGCTGGTTGTGCGGGGGAAGTTGGGGAGAACGAAAATTGCGATAAAGGCAATCGCAATAGTGACGGCACCTTCGATGATGAATAGCCATCTCCAGGCGCGCAGTCCTAGCACATTGTCCATGTTGCTAGTAATGCCTGCTGCGATAAGACCCGAGAAAGCACCCGAGAGCAAGGAGCCAGAGTACAGCGCTGCGGTGCGGAAGCCCAGCTCCTTGCGGGTGTACCAAACACTCAGGAAGTACAAGCAACCTGGGAAGTAGGCGGCCTCGACGAACCCTAGGAAGAATCGAATGACCACGAGACCGGCGTAGTTTTGAGCGGCCGCTGTGGCAGTGGAAATAATACCCCAGAGAATCATAGCAATTGGGAGGTAGAGGGCTGGCTTGCCGAATTTGTTTAACATCAGGTTGGATGGAATCTGCATCAACAGATAGCCAACGAACAATATACTGACACAGGTCGCGAACTGGCTGCCCACAAGACCTAGGTCTTCCTCGAGGCCTGCTAGACGAGCAGAAGCAATATTGTTCCTATCCAAGTAATTGAGAATATACATGATGATGATTGTGGGGAGTAGACGCAGGTCAATCTTGCGGACGAGAGCTTTCTCGGCTTTCGTGCGTTCTTCGGGCGTCAGGTTGGCAACGTAGGCCGGGGCTTCTTTCTGAGGGTTTGGCCTGTCGGCATTGGCGACTATTCCAACATTGTCAATGCGAGACTTGTCGATATCCCGCTCTTCGATCTCTGGGTTTCTGGGAGACATTTCTGTTTGCTTTGCCAGCGTGAGAAAGGGTGAAGTACTAGGAAGTGGAGAGAAGAATCCAAAAAAGTAGCAAGCCCACACTAGCCAACTTTGGAACTCAATATTTAATTAAATAACCCAAGCCAAAGTTGATAAGAAGATACCAGAGGAAGCAAGGGGTATAAGAATGGAGAGAAAGGGAAAAAGAGCAAATGTTAAAAGTGAGACTCGGCGGCAAGTCGGGGCAAGTTGCGAATTGTGTTGGAATCCTCTGGCTTCTACAGGGGTTGAGTTATGTGGCGTTGATATCTATTCGTCCGAGAGTAGCACGAGTATTGAGACCTCGGGAGCAAGTATCCATAATTTGCCGTGCTCTAAAAGCCATACCAATCAAACCCATGTTATAGGACGGGACAAATATGTTTCTCCGCAGAAAAGCTGGGAAAACTGGAGAAATGTCAGACCCCGGACTTATTCTGGTCACACCATCCTTTACCGGCTTTTTTTGTGGGGAGAGGTGACAGGGGATGTGGTTGAATATAGGAAAGATCATCTCCCCGCGTGGGGTATGCTTCTCGCGTTTAAGCGTTTTTAAGGGCTAACCTAACCAAGGTAGTACCCCGGCGTGGGGGTGAATCCTAGTTCGGTATGCATGATTCTTTTCCGGCATTTTAAAGCGGATTTCAAAGCGAGGGATCCGTGGAAAGTAGATGCAGCTAATGCCCGAGGTTGTGAATGTCCCTGTTTCTCCCAATGAAGTTAGATTTATAGCAACAACTCTAGGCCGATAGTATTCTATTTTGGGTATCATGATTCTTGTCCTCTCTATATGTGTTAATAATCAACATCAATACTTTCTCATTTCATTTTAACCAAACGTGTATAGAAGACTGCAGAAGTCGAAGGTCTAACGTCCATATTAAATAGACTTCTATATATTGAGATGCAAGCCTTATTAGATTGCAAGGTTAAATTGAGAATCTAATATCAACCCTAATTCACTACACTACGTCCCCCACGCATTCTAATAGAAGTATGCTATTCCCATCATGATATCAATGGTATGGGAAGCCAAGATTCCTCTCGTCATCCTTCCCGATATTCTCGGTTTCCCGATCCCTTCATTCTTTTCGGGTCTCTTCTTTACTTCGGACCGAGAAGACATTCTGGCCTGAAGAAAGAATGTAGAAATACTGCTTGCGAGGTCTGCTCTTACGGTAGATCCTATCCTAACTAAGAGCACCTTGTTCGAGACTTTTCGATTCCGACTCTTCAATATTGTGAGTCTTCCTAGTTGCTACCAGTAACTACTAGAAATAAAATATCCCAAGTGACCTGATGACCTGACAACCTGACAAGTACAGGCCTGTGCCTAGGACGAAAGGCGTGAGGAACGGGGCCAGGATCTTCATGGTTTACGTGGTGCTCCAGTCCGGGTATGAGAGGTCTGTACCCACCTAAAGAGAGAGACGAGCAGTGTCTATTTAAATCATTTCTAGTAAGGAATACTCACATATAACGATTGTCAAGTCAAAATAATGTGCATCATTACTTTGCTTTGCTGGTTGCAGTTGTTGCGACCACGTGCGTTCTTTCAGGCATAGGAAGCATAAATCATACCATCTTTCTAGTTCTGCATGTGCGTAGTGTGTAACTTCTTCCTATCATAGCCTTGCAGCATGCCCCGATGCTCCTCCGGTAATCTATTACATCATTTCAAACATAGAGCCTCGAGGCCCTCTGTATGTAGGATCGACGCGGACAAATTCCCAAACCTTTTCCGAAGAACAGTTATCTGAATTCAACTAATACTTAATTACTTGAAATTTCTCGCGATCTAGTGTGCTGCCTAATTATCTCTAACATGGCTAGCCGAATCCTCCGCTTTCGATTTTCTCCCGATATTCGCCTCTACAGGCCTTGCATGCTAGATGCACCCTGTGGCGGATTGTGTAACAACCTATCAACACTTCTAGTATGCATAATGACACTATAGGAAACAAGTTGTTCTAATCTGCAGAGTATGGTATGCAGTTTGCAGAGTATAGATATAGAGCCTTGTCTGCAGTGAAGACGCCTTACGAGGGATTTGGACAAGTGCAGCTATTTAAGTCTCTATGCACATCAACATCCATACTGCCACCTCGGCGGAACGAACTAGTTCGGCGGAAACAGTCGTTAGATATAAATTATTTTGTTACACATGGTTCATCTGGTATCTACATTATTTCACTTTTAGCTCTTCTTTGCATCATGTCTAATGATTTTTACCTAGCTAGGCTTTCTATTAAAGTACCGATAAGGAAGGGGCCCACGTCACTACCAATAGATATAAATATCTTAGTTGGAACTTGCCAGTCAAGGCGTCGACTTGGTAATTGCACTCCATTACTTTTTGGACTCTGCGTTATTGCTCCACCCACAGTACCATATTAGGCGATGGATGGAACACTTTCTATGAAAATTGCACCCCACTTCGTCGAAAGCTGGATCAGTCCTAACTGGACGTTAGTGACTGTTGTTGTTGTTATTATCGCTGCTGTGAGTACATACATCATCAACCTTTACTGGTAACGTTTATTCTTTGGTGTCATAACTGACCCCCGGGGCCCTTTCGGCGGCTTAGATAATCTTCTATTGCATATACCAAATTCACCTGCATCCCCTTTCTATTTCCAGGGCCGATTACCTCCAAGCTCTGCAATGCCAGGGCTTTATACTTGAAACGGGAGTCTCACCTGGATGTGCTACAGTGCCACCAGAAATACGGTACGTATGCCCTAGTCAGCCATGCCCATATACAACATAAACTGAACTGCATATGATCAGGCCCTGTGATAAGATACACCCCGAGCACTCTAATCTGGAACAACGCGGCCGGACTGAGAGGTAAGGCTTTTCTATCCCGTACGGTTGAGCTCGCCCCTAATTGGATAAGATATCTACGGCATCCGAAGGAAGGTTCACAAGACACGTCACTATAGATTCCTCGATCAAGGGATTCCAAATATACTCTCAATCTGCGACAAAGTCATACATGTAGGTCGTCGTCGAATGTTGAATGCCTGTTTCACGGACACGGCTATCCAAAAATTTGAACCCAAAATATTGCATCACGTACAGAAGTTCTGCAACTCACTATACCCATCAGAAATCCAAAATAATACCCATGGTCAGCCTTCCTGGGGACCAGTCATGAACATGTTCGAGTGGTGCGCATATCTCTTTCGATCCGATGACTGAATTCGTCTTCGGCAAAGGGTCTAATTTAATAGGTAAGCCGAAGAACCGGGTATTGATTCCGATGGCAGAGATATCACTCGACTGGCTGGCAGTGCTATACTATCTGCAGCTTCCTTGTCCCGAACTTTTAACAAGTTTCTTATTCAAGTCTGTGAATCGTCGCCATGGTATCTTCATTAGATATATTAAGTCCAATTTGAAAGATCGTCATGGTCTCAGCCCCGAAGATCTTGGTGGAGACGTTTTCTCCCATTTGCTGTTCAGTCGTGACAGTTATTCTGGGGAGAAATCGAACGCTGAGGAAATCCAATCGGAGTGTCGACTCCTGTCTGCTGCAGGTGAGTTAGGAACAAACCACAAAATGGACAGCTATCTCATGCTACATAAAGGATTTGACACTCTTTCAACTACATTATGCGCTACAATTTTCTACCTCAGTCACTACACCCATCCCTACACTCTTCTAGCAAATGAAATTCGAACCAATTTTCGATCTAGCGCAGATTTCCAACGAGGGGAGAGGTTAAAGGGGTGCAAATACCTCAATGCATGTATCGACGAGTCGCTGCGAATATCACCCCCAATATGCACGTCCGCCCGAGGGAGACTGAGGAGGGAGGTGAGATAATCGACGGAAAGTTGGTCCAGAGGGTTATGTTGTGGGTACCTCTATTTATGCGATTCAGCGAAGCCCGGAATATTTCCCTCGGCCCCATGTATACCTCCCAGAGCGGTGGTTGACGACCGATGAGAGCCGAACAAAAGCTGGCTTCACACCATTTTCCATGGGACCCAGAGCCTGTATTGGAAGTTCAATGGCCATGTCAGAACTTCGGGCCACAATTGCGGTTTTTATATGGACGTTCGACTTCAAACTCGCTGAAATGTGATAGCAGTATACTCAAGGCGCTCAAATATAATACCATTCCCTTGCCTCAGGAAGGCATATCACTGGTTGTTGATTTATTGTTGTCACTCACTTGATTAAAAACCTCCGCAAAGACTAACGCACGCCAACGGGCAAAAATTGGTGAGTAGTATTAAAACACCGTCAGATCTTTTTTGTTCTGATAGCAATCAGCATTACATCAATATCTTACGGGAACGGCGTAGCATCGTATCCTGCCATACAAGAGAGACAACGTCTCTCTACGCTATCCCGTCTTAGCTTTCAGGGATATCAATTGGTTGCTCAGGTTTTGCTCAGTGAACGAATTAGGGCGCTCAGATCAGGATCGGCTCAGGTGAGGATCAGGTCAGCTCGCTCGCAGGCGTGCTTAGTTCTACTCAGTGAGCCAAAGGCGGCAAGGTCTGAGCACAAACGGAAGGGGAAAGCCAAGATGTGGCAGAATAAATCCGTAGGTATGCCAAGCCACGATCGTCCTCTGAGTCATTGGCATCCCTGCTTTAGCCTATCACTAGGACACACTATTTTATGACGGAGAATGAATCATTCCAACACATTTCCAGCCGCAAGGCTGAGGCTCGTAAAAGTGAAATCGATATGAAAAGAAAAAGATGTGCTGCCTATGCCAGTATGGTGATATATAAAGTCACTCCAATCCGCAGGTTAGGCAATGAAAACCAAGGAGATCCTGGATTTCTTGAATCATCAAAGATTATGGCTTCAATTAATCCGAGCGAAACAGATGCCAATAAAATCACTGATAAAGAGGCATCCCCATTCTCATCAGAGTCAAGCAGCTTGTCTGAAAAGCGGGATCAACGCAGTGTGTCGCCTGAATACGACCCGAAGGCCGGCGAGAACAGGCTACGCCCAGCTGGAGGTACGTACTTAGGTGTTGAGACATATATAATGACAATCTGACAAGTTACAGACGTTATCAATCGCATTACTTGGGATACAGCGTTTGGACGCAACAACTATGTCATTGGATTTGTGGACCGATTTGAAGGACAATTAGAAGTCGCCATGGGCAGTTGGAAGAAGGAGACCACGGACGAAGAATTCATTCCACAGCATCGGGTGTTGTATATCAGACATACCAATGGGGAGATTGTTTGGGATCGAAGGAGACGTATTGACAAAATCTTTTTCAGTGGAAACTCGGCGTTTAGCGAATTGGCCTTTCTTGCCTGAAGTTGCACTTTGTATTTTCCGTATCGCACCTTCCGTTTCTTTTTTGTTTACACTTTTTCTGTTCCTTCCAATGTATCTCCTGTCTTTGTCTTATAACATTTCAACTTTCATCACCTCATACTCATCAAACTCCAAAAATGGACCATTCCACGAAGAAACCGTCTTTGCCTCGCTTGACCACCAACATTCCCCTACTGCAGAAACCCGCCAATGCATCGTGCGATGCTTTACAAACACTCGGTGGCAATGCACCCCCGGTCATCATGCCCGAGAGGCCGGCGAGAACTTCATCAATGTTCAAGGAGGACAAGCACGATGAGGAGAACATCATCCCTAGCACACGTTTTACATCAGAGAGCATGCCTATCTATGTTTCCCAGAAAAGTGTGGACGATTCACCGTTGACAAAGGTGAAGAAGTTGTACTACGAAGACGCATTTACAGCCCGTGGATCGCACAACTCCCCCAAGGACCGCGTCACCCATGAATCTGTTGTTGTCGTTGAGCTCAAGACCAACACAAAGGTTTGTGACTGATCTCTGCTCGTTGATCCCTCTCTGGAGATCCCTCTCTGCTAACCCACCAACTAGGCTAAGGATGATACACCCAAGTTACTGTCGGATTTCGCACACTTCCTTGCCCAGGTCTACCAGCGTCCGGAGACATCAATGCTTGTCACCATCGACCAGAACGCTGACTTGCTTTTCGGAAATACCTCCGGTTCGGCGTACCTGTTGAAGATCACTGCTCTCTCGAGTTTGATTGGACCCCTCACCAACCTCCGCAACACGGGCCTAATCCAATCAACGATCCAAGAAATGTTTGGCATTGCACCTGACAAAGGAGTCGTGATCTACACACCAGTGAGCGAAGATAACGTTGCAACCAATGGGACGACCGCCAGGAGTGAGATCGACCGCCTCGAACGAATTGGTTCCAGCAATAGCCCCTCGATCTTCAAGTCTATCTCGCGATCGATGAGTCGTCGTATGAAATCGAGCAGCGGCAACAGTGCTCCTCTTTCCCTCACTTCGGTCATGAGTCCTGACGTCGTAAACTCTACTTCAACTTCTCCCGTCGCTGTTACTTCAGGTCAGGGCCCTCTCCCGAGGCCAGATCAAGCAGGCGACAAAAAGCCGATAGAGTCACCCAAGGGGGAACCAGTCCAGCAGGTCCCATCCAAGGAGGAGAAATTTGAACGAACCTTAAAGAAGAGAGAGAGCTTGAAGAGTTTTGTTAACCGCCGGTTGGGTGAATTGGGCGAGCTGACCACAATGAAACCATTCACAGCCACGAAGGGAAAAAAGGATTAGATTCTGTTTGAGAACCACAAAGTGCCATGGCTAATGTACTTTATTGCATTGGGGTATCTTGTTAACGGGCTTTGGCATGTGGCTTCGCTGTATCAAACCATTCATTCTATATGATTTACCCTGCTTTGGCCACAGCGCATCAAGTCTTCCTCTCTAGCATAAAATTAAGTTAAATGCTTCTACTCAATGTAGTATGTATCGTTATTTTCCCTCTGTTTCCTTCCTTTCCAAGAGTTGTATACTCATATCTTTTTGTTTTCTTTTTCTTCAAGTTGTTAAAGATGCGTCGCCTTGCGCGCTTCACGTGAGATCGTGTGCTTCAGACGATATAACACCCAACTCTTCCTCCACCATGCTCTCACACAACCTTTTCCTTTATACTACCCTCATTTGTCTCGGCCCTTCGTAGGGAGCATGAGAAAATCCCAGTTCCTTCGTTGCCTCTCTCCGTCCACAACACAATATCATGTCTGACGCAGGTGATAATCAGGTTGCAGCGATTAGCCGCACCGACAGCGATGAGTCATTAATCTTGGTCACCTCGTCTTTGCCTGCTGCCGTCAACTTTGTCCAGGAGACCCCTGGCGACCTGTTCGACGCCCCCAATGGCGCTGCTCTGATCCGTGGGAACCCCTCGTTTAGCGAACCTTTATTTTACTTAGAGTCCTCACTAACGTAGTCAATTTAGATGCGTGCAACTGCCAGGGCGTTTGGGGCGCAGGCATTGCCCGTGCATTTCGTGAGCGGGTTAGTCGATCCTAAAATCACTCACTTGACGCGACAACTTAGAGCTAATCACGCGATGTTTTATAGTATCCCGCCGCCTACAAGATCTACCGCAACCACTGCCTTATTTATCAGGATCATCCGGTCACCGACATCATCACCGATCTACGCGACGAGGACCCGCACCCCTCTCTCGTTGTCCACCGCCCCCTTGGCACCGCACTCATTATCCCACCCCAGCAGAGTGACTTCATCCTACACCGCCGGCGCCATTGGATAATCTGTCTCTTTACCTCGGAGAAGTACGGCAGCCGTAAGGATTCAGAGGATATGATTGTCAATAGCACTTTTGCTGCCCTCCAGGACCTGAGTGGACAGCTACGAGGTCTTCCCCAGCAGGCCTCCGAGACTGGTAATGAGCGACCCAAGGGCCTCTACTCCAGCCGCTTCTGCACTGGTTTGTTTAACATTCCCTGGGAACGCATTCGTAAATTGATCAACACAGTCGGTTTGCATGTCAATGTCTACCACCCCTTTGAGGCCAGCAAGCGCCGCGCTCGCCCCATTCGCATGGAGTGTCCCAGTGAGAGTCACCAGGACTGAGAAAATCAAACTCTACTTCCTCCCCGTCAGCAAGGGTTTTGGCTCATGGATGTTTCTACGGTGTGTTGAGGAGGAGCGTTCTGATGATAATTGAGCAGTAACCATGGGAAGCATCCATGGATGTACGTAACTTTGATACGCGAAAAAAAGCCAAAGAAAAGGACCAAGCAAAAAGAAGAAGAAGAACGAATCAAGCCTGTCGTCACTAGGAAAGTAGGGCCTCCCCTCATCACCTGACAGCGCGTACTGTAGATCGCGCCCGCGTCGGAGTGTCCCCCGATTTCCCCGATCTCTCATATCACCACCCTCACCATTCCCACCTGCGATTCCCACTATACTACCGTTCAGCAGCTATCTAGGAAACTACGATGCCCGGCGAACCTCAGCCAGCTCAAAAGCGCCCACGCCTCCCCTTCAAACCCCCGAGTCGAACGACCAGCGCGGGACCATCCAGCTCCGCGCCAAAGGCGAAAGGAAAAGCGAAACAAACCAGCACAAAAGCCTCCGCATCCACTACCGTGCCCAAAACAACAAAAGGCAAACCGACGACTCAGAGCAAATCTACAGGCCAAAGAAAATCCACAAGTATTGGGAAACGCCCCCGACCTGATTCTCCAGCAGCCAATGCCAATGCCGCCTCCGAATCCGAATCGGAGTCCGACTCCAATGGATCGAGCCGCAGCCGGTCGCGCTCGCTCTCTCAGGAGCCGGACTATATCCTTGCTGAGATCACGACTACAAACCAAGCAGAGGACGTGACGTCCAGCGACCCAAAAATACCTTCAAAGCTGCTCACACGCTTACTCCACCAGCATTTCCAGAATGAGAAGACCAAGGTCGCAAAAGATGCCAATAGCGTTGTTGCCAAGTATTTTGATGTCTTTGTGAGGGAAGCCATTGCCCGAGCTGCTTATGAGAGGGACGAGTCCGATGGAAATACTGGGGGCAGAGGTCTTGGAGGCGGGTTCCTCGAGGTAAGCCTTCTTTCATCCTCCAATCAGCTATCCTTGGTATTCTGATCGATCCTATAGGTTGAAGATCTTGAGAAAATGGCGCCGCAGCTTACGATGGATTTCTAGCCTCTGCGTCTCTCCTACCAAGGGTCATGGCCTTGGGTCAAATCCATTATGTACTATGGCTTATTATTTATGGTTCAAGGTACTACAGCATCAGCAGAAAGCATGCAACACTCTTGATTCAAACATCTTCAAACGCAAGAGGCCCGCAAGAGTGAAATATCCCTCGGGTTCATATACTCAGGTGGCTTTCCAACGGTATGATCCTCAACAAAAGGCGGCACTGCTCCAAAGCCATTGGCATTGTGAAACAGTGCAATGTCTCTGTTAACCCTCTTCGACAACCACGTATTCGCCACATAGGCTGTGTTCTTTTTGCTGAGATGAACAACAGCAACGGGCAGCTTGTTATGCTCGGGCAGATGGCCGAGCTTGGCGTCGTAGGCTGTGTGGCAGATGTCGAAGACGAAGAATACCCTCGTTCGCCACTTCTGAGCTGCCACCAGCTTCGTTGCTGGGTGAACTTCTTGTGGAATGTAGAGATGGCTCGCCTTGAGGAGGCGGATGGCTTTTGGTACGAGGGCTTCTGGGTTGTTTTGGGCTTTGGAGATCTGAGAACTCCTGTGCGAGACGATGACTAGGACTCGGAGGGGATTTCCCTGGGACATCGTGGGCTGGATATGTGAGGACTAGTCCCTTTAGAGGTCTGCCCGAATGGGTTCTTACCGAGATAGACAAGACGGAATGTGTGGATTGTCTCTACACCTTTTCGGTAATTTCTAAAGGGCACACTGCGAATTTCTCAGGATCCTCGAGCAGAGTTTAAATAATATTTTCTTTCCCCTACAACTAGGAGACACATGGGGGCAAGGTCGGTGTCTTACCTGGACTAGATGATAACCTTCCAATGGCCCGAGAGTCTGGTCGTTCAAATCAGAACATTTGCCAGGGGATGGTCATCTGCCACGTTGTACAAGACATGCTGATAGCTAAGTAACAAGGGTCTTGCTTCAGCCGGATATCAACGCTGTCGGGTACCTTGTGACTGGGATGAGAGGTCGGAATGGGACTCGTGTCAGTCTGACATCAAATTATGTACAACGTACCAAGCCCGCAGTATGCATCGGAGATGATAAAAGAAAAGTCAGGGGGAAAACAAAGAATAAACGAAAGCTGGATGTCACCAAGAATGTTGTATAGTTGATAGTCGGAAGGCGGTGGCTAGTGGATTTTCCCCACGCGTTTTGTTTCTTCAACGCGTCAAGCCCAGCCAGAAGACCAGTCTTTTCGAGATGGACGATGCGACGACCTCCTTGCTCACTGAGCACTTCAGTTACACACCCTTGGTAAGACGATCGAGACCGATACGCATTGGCTTGTTGCTGCACGCGCGACCTACGACCTGCGACTCAGGACCCACCGCTTGCAACTGGGAATATCGCTGACGGCTCCCTAGTCTCTGATAGATGACATTATCAACTCCATTAACAACCTGATCTACCAAGCGATCTCTAGCTTGGAGTCTGGGCTACTCAATACGCCGCCTGAACGGCTCGGTTTCTCCCATGACAGCAGTGGTCCCAGCATCGCGGAAACAGACGAGGATGGCAATGTGGTCTATCCCGAGGCGAAGCTAGAGATCGAGAATGGACTGCATCAGTTAGAGACGCTGCTAGAAGCCAATGTTGATAAGGCCTTCGACAAATTCGAGATCTATGTGCTGCGCAACATTCTCACGGTGCCCGGGGACTTGCTCTCTTGGGTGCGGTTGAAACACTACGAGGTTTGTGGAGTCATTCAAAGATTTCTAGATCTTGAATTTTCTGGACGTTTTGTAACAGGGTATATACTAATGTGCATTGTGCTAGGGTCTCTCTTTCGGATCTTTCCCGGACACGCCGACGCCAGAAACCGTACATGCGCAACGCAAGAAGTTGTTCGAGACGAAGAAACTAAACCGGTCGCTAAAAGAAGAATGCGCTCGAAACGAGGCGGTCATCTCACAACTACAATCCATCCTGTCGACAGTTGAAACAGCGAAGGCAGATGGTGTGTCCAAGACGGCCGAAAACAAGCCAGTGGATTTGTCCTTCTTGACCTCTAGCCCAGCTGCACGCCAGCTTCGTGTTGGTGTCGATGCTGGGCCCAATGCGAAACCCACGCCTCTTACGACCAACACTACTTTCATTCTCTCGCAGCTGCCCGCCTTGCAGACGACACTCGAACAGCTCCGGCCGAAATTGGCAGCGCTGCCTAATGCAACGGTGCCAATGGAAACCAAGTCCAAGAGAGATGAGAGAAAGGAATACATCGAAAGCCGAATTCGACTCCATCTCGAGCGAGCTGGTCAGCTTGCTGTGGGTGACGATGGAAATCCGGTGGTCGCCGGTCGCAGAATCGACATCAGAGAGGCCCACGCCCTTGAAAGCGTCGCAACCATGCTTACGCAAGACAAGTCTGTGTAAGAGGATTTGCATGTCAAAAATGTTTCGTTCTACGACTTTATTATTGAGTATGTACTGGTCGCCTTACTAAGACCAAGTGATGCTCCATGTTTCCTGGGTCTTCCTGAAGGGGACAACGTCAATCTTTTCTGACTGGAGGATCTCCGAAATCTTCTCGCCCTTCCTCTGGATGGTGATGAATTCCTTCTGCTCCTCCGGGAGGCCATAGAAGGCCCGTCCGAACTTGCTCATGAAACCCTCGACAATTTCTGGTGTGATCTCATCCTCCTTGAGGACACCGTTATCGCAGGCTTGCTCAAAGGCATCAATTACAACCTGAGTGGTGTATGGTTGGGTGAAGACGCCGGCAGCGATCTTCTCGCCACCACGCTTGGATGCCGCCGGGTGCGGGGCGCTGTCGGACCCGAAGAAGAACTTCGGGTTTCCTGAAGCAGCAGCACGGAGAAGGGCATCTCGGTCGGCTGGTGTCTTAGCAACAGGTTTACAGAAACAGAATGGGTCACCGGCCCATGAGTCGATGATAATGGATAGGTGATGAGCGGTGATGGTACCAGAAACAGTGGGACCGCATTTCTTCACGGCCTCCACAGCCGCAGCAGTGGTACAGTGCTCCAAAATGATGCGCAGCTTGGGGAACTTGGAGTGCAGCTCAAAGAGCTTGGGAAGGAAGCGCTCTTCCGCGGACAACACTGTCACATCGCCTCCGGAGGGGCTTTCTCCATGCAGGTTCAGAATCATGTTTTGTCGCTCCATCTCCTCGAAAACGGGGTAGAACTGCGTGTAGTCGACCACGCCCGAAGAAGAGTTGGTTGTCACACCGGCCGGGTAACTCTTCACACCAACGACGCCGCGCTTTTTAGCTTCGATGATGGTCTCCGGCGTCACGGTCTCGTGGAGGTAAAGCGACATAAGGAAGTTAACATTCGGCTCGAGGGCTTGGAGGCGCTTCTGGTAGTCCAGAGCACGGTCAACGGTTGTAATCGGTGGCACAAGATTGGGCTATCGAGTGTATTAGATATAGCTCAAAAGACAGGATTTGCTCCCATCCCAATAAAGATATCCCCTTACCATAACGAAAACGGTGTTTACACCTCCTTGTCGGATAGTGGGAGTCACCAATTCCATCATTGGACCATCACGAAGATGGACTTATCTCTGGTCAGCTTGCATCTATTAATCTCGTGGAATTGCTTAGTACCATGGAAGTCGGCCGAGGCGGGGAGCTTGACTCCCTGCAGCTTGGAGAGAGGCATGATCGATTCAAATCAGAATCAAGCCCAATTGCAAAGGTTATATATCTGAAATGTTCAAAGAGAAAGTTGATCTTCACTTTTGCCCCGCCATTTCTGGAAAAGTTCTGCCGACGGCGGTGGCGACCAGGACTTCTCTAATCTCCTTTCCATTCTTCCTTGATTCTTAAATCCTTGGATTATTCTATTATACATTGAAGCGTCAGAGGAAAGAGAGTTGAATTGAAAATAGAAATATTCCAACGTTACCTGCGCCCACTCTCTCCGCACGGACTATTTACTATGCACAATGGCATGCATGCCTGGGGTAGTACTCGGGGAGAACCATCGATATACAAAGACCAAGGCCTAGATCCATTCAGCGGATACGAGAATGCCTCATACAAACAAGGCAAGGATGTGTGTTCCTGAATCATCCTTGCCGCTGGTGGCTCCCAGGCACAATTCTCGGCGCTTCGCCGTCACCTATCACAGGTCACGATGGCCACCCTCGAGAAAATTAGATTTCCCAAAATACGAATGAGATCCGTTCTTTAACACATATTCGATCGAAGGAAGGTTCACACTCTATCTTTAGGTCCATCAGGCGCTTTGTTGGTGCTTCCCCGATGCGTCTGCCAAGTCTGCACGCTGGCGCCCAGGCAATTATGCTCCGGGTATTGCACAAGTCCCAGTTGCAAGGCCACTGTTTGCAATTCTCGACGGTCCTGCAAATTTAACCTAGAGTCTGAGGCGAATCAGCGCGATCAATGTCCCATCGAAGCGCTCTGCATGGCTTCATGCAGTAATACTGGCTGAATATTGTCTTCGGGATACGCGCTCATTCGACAGTTACCTCTGTGATAGCAATAGCGCTCGCTAAGGTAGTTCCCGGATCAATCTACGACTATGTTTCCGCAAATATACATATCCCAGCTGGTATCCGTTAATCATTGAGACATCATTTGAACCTAGTACATGCCTTTTGCTTTTTCTTTTCTTTTTTTTTCTTATCATTGCCCCTGACGGGTTCTTCGTCCTTTGATATCAATTCCTAGGAGTACCCTTGCTGGCAAGGTGGTTGACAGTTACACACTCTCCTGAGCCCTCTCTAGCATCTCACGAAACCCAACTCCTTCATCATGACCTCAAACTCGTCCCTAGCCGGATCAGGCGGTGCTTATTCTTCAGACATGGAAGAATCGACGTTTCTGAAACGCAATCGTGTCATCCACTTTGCAAGACTTGGTCTATCTTTCTTGATTTTCGGCATTGCTATCGCCGTCGTCGCATGCGAAGCCCCACCCTTGCGCCATTACAAGAACACCTCCCAGTGGGCGAGTGCCGGTCTCGCACTGTGGCCTTTGAACTTTGATCTCCGTCCAACAACCGCTGCCATTTCGTGCGGCTGCGTAATCACCAGCTTGAACCTGGTATACATCGCCGTTGCGCTCCTACCATCTGTGAGTCTTACACCCCCTTCTACTGCCCTGCACGACTACGTCTGATACCATCTATTAACTCCCCTCCAGCCGCGTTCCCGTATCCAATCACTTAACAATTATGCCTCGATTTCAGCCATCGCAGGCTTTTTAACCGCCCTGGTCAGCATCCTATTCATAATATACCTACCTTCTTCGAATTACCCAGCAGGGTTCAGCAAGAACGAAACTCTCCACAGCTGGACCTGCAAGTGGAAAGCCGGGACAAGTGGCACTAAGGCACCCCGTCACTTTGATCGACACTGCATCAATACTCGCGCTGGATTTGTGTTGCTGTGCGTACTTGTTGGAATGGAAGGGTTGATGGGACTCGTTGCTGCCGTTGGCATGTGGTTCCAGCGGGATGTTTCTCGTCGTCGGGCAGAGCAGTTCCAACTCGAGAAGTTAGAGATTGCTACTAAGCAGGTGTTTCGCAATTGATGAGTGAATGACTTCCGCCGGCGGGGGCGGGTTAGGTGCTCTGTAAGAATGGCGTTGGGTCGTTGATATATGAATGTATGGTTGCTGTCTTGAATGGAAGGGGTTACCTATGCTCGGCATGATTTGCTGAGAGGTGAGCGTCCATTAGTTTGGTATTTTAGTTCTTTTGTTTTATTTTACTCAGCAGTACATGTCTGCTCTAGTCTGTGTCTCAGTGAGGTTATGGTTTTGCTCTACATATGTCACCATTATCATTTATATTGCAGATCGAATATTCAAAGTCAGTGCAATTCTATAACTTTACTAAAATAGCTTCTGCAATAGCCATGTTGGCTTGCTTAAGACTTATAATCCATTCTTTCCGGAACAACAGCCTTAAAATGCTGCCCCTAGTCCTAAGACCACAAGAGCCATCCAGCTACCAGCATCATTCATAACTGCAGCTCCTTCTGATGGACTTGCTGACTTCTCATTCCCAATAAATGGTTTGGTCGGTCCGGCAGTGGTAGACGAGCTGCCACTAGTGGTTAAACTAGCATCTATGTCGGTTGGCTGTGCAGCATTCGACCCGGGCAGAGTCAACGAGGGTGCAACGGTGGTCTCTCCTTGGTCATATGCATTCGCGGTAGCGCAAACATTTACGCTGAGCTGTCTTGCTGCAGACGAATCCGGGTCATCATCGGAGCAGTCTACGTAACAGCTGTTCAAGTATGTTAGGGATGTTTCATTATGAAATTGCAAGAGTCGGCAGATGGGCTACTCACTTGGCAATATTTGCAACGCCCGAGCACTTGCAGTCCCAATCACTCGAGGTACACTTTGCGAGTCCACGTTTCATAATAGCGACGCATGAATCTACAACCCTGTTGACGATTAGAAAGGAATCTTAAACGGCGAATCGTAGGTGGTTAGAGTTAGAGGCTTACTTTTGGGAAGCGCAGTTCGAGTTGCTTGTGCTTGCGGATGTAGGTATTCCATCTTGAGCGGCGATGAGGGTAGCCGATGAAGCAAGTAGAAGGAGATGAGTAGTAAAGAAATGCATATGGATATTGAGAATGGTTATATTGAAGAAAACACAACTCGAATTGGAAAGAAATGCGCCCTGAGTATAGATCAGATCTTGGGGTTTAAAGTTCAAGTAGATTCACTCAAGACCTCTCAGGGTTATATTGGACTCTGGACGTTACATTCATCTCAAAGACAATGGAACCATTGTGTCCTCTTTCATGGCTATGTCTATTCCCGGCACGTTGATGGGAGAAGAAGCACGTGGGAAAGTATCCACATTCTTAAGGCATGTATTCTTCACATTTATGCCCAAGAAAGCTATGTGGATAGAAGAAGAGAGATTAAACAAGTTAACTAACTAGAAAATAAAGTCCTTTGCGTGCACTGGGTTAGTATAAAACCCTAGACCAGTTTGAAGACGAAGATCGAACTAGAAGAAGACAATCTCGCCCAAAGCGGTATTCAGGTCCTAACAGGCTTGCGAGTTACCATGGGAGTTGACAATGAGGTGCTTCTTCGACATCATGACTTCCTCTAATGTCGCATTCCAGAGATCGGGGTTACATTCCTCAGTTGATACCCCTTGGCCAATGGTGAATGACCAGAGCCGCATTAGGAATTTTTAAATCTCCACAATCACTTACGCATTTTACATGGGCTGACTACACTATAGCTATTGCAGTTAGCTATTGCAGGTAGTGCAATAGAAAATAGGTCCTCACACATCCTGACGCCTTAGGTTGGCTCTTTCGGAGGCTATGAGTAACCATGAAACTACATAATTGATTGCATAGATAGAACAGCCATGGCGGGATGTCTTTTGCTATTTTCACTGGATATTTCTTCCGGTCAGATAGGTCTTTCTTCTCGGCAATCAAACCATGATCTTTCTCGCTTCATAAACATCCCTCAATACTTTCAGCCAGAATGTACCTTAATCAGAGTTAGAATTAGCCTTGCATAGAATCAGAGCCAATATGCCAGCCTTCAGTGCCTAAGCCAATTTGTGCTTTCGTCAGAAAATTAGTAAGTCATTCATTAGCGAGGGTCTGGAGGGGAACTCCCCGAGCCAAAAAGGACATGAAAAGATAGACATCTGATATTTTAATGTCTCTAGTGCATAAAGCAACTCACCAACGGGAAGGAAGGGTGACGATGACTCGCATGTATGCGATATGGACAAACACCAACTTCCTTCCTCGTGAAGTACTTCCATTGCGATTCCGCAGAACGCAACTCTCTCCCTCGTCGCGCACCACAACGAGTAATTGAGTGCTTCGCTTTCTTTGTTTCTGCCGTCTTTTACGAAATGAGCGAGCAGCCCGCCCGTCCTACTGGCCGCGGCGCCAGTACTGCCCGCCGCCGGAAGGAAGCCTGGCGCTCCAGCCGTCGTGTAAGTCTATTGGCACTCCATTGTTGGAATGTTTGCGGAGACTGATATAATTCACAGCAAACTGCTGCCCGAGCTGCCGCCGCTCACGATGCCCGCGTTGCCCAGCTAATGACGCAGGCCATTCAACAGCAGGTTGACGTACGCTATCCTGATTTCTTACTCCCCCATTCAGCCCGATCTTCTGAGGTTATATACTGATATATTTTATAGCAGGAAGGTATCCAACCCTCCGCTGCTCGTGACGCCCGTGTTGCCGAGCTCACTGTGCGGGCAATCCAAGCACAATTGGACGTAAGTTCTACCCCATTTCCCTCTTTTTTTTGCATCTATCCCAACCTTCTTTCGGGTTGGCAGCAGTGGTCATGATGACTGACGTGCATGACTGTACACAGCAGGAATTCTGTGCCCGTGGTGGCTCAGCCCGTGGTGGTCGGGGCCATGGCCGTGGCCGTGGCCGGGGCCGAGGCCGAGGCCGTGGTGATGTGCGGGGTGGACGTGATCATCGTGCTGGCCGTGGTGGCGGCGGCGGCGGCGGCTATAATGCTGCCCGCGAAGGCGGTCTTGGTTCCCGTGATCGTAGAAGCGGTCACGGTGCTGTCCACAGCGCTGAAGCGCGTGGCGCCAGCCAGCAAAACCTGCCCGGACACCAAGCGGCCCGTGAGCCCGCCCCGGATGGTGAACCCCAATGGTGGACTAGGCCGGAGACCGGTCTGGACGAGATGGAAGGTAAGAATAATTTGCTTCTCTCACCGCCCCCATGCCTTGATCGATCGCGATACTGGAATTATACTAACCGTCATATGTATTATAGATGCTGACGCCCCGTAAAAGCATGCGATTTCTGTGAGGTGCCCCTTTGGGACTGAACTTTAATAACTCGATGAAGATGTTTCCGGCTTTGCCTCAAGAGGAACAGCCCGTCAGGCGGTCTGTTCTTTGGGCTGTTGCTGGCTGTCTTGGGGAGGCTTTGTTTCTTCCCTGTTCTTCTATCAAAACATGAATTGTCAGCTCGTTCGCTCATAGTGGAGCATTCGGCCATTTACCAATTCTTCTCTCACCCCATTTATATCCTCATAATTCTCCTACCAGTATGACAAGAGTGCCACCAATCGCCTCCCAAATGATGTTGGATGTTGGGAAATGCTATCATTGCTGCTGCCGTTGTCAATCCCCTCCTTGTTATCATGCTGTCCGTGATCGAGTCCCGTGTGTCTGTCCCTTGCGGAACCAGCTCATCCTGGGACCTTACTCGTCTCAACAAGAAGGGTGACCTGAATGACGTCCAGGACTGTATGCATTCAAGGGTTCGATATTCGGACTGCCAATACTGTGAAAGGGCTTGGGCTTTTTCTGACCAGTGCAGATCCTTGGCTGTAGATATAAATGAGTTCACGACGTCAGCGTGTGTGTTAAAGCTAGATGTATGTCCAGATGTCAACTGGATGGGCATAGAAGATGTAGTTAGTAGAAGATATAGCTAGTTAGTTACATCTAGTTACTTGTTAATGGAAATGACATAAATCACCGCGACACCGCCTTTGGCAGAAATTCATCCTTCTCCATTGTTGCGCGTCCTTCCGGACCTCCTCTTGACAAGCCCTGACAAGCAGAAAAACCACGGACAATGACAGACCCTACTCTGGCGGAAAATTTGGACCTTGATGAGGAGGCCTATAACTCCGCTGAGGATGAAGATTTCCAGCTAGACGCGGCACCGGACGACTCCGACTTATCTTCCGATGCCGATGAAGCCGCAGAACCCGCAAAGAAGAAGCGAAAGACAGACACCCAATCTCAGATCCCAAAGGATGCAGAGCTTGACTCTGGAGACGAAGCTACAATTAGAAAAGCGAGGGAGAAGAAAGAGAAGAAGACCGGGAAGAAGCCCAAGGGAAAACGCGCGCGCGATAGCGACGAGGACGATGTCGACATTGACATGGACGACGATGAAAGAGGGACTGGGGGATTCGTGCGAACACGCGCAATGAAACAACAAATGTGGGCTTTTTGTTCTAATCAATGCTACTTGACTTATTATCGGGTTCTAATACGCGTTTCCCGAGCAGGCAGGAAGAACAGCGCAAACCGCTGGCCAGAGTCGACGGCGCGACCGTGGACGTGGACGCTCTATGGGAGCAGATGAATGCCCCCCAAACCCATACCAGCTTGCAGCCACCCCAGACCCAGCAGATATCCGAATCCGTCCCAAAAACCGAATCAGCGGGCGAAACGAAGGCACAGGACCAGTGTGCCAGAGATGCAGAACATAAAATAGGCCATGCGGTGCAACCCGACCAGATGATTAAGATCAAGCGAACCTATAAGTTTGCTGGAGAATGGATCACTGAGGAGAAGGTTGTGCCTAAACACTCGGCGGAGGCTAAAGCGTTTTTGTCGAGTGGGGAGAATGTCGAATACACCGATGAGGACGCAGCCGCGAACGCCACTCGTAACCTTCGGCGACCGCTTCGCAAGATCTCGCGATTCGACCCCAACCCGACCGGCACGATCAAGAAAAGCTGGGAGAAGCAACTCGTCACCGATAACAAAGACCCGCGCGGACCCAAAATCAACACCGTGGAGAAGTCAAGACTCGACTGGGCCTCGTACGTCGACTCAGCGGGTATCAAAGATGAGCTGCGCACGCATAGCAAAGCTAAAGAAGGTTATATCGGTCGCATGGACTTCTTGGGTCGTATGGAAGACAAGAGGGAAGAGGAACGGCGGGCGGCACGGCTCAAGGGCATATGAAATCAGCCCTCGTGCGCTCTCTGTCCAATCCCCTTATAGTGTCAGACACTCTTCCTCCTGCCGCATGCTGCAAAAAGCATATGGCTTCACACAGAGTCTCGTTATTGCGGAAGTCTCTGCAACCCTTATGCCGGCGCTCGATTCCGATTGAAAGGGTGAGCTCTTGACCTCCTAGCCCCATCCTGCTCGCCGATTCCCAACATTACGGTTATGCCCACCGCAGAGCCAGGATGCTTTCCCGAGAATGGCTGACATGCTTGCCTCAGAGCTTCGACCCTGAACAGGCGCGTGTCGTCAACGGCATATAACCACCGGTTTACCTCTATACCCAGTGAAACGTTATCGTCAAGCGAACGATCATCATATCAGATTAACGAGAATTCGAATCTGTTCTATCGACATGTACTATAGCAAGAATCCAGAGATACCAGTTCAGCGACACTTTCAGTGTGCAAATCAGCAAGAACAATCATCACGAAGACTCATCACCCCCATTCCGTATTTACTTGGGCACATACTTGATGCCAGTTTTGGGGCAGCCAGAATCAGTGACTAAAAGGACCAAGGATGTCAGTAAAGCAACCAAAAAGCGAACCATAACACTTACGGGTATCAACAGCCTTGTATGTTCCATCAATAGCATTGCCCTTAACATTATAGAAATACCACACCTGGTTCAACTCGCCACTAGAGCAGCCAAGGTAAACCGACGCGCCATGCAGGTCGGTAAGAGCCTCCTGGATCTCACTGAGCGAGTAGGTCTTGGATGTACTCGGGGTAATGCCAGCAGCGGCGAGAGCCTGGGACGCAGTCAGAAGCAGCACATATCGTGAAGGGCAGAGAAGGGGCCATACCTTGTGGGTATCCAGACTCTTGAACAACTCAACCGTCTTCTGGAAGTAATCGCCCACTTCCTCCTGTGCCTTGTAGTCGGAATAGCAGCTGGGCTCGATGGTGTTGATGCAAGTACCGTGCTTGCTCCACTCATGCGACCAGAAGTCCTCGTTGTCTCCGTTGATATCAACCCAGTACTCGTCCATGTAGTCGACCAGGTCACCGAGGTTCTGGTCCTGCAGAATCGCTGTGATGTTCGAGTAAGCGCGCTTCGAGTCACAGCTCGCCTCGTATGTGCCGTCGCAGTTGTCGGGCCTGGATGGCAGGGAGAGGGGGTTAGTTTACAATTTTGCATTTGTAAGGGGTTAGATCAGGTAGGAATGTTACGTACCACAGTCCATGGATGGTCCATGAGTCCTTAGGACCGGTTGATGGGTCGGTATCCCAGAATTGAGTCTGCAGGAGGGCACCGCCTGGGTAATTAAAGCAGCAGGTTGGCTCGGTGGAGGAGCTCGCGCAGCTGAAGCCGGTGCCGCTTTCGCAGGTTTCGAGGCTGGCGGTTGTGCCGGTGATTAGGCCCATGGCTGCTAGGGCGAGCATGCCCTTTGAGGATTGGGATTGGAACATCTTTCTTTTCACGATTGAATTTAGATAGAACTGTCGAGCTGAGTGAAGAGATGTAAGAGGATCATCGCACGGTTTTATGCTGCGGTCCTGAGACCATACTCGGCATAAACATCGCCAGGTACATAACAAATGCAGCACATGCACCGATAACAAGACGCTGATTTGTTCTCGGATGTCGCCGCTAGACCTATCGTCTCAAGGAAGAAATAATATCAAGCACAGGAGTGCTGGTCCAACCAAGTAGGCGACGATCATCGAGCGGGGCATGCCGAGAGGTGGATTTCTCGCTCTTCTCTCCAATGACGAGACAGAAATGCACAACGCACTCTAGCGTTAAATAAGAGTCCGACGGTTTTCGTCTGAAGACTGAGGAAACGCCTTCTGAGGTTGCATCGACCGGGCTACCCCCTTCGGATCTCCGACTGTTAGTCCAAGTTGATCCAAGTTGATTTGACCTGGTGAGATTAAACCCGCTGATCGCCCGACACTGACGAACCAGAGCACTTAGCCATGGATCTGGACTGTTTTATCTGAAAGCTGATGGTGTCTGGCTTAAGTGACAGTGGCTGCTGTGGGTATCTCTATGGCTGGGATTACTGCTGGGTGGAATCATACGGAGTTTCCCGTCTGCCTCGTCTCCGCAGGCTGGCAGTGCATTCCCACATGAAGGAACCCGTGTTGGATCGGGTGGATGTGATGGAATTAACCGAAGGAAATATAGAAAACTACAATAACAAAGGCTCCTGTTCCTCATCATTGGCTCGCGGAGACGGTCCAAGTCGAATGTGCCAAACGGCGGTGACAGCAACAACGAAAAAGAGAGAGGCTTGCAAGAATGGCAGTCCCATCCAGGCAGTTCCAAGATGCATGCCTAACCGGAAGAGGTTGGCAAATAATGGACCGGAAAGGAGCGTTCCTACGCCCTGTGCAATGGCAATTGCCGAATACAAGGTGCCAGCATGGTCGGATTGCACGAGTGAAGTAGCCATACTGCGTGTGGTAATCATAAATGCTGAGCCGATTGACGAGATGACCTGACCACCGATCAATATAGCGGGTGTTGGTGCCATAGAGATAATGGCGAAACCAATGATTGAAAGCACGCCGCTACCTTTGCTCAGGAAATGGTCGCTATGTTTTCCACGGATGTTCAGGTGTTTGGCGGCTAAAAAGGCCAAGATTGGCATTATCACCAAGTATGTCACGAGAGCAAAAATCCCGCGCAGCGAGATCAAGAGACTGGCCTATAGCATGGTTAGTCTTTGATCCAACTGAGAGGACAGGCACATACACGACTAATACTCCAGTCGAACTTCTTTGACACATATTGCAGAAGCAGGTTTGTGCATTGTCGACTCATCACTGTGACAAACATGACAAAGACCATTAGACAGATATTAGAATCGGCCCAAATGAAGCGTGTTGACTGTGCGAACTCGCGAACTTGTCGAGTGAGCTCCTGCAACAGCGTCGGCTTCCTCGGAGGCTGGGACTGCTCGCTTTCGCTGTCCTCTTCTGGGCCTTCTCGGCTGACTTGCTTTCCTTTTGCATTTCTGAGAGTCTCGGGCAGGAAGAAAGATGGAATACTTCCCACAATGATAATGCATACTGATAGGATAAAGGGAAACATCGGACCGAAGGTCATCAGATAAGCACTAAGTGGAGTGGCCAGAATCTCTGCGACTTGGATGCAAGATTGTAGACGGAAGAGTGCGGTTGCTCTGTATATATGTTAGATTTATCACGAAAGATCGAGCCATGACGGTACCTTTCATCTTCGGAGAAGACATCTGCCACTATGACCATGGCAATAGCCGTGAGGACTTGGTCGCCGCCACCGATGATTTTGAACAAAGCTGACATCCAGACCATCCGGAGGGGAATAACACTGGACCACAGGCCTGATATAGGGGATCAGTAAAGTATCGGCAAAGATTCTAACCGACTTACAAACTATCCTAACCCAGATCTCGCCGAGGAGGATGCCCAATATGCTAAGATACAAGAGAGGTTTCCGCCCCCAACGATCCGAGAGGACGCCATATGGCAGCGAGAGTATAAGACCTGCATTTCCAAAGTATCAGCATCCCAAATTCAGTGTATCATAGAACACACATACCAGGCACCACATCAAATGTATTTTGGTACCCAATCACGAGCGCTAATTCTCCCTGTACTGCCTCTGATTTACATGGATTCGATTCTGGCGGACTCAGGGTCCCATTTCCCGCCCCATGAAGAGTGGCCTGGTAGTTTCGGCAAATGATATCCTCATACACAGCCATTTGCGGTGCGGTGGACATGAAGAATCCGAAATCGGCCGATAGCAAGAATATAGCACACACGATGGAGACCAGTAGTTTCTTTGGATGCTGGACTGGTTTGGTTGCATGCGAACCCAATAGTGGCTCTGTCTCGCCTGTCATTGTGTTGGTCATTGTGTTTATTGTGAATGGTCTTGAAAGATGCCCTTGGAAGGTCGAGAAACTAGGCATCAAAAATGTCAAGAAGGGAGATTATGTGTTGACGCCATTCCCCTTTAAATTAGTTACCCCGTCTCTGCTTATGCGTTGTCGGAGTCCAATGAAAGACGACCGTTAGATAGGGGCCGCTTGACAGGGGAACTTCCTTTTCCTTTCTTTGTCTTGTTTGGTTTTTTGACATTTATCTTCATATTAACTTATCGTCCTGAATTCAAGTCAAATCCCAATGGAACTTCGACATTCCAAGGACTTCGCGTTATCGAAAGTCGGAACTCGGAGTTCGGGGCTCGATCTGACAGGTCTCAAAAGGAAGATAAGCTCCACGTTTTCATTAACATCGGTTAAATCAAAAAGCCGATTTCGCCTTAAAGGTGACAGCGTGTCACAGTGCCCCTGAATTCATATAAGAACCCTCAAGGATTCCGTGAAACCACCTTACCAGTGTGAACGCTTCCGGGATGACCGAGAGAAACGTGGTCTTGGGCAGTGCAGTCAAGTAGTTGTGCGATCTATCTCTTGCTCTCGATCTTGCAGTCCGACAGGCATATTCCCGTCATTCTGGTCTTTCCCATCGGTCTGACCCCAAAGCATGGGCCAGTCGGCCTTTCAACCTCGGAACGCACCGACAGTCGAGGTTTTGCAACAAATCAACGACCCCGGTTCCATCACAGAGCAGGAAGATGCCTGACGGTAAGGCCTCGAGGATATTTCACGAAAACGTTGACCGCATTTTCTTGACTTAACCACGTAAACCTGCAAGTTCCCGGTCTCACCTTTGTCTTCTGCACGCGCCCGAAGCTGCACCTTCAGATTTCGCAATCTGACCGCCAACACTGCATAGAACCGGAGGGGTTTTCTCGGAGGATTAAAGCTCTACTTTCTTTCCTTCTTTGCTTCTTTTTTGGTCTGCGACTTTCCGTTGCACGACACGAGTGAGAGTCGGGTGGCGTCCATGCGGTAAAGTGCGACACGTTCAGTTCTGGGCTTGCATCTGTCGGAGATGAGATTCCTGTCCGTCCTGGTGACTCGTCCAGATTATGGGCTCCTGGGTTCCTGCTTCACTGTCTGTTTAGGGATTTGTAATACCTGTTCGTCCTGGTTTCCTTTTGGCAATGTACTTAAATGATTCGGGCTTGGACCAAGCAGTCAGCTACTTGCTTGCATTTGGATAGCGTCACATTTAGCCATTCCATATACTTAGCCAAGTCTTTGGCACTTGGGCTGCTATTCTGCAAGTTGTGATGATGATGGGAATGGGAATCTTGGAAATCAGGTCACAGAATGCAGGACTCAAGTAGCAAATAAGTCTAGCATAAAAAATACAAAGGATCGTGACCTTTTCACGTAAGAAGTGAAGTCATATCTACAATTATTACAAGAATCGCACCTTCCCTACACTACAGAGTAAACAGAAGAGGGTTTCTGCATTCGTCCTCCTCACCTTTTGCTCTCCAATTCATCTCATGTCAGAAGGCTCAAGTTTGTTCGGATCTCTTCTTTTGGGCCGAAGTCGAAAAATATGTCGGTTCTGTACGTTGAATAGGACCTGGCAAAGTCTTATTCTGAATTTTACAGTCACTGCACAAGATTATCATGAAATTCTGTTGTCGCCAGTTTCTATGAGTATTTAGAGCCAATGTTCTCAAGTCTAGACTAGACTAACACTTGTGATTCTTAGAGTCCCTGCTCCTTCAGAGGTTTCTTGTGGGCCGAGTTCATCGCGTATGGGAAAAAGGAAAGACCGTCCAGCCATTCAACATGTGTGGTACAACTCTCTTCATTCCAGTGGCCGTGCCGACATTTCCACCACGCCGATACTCTGTTCGCAAAAGACGGGAGCACAGACATCAGCAGCCTGCTTTCTGTGAGTGGACTGTCGGTTTTGATCTCAGGTTGGAATCAGATTTAAATGAAGGCCAATCGAAAGGGGGGTTTAAGCTAGAGTACTAAGAACAAAGAACAAGAAACTAAAATCGGACGGCCGGACTATTCTTCTAAGTGACCTTCAGTACCTGACAGGCTATACTCCAGAGAACCGAGACATTGCTAGATAGACGGTCAACAACAACCTTGAGCAAGGAACATCATCCTTAACTCCTTTTCTTTTCTCAGCCAAGAGATGATTAGACACGAAGTGCAAATCCCACGGCGGGCTGTTCACAGTGGCGGCGTCGGATAGGATCCTTATGTGCTTGTTCTGTGAAGACGGGCCCAATTTGCGGAGCCTACGCTGCGTTATGCTATACCAAGATGAATAGGCAGCAAGACCATTTGGTCGTCCTTCGGGTCGCTTTCGGCTCGGAGGAAGTCTGTGATTGCTCTCGTCTCATCGATAATTTCCCTGCTATTGGTGTAGCGGGCCACTTTGGTGTGGAGGGAGTTTAGTCTGCTCACACAGAGTCCAACCACATCGACAGTGACGATATTGCAAAGATCCAATGAACCTATGCAGTATTCCATGGCTTCATCTGGTCCACGTCTCGCAAACTATCTGAGCTTGAGGTGTCACTGAGTCAGAAGCGAATGAAAACATGACTCTAGCGAGGCATCATCCTCTCTCTTCGACGAGACGTCGTTCTTCCTCAAGTTCGTCAAAAATATTGGCGTGACAAAAGGTTGAACTGTATACGAGTGATGATTGCGGAGGAAAAGAAAAGAAAAGTGGAGGAAGGTGCCGTGGACATCCCGAGATCTCTCGTCGCTCACCCATCGCTCACTATTCCACCTTGGCAACATTCCCTATATTAGTTATATAATAAATTGCGTTAGTCTAGATTTTATTCAAATAATAAGGCCAGAATATGATGCCGTCTTGAGCCCAATACTGCGAAGTGTAACACACTGTCAGCAGGGACGCAAGTCTCTTGAAAATAGGTGCATACCCCGGACAGCGAATGAATTATAAGTATATGTGTCGCTCAGTCAGCTCAATATATGAGACAATCCGCACAAGTTACTATAGGTTGACGATGAAAAAAGGAAAACTATCTTCTTCACTCAAGGTAGTCTAGAAGACGCGGTGCTCATGTCTACATATTTTATGCTTTCTAGTCGACAAAATATATATCCATGTACGACCACTTGACTGCAAGCAAAGAGTATATCAAAGTAAATTGACTATGGCACGTTATAAAACCATGTAGCAATATAGAGTACATATCCCTGTTCAAATGCCATCGTTTTCGGTCAAGCTGGCTTCACTAGTAGAATCCCACTCGATAAACGCTATAGTAACTGCACACCATGTACACCATCATTATAAGATAACAAAGTCCCTCAAGGCTGGATTCACCCAGAACTACTGGCAGAACCTATATCAATATCATTTACGGCAGACTCCTTGAATCAGTATAAAGGTGGGAGCTTGCATTGGGTCTTTTATCATTTACAAGTTTAGCTCTTGTTTCTTCTGTTATTTTTTCCCCAAGAAGCTGGGAGAGGAGTATAACACGATAGCTATAAGGACACCAGAAAAGACATTTAGATATGCCGTTGAGGAAAGGCAAGTCGCCGTACCGAATGTTGGCTGTTACGCTTGATTTCATCTACATCACACCCGGAAACCCATGAATATCCCCTTTGAAGGTCAGATGGTTATGAATGCTGTTGTGATGGTCCCCAAAAAACCATCATACTCAGTAAGCACAACACCATTCTCCTTTCACCAATCCAATAGAGATCAAAATTAACACCATAGAGTTCAGCGCTATCTGTTTCCCAGTCCAAGTTAGCATTTCTGCCTAGAAAACCTACGCAAAGGGCTTACGACCACCAAACCCCCTCTCATCTGACCACATATTGGCCGTGCCCCATCTAAGGCCGCACAGAGCATGTAGAAACCCACTCAAGTCAAGAATGACATACAACCCTGTCTGGTTAATCCGCGTCACAGTAGTCCATCCCAAGCACTCACCGCGATCCCAGCAAAACCAATTTAACACGACTCCGCGAAACCAAGATACAGTAAGAACAGTACTCAAGACCCCATAGTCGGATATCAGAGTCGCGGCCCTGGAGCCAATATGTAGGGGAAATGAAACCAGCATCTAATAACAGCATGTACCTCTCCCGAGTAGGCCAGGCAAGCGCAAGGGCCCCAATAATATGATATCATCAGATTCCCATCAGCGATCATCTGCAATCACACCAATCAGGGCGCGCCGTCGGCGACCTCGCAGGCTAGACATGGTTCGTGCTCTGCAGGGTTCCTGCAGAACACCCATGTCTGACATTCTCCAGAGAGTACGATATGCAGGGTCGATCCGTTCTTATTGGGGAATCGAACCTGGCTTTTCCTTTTTTGCGGGCGCATGCTCATCCTACCTTGGTTACATCTGTAGCTACTTTCGATCTAGTTAGTATAGGCTAGGTTACATAAGATAGTGGCAGCGGGCATGCATATATGGGCAGTTGGAGGAAATATAGCAGGTCAGTGTGCTTGCACTGGTATGTGATATAGGCGGGATTATTGCAACGCTGCATCTCTGCGACACTGTAAGGTTTTCTTATTATTTTCTGATTCACAATTCAAGTAATAGGAACCGAATACGTTTGGTTTGTCTCAGATGCGTGTCACGAATCATGGTAATAAGTATCCTGATAGTATGTGTGCTCCTTCATCGCGACTCACATCGCGTCCCTGGGAGGAGACAGGCATCCAGGATGTCCACAGGCACACGAGGATCCAACCTGGGGAATCCCTGAAGGAAACTAAGCTGAATAGAGGAGAACACGACTAACCGACCATGAGCAAGAATAGCCTCAACAGGGCAGAGCTAGAGCCCTCCTAGGGCGTTGGCACATAGACTTTCGCCACAATGAAGTTGGTTCCTGGAAACCGGGAATAAATTCATGCAAGGCAATGCAATGCAAGTCAACGTGGAGTCTTCATTGACTGGAGGAAAATCGAATTAAAAAAGCAAATCAATTTTTTTGAATGCCTTTGTGAGCGAACGAGAAGCCGTTACGTGAAGAGGAAAAAGGAAGTCAACAAGCAAGGGGGGTGGGGGTAAACGGGAGTGAACCCATTGCCAAAGCACACCGAAAGACAAGCGAAAGCAACAACCAGATGCCATTTTGGGGATTATGCATGATCCCGTCTGTGTCTATGCTATTTTTTGTACTATTGATCACTTTTGGAGCCTCGATCTCTGATGCTTGCCTCCTATAGGCCGCTCAAGTCCGTCCCTGCATCATCCGGCCCAATGCCGAATGTTCTATGAGATAAATCATTGTCTGCATTTTATCAATTCTATAAGGCTTGCCTCATCCCCTCTGGAGCCCATAATACCTATACCCAATTAGGTAACAATCTCTCGGTGGACACCGATAAAACGATCAGCTTTCGACCGATCTCTGGAGTCCTTTATCGAAAGACGAAAAAGAAAAAAAACACATTTAGATATTCAAATTAAGTCCCAGCACGGTCCCCTATCATACAAATAGTCAAGCGCTTTGGCTTCAGGATGTGATAACCTTTATTGGAAAATGCATATCGAACCTAAGTTGAAGTATTGGTGTGAGATCATAAACCAACACCATGACTCGCGATGAAAGCTGAATAGTCATGCCGAGTAATGGACATTTGCGGTTGCGTCAGTGGCACTCAGCGGACCTGCAGCACTTGCAGCCAGGCACAAGCCGAGTTACAGGGCCGGGGAGAGCGCTGTGCATACCGAAGAATGCCAATGTCAATCATCGATCAGGAAACAATAATAGGTAGTACAATATACAGGCAAGTATGTCGGGCCAAAATCTAGTGGGAGATTTGTATGGACTGCCACGTACTTACGAATGTGGTAAACTTTCGCAATAATATAAGATAAGAATAGACAAAATTGCCGTGACGTTGGGAGGGAGGCTTGCATGTCTCGTTGGTCACCTGGGCTATCTGGGCTGCATTCTAAGCCCGAGTTCTTTGTTCTTCGAAGAACCGGGAGAATCTGGGCGGACTGCAAAAGTTGATAGCTCTACCTGTGTATTCCGAGTACCTGGTAGCTCTGAGTGAGAAATCGTGCTAATGCAGCCAGATTCCAGAGCCCAGATAAGGCTTGCTAATTCGGGATTTGCACAGTGTGTGTTGACTGGCCTGTCTTTTTTAATATAACATAGTTCCAAGTGTCCAGCCCAGTGGCCATTGCAGCAATCTACAATGGTACGTAATCTCGTATGTGATTATACCGGAAGAGGGCAGCTGCTCAGTAAAGAGATTATCTGTTTCAGTCGCCACGGCTGGCGCACATCTGAAACCAAGCAATGCGATCAACAGGGATTATACATCCTAGAGAGCCCAACGAGTGTCAGCCATCCCGAGGTACCTATCCACGAGGCCTATCAAAACTACAGAAGGCGAGTATCCCGTAGTCAGTAGTGGTGGCGACATGTTCGCTGTAGATCCCTATAGATTTGCAGACACAGTTAGGAAAGGCATGTACAAAATCCCGGACGCCTGACGATCACCCCAGGTAAGCCACACTCCATCCCTACAAAGTACAGCATAAGCCACTGGCGATCACAGTGGCGCGGCCGTAGGCCAAAGCGGCTGTGAAGACTGAGGTATGACTCGATGCGACCAAACGAAAGCCACTATCGAAACCTTGGAGCATTGATGATCACGTCATTGGGGTTGGATCGGGTGGGTTGGATGGATACTTCGGTAGTGGTCTGGGGGTTCTAGGTACGCGCCCACTGCAATAGGATGTATATTTGGTGATAGTGGTCTCTAGTGTCGAAAATCATAGCATAGAGACGTATTTGGTTTATTGTGGAGGGAAGCCATTTACGTCGGTGAAAGCCGTGCGTTCAGACGCAGGGGCCGAAAGATCTGGGGAAACACCTTATTAACTTTTGGGGGGATTTGGTCGCCCTTGCTGCACTCGGTTCTGGCCATTAGGAAATTGATCAGCGAAGCTCAGACTACGAAGTGCTCAGATTGTTTTCTCTCGGATATCAAACATCCAAAGTCTATATTGTATATGGACCTATTCCAAGGATATGGCTTTGGAAGGTTACATCTATAGAGCGTACCCATGGATAACCTGGGGTTGGGTCGGGGAAACTTAAACCAAAACCTTGAAGTCAGAGAATCCATGGAACAAGCCCCATTAGCTTCTTGGCGGGGTTGGTTCGCTTCCGGGGTCTCGGGATTCAAACAAAGTACAATAGTCTTGAAGAGTCGCAGAAATAAATGCATCTTATTAATAAAGGTTGAAGAAGCGCGTCAAAGCGGCTTTTGAGCTCATGGGGGGATAGCTATGCAGGTATATCAATAAAGCATGGCGAAAGATTTAGAGGAAGAAATAGTGAAGATGCAAGAAATAGAAGGAATTGAAGTGGGGCTTTGTCGGGGCTAGATCTGACAGTAACTAGACACAGAGCAATATGGCCCTGGACACAGATCGACGCGAATAAAACGATCGACAAGAAAGAGGGGCCGAGAGCAAGACTAAGAACCGCCAGAACGGACCGAAGAGCAATTCCACTACTCGGTCCAGTTCAAACCTAATCTGACTGCCAAAAGGAGTTTAGTATCCATAACTCTTCTCAAAAAAAATCTAATCCTTTAGCCTTATGGCCTAGCCAAACGCTTGATGATATTAACGCTAGTACTGGATAAGCCCTGTTTCATCTCGATCCACCGGGCTATGCAAGTGCAATGTGATACACAGGCAAACAGAGAAATAGCAGAATTATCATTAATATGGAGAACGGGTCGCGATTTCGCCTGCAGCGGAGACAAACATTCGAGGCCGATCGCTATCTGGACGGGGGCATGTTTCAAACAATTAGCCACGGCGTGGAACGAGCATCGAAAGAAGAATGCGAAACTTTTGCCTCTGGCTGTTAGCCACGCAAGTCGAGAGCAGAACAGGTGCACATCGAACTGGGAGGACAATCCCATCATTCAGGTCTCACCTGACGCGTGATGGGTCAGACGCAAGTGCCAGCTCAGGCCGACACCAACCGAACCGTTGGGGCGGAGGGGTGGCTTTTCTCAGACCCAGCGGGATGGATGTTAGTTGCCCCCGAAGCTTGCGGTCATTTGCTTTTTTCGTTCTCACATTCCAATGAGGACTGGATGATGAAATTCATTTGCTGGGCCCATATGGAGTAGTCCTAAAGGTATGTACGGCTTACATCGAGGTAGAGCCGATGGGTCGGGTGGGGAGTGGGGCAGAGACTAGACTCTCAAGATAATAGAGTACACGGAGTAGAATAAAATCGAATTATGATTTTTATAAAACAATGCCATGACGATCCACCAGTGACGATGCTATCCTTGGCGGGGGGAAGAAGAAATAAGGCGGAGAAACAGGGGAATGCTGCAATAAGTGGAAACTCTGGAATCTCAGATTGCTACTCTCCGGGAGAGATGCAGCATCAACCAGGTTCGCACAGACAATTCAACGTCTGACCTATCGCAAAAGTACGGATGAGATCGGTCCAAGCCTCCACTATACGTCCGAGCGAGCTCATATTTTGGTCTTCTATATTAATCGATGTCTCTGAGTTTCCCAATGTCTTTTTTTTAAAAGACATTCTATACTAGTTAAATGCCAGTAACTACATTAGTACAACTAATACTCTTTTAGCCTTCAAGGTTTTCGCTCTTAGACATCAAGTGGAGAGGGAGATCAAGATGGTTTGTGCATCATGATCGACACGGCTAGAAAGTCCGGGGACGCGATCGACCTGCATGTCCAAATAGACTCTGCTCACATTTTGCGGAACCTAAGAGGGTACAGCCTGAACATTCCAATGGAGTACAGAGAACATGCTTCAGTACTGGATTGGTGGAGAAAGAATAATGCATGAACTAAAACAATATAGGATAAAAGTCGATCAAACTAAATAATACCGGAAGACTGGGTCCAGATCCAAAAATGGATTTTAAAATATAATTGATATCATTTATATTATAATATGATAATATGATATTATAGAAATAATAAAAATAATAAAAAGGGAAAAAAGAAAAGGTGAGGGATGACAATCCGCCGATCCAAGTCTCTCACCTTCAAAAGGTACCAGGAACAAGCTTCCCCCGTGGATCGTTGCTTTCTCATCTTGATTTCCTGATTTAAGACTTTTAAAACTCCTTGCTGTACTTATAATCTCCCCTCCCCTCGAACCAGGTACTCATATACCCCCTACCTATATTAAATCAATCTGAGACCAGCCTCCCCTTAACCCTTCAACCTATCTTAAACCGCGTCGAAGGGCTACTGACACCAATATTTCGCCTATCTTGTTCCTGGTGTTCCATACCAGCCCAGTCTGTTGTCCGAGTTTGGCAATCCCAGTCCATTTTGACGCGAAACAACGCGAAACATCGATCAAACCTGCAGGCCCTCGAGGAACTTCAGTCGATCCCAGCCAATATCCAGCCGTTAGATTCTTTGCCGCGGTAACGGAGGATCTCATAGTCTACATTCCTAGCCTTGCTTTGCGCTTCAAGCACGCGACGCGCCTCTAATTTTGGCCCAAAGTTCTAATCTGAGCTTAGACCATGGCGTATAGCTGTAAGTCCGATCTCCACCCCTCGGGATTCTATGCTGGACCAATTTGTTTATTTCTGCTCGTTTGTCCTCCATTCCCTTTCCTCTTGAACATTCTTTCCTTTCCCTATACTCCGGGACTTAATACACATTCTCTTGTCTTCTATCTCTTTTCCATCCCTTTCTTTTATATTTACCTTCTTTTGATTTCTTTACCTCGACCTTCGTTCTACTCGTCCTACTCTTACTACTTGTCAACTTGACTTGGCTTTCGTTCTTACACACAAAAACAATACAATTTACTAAACTTCACTGGGCAGGTGATACCATCAACCCAGTTGCATCTCGACCTTTCAAAACTGAAGAATTGGACGATATGAGATCTCACGGACAGCAAATCTCTGATCGTTTGACTGTCGAAGTTGACTGCCACTCTTTGGGCCCAAGTGAATGCCCTTCGATGACTTCGAGCTTTTCTCCTTTGGACTCTCCTACTCCCACGCCTACCAGTCTCTACGGCCAAGGCTCAATGGCCTCACCCGGGTGGCACGAGCCCTCCCACTATCACCACGCCGTCCCAATGGAGCGCCGAACATCGGCTACCCCATTGCGCAGCGCATTCCGAATGGCTGATCTCACCTCAGGCGAAGGCATGATGAATATGCCCTGCGGTAACATGGACCGACAGGAGCAGATGCCCCTCCCCGACTATCTTCCTGGATACGATGAGAACGTCGACCAACTTTGGATTCCTCAGGATATGCCAAAGACATACCAGGAACCCCAGTTTCCATACCAGGCCTCGATGCCCCAGTACAACCAGATGGCTCGCAACTACTACCACCGTCCGCAGCAGGCTGGCTATCTGCCTGAATCGGCCTCCAACCCTTGCTTGTCTCGTCCAATCTTTACCCAACCCACTGAGCGGATGCCGAATTCCGCCTCAATGTCTAATATGCTCGGCTGGATGCCCTCCGAGTCGTTGGTACCTCAAACCATCACACCGGCACAGGTCCAGCCCTTCCCTTCAGGACCCGTGACCCCTCCTTCTTCGTCTTACTCCGACTTTCCCACCAACATCCCAACCTTCAAGACCCACACTCCTTCTACTCCTCACCGATCGGTCTCCATGGGTACTCCTTCAGGGTCAGATACCCCTGTCAGTCGAATGTCCGGACACAATGACTACCAGGAAGAGTTCCAGCTCTCTCCTGTCTATCGCGAAGGTATGATGCAACGTCACCGCCAACCTTCGCGCAAATCCTCCAAGAAACAGCTCCTTCGCTCTAACCTGAGCCTCGAGAACTTGCCGTCAATCATTAAGCAAGTGCAGTTCAAGTGCAAGGAGCCCGGCTGCAAGGGACGTTTCAAGCGCCAGGAGCATCTCAAGCGCCACATGAAGAGCCACTCCAAGGAGAAGCCTCACGTCTGCTGGGTTCCTGGCTGCCACCGTGCCTTCTCCCGCAGCGACAACCTGAACGCCCACTATACCAAGACCCACAGCAAGCGAGGCGGTCGCAACCGCTACGTCGCGACCCTCGACGAGACCAGTCAAGATTTCGACCCGGACTTCCGTGGACAGCTTACTCCCGATGGACGGCCCATCTACGGCAGCAAGCTTGAAGACACTATGCCTGACTGTGGCGAGCTGAGCGTCGATGGTTGGGATGATTAGTCGACACCAAAAAGCAAAACCAAAACCCGAAAACCCGAAAAAAAACCCCGAATTCCACGCGAGTCTTCCAAAAAAATATGGGATTACACAAACACAAAACTGAAATGTGGTCCTCATTGGTCCGTATTGATACCCCGTCTATGGCGGATCGACTGCTATGAAATGGCAGTGGCATTATGGGCCAGATTGACTTCTGGCCTGGCGTTGTACATGTCTCCTGGTGGATAGGAGACTTTGATTTATTTCCCTTTTTTTTTTCTTTCTCTTGCATAATTTGTCTGGTGCCAAAGGCTGGGAGGTTTTTTGAACATGGAATTTATGCGGCGTTGCATATGTCTTTCTTTCCCTTTCTGGTTTGGGGATCGCCAACTTGGGATAATCATTTGGGAGCCCTGGAGGAAGCCCTCAGGGGGCGATCGTGTACAATCTGCTACAACGCGTTGTTTTACGTGTTTTATTCTTTATTCTTTTTTTTATCGCTTGTACTACTACCCTATTGTCGCACACGGGCATAATATACACAAAAATCGAGATCTACACTGTTGCACTGCATTACTATTCAGCCCTTATGTATACCACCCCCCTTTTGATAGCTTACCAATATCCTTTAAATTCGTGCTACAACCTTATAACTCGGCCTCTCGCATGGTTCCTGATCTTGGGGGAGTTGGGCCATGTCCCCAAAATGTTACACATCACAACACTCGGGGCTCTAGATCCTTAGTCCCTGGATCTCTCCAAACCGATCTATCTGGTCGATGGAGTGGATCAAATGTTGAACAAATCGGGCCTGCTGCAGAAATAGAGCATGGTCAAACTGTACTTTCTACTCGTCTTTCCTCAGAGCTCTCCACTCGTTCCACTCCTAAACGGGGGTCTTCTTATCACCCCCATTTCAGAAACGCCATGTCATCATCTCTTCACCGCGGCTATGGGCATCATTTACCCACGATCAGAGTAATACTATATACTCTTTATGTGGAACACTGTGCCCCGAATACGCACGGCAACACTACTGCAAATCACGATGGGCGAAGAGCCGATACTCCACTCCATGACCCGCGCTACTTTCAACAGCGCAACAACATCGCTAGTAGCATGTATCAGATGCCATGTGGAGCCCCATTCACCCGTTCTCTGTGAAGAACCAAAGCCTTGAAAAAGCCCTCCGACGTACTCCGTGCTCCGTAGTTCTAAGTATAGCACTTGGCACAAAAAAGCAAGTACGAAAACGAGACGGGAATGAGAAAAAGCAAAAAAATGAAATCAACATGCTACATTGTACACACTGCATGGCCAATGATCTCACACGGTTAAGAGCCGCGCTCCTACGTGCCTGGACTCTCGCCACTGTGTTCATGCGTCACCCCCATTCCTCATTCCCAGTTCCACTGGCTTAACGCTTTCCGAGCAAAAGAGCAGAGATTAGCCTCCTATGACAAAGGTCCCGTTGTTTTCCGGATGAAACCCATATTTGCTTTTTAATGATCGACGTGCATGGGATCTCCTACCGTTCTTCAAACTCCAAGGGTTTTGGTAGGACTTTTTGCTGCACCTCCACTACCGGCATATACATTCTTTGCTCTTGTCTATCGCCCCCCAAAAAAGTACAACATACAGGAAACTGAGCTCATTTATTTTCCGATGCCAGAGACATTTCACTAATTCCAAATTGTATTCCCCAACTCCCCAATCCCAATCTCAGATTCCAAATCCCTATTCCAAATACCCAAGTCCACGGCTACACCGGCTTTTGGCAATTGTGCGGTGTGGTGGTTATTAGGCACGACGTCAAATTAGCCCGACGCCCATGCCCTGCATGTACATAGTACACTGTTACACCGCGCTATGTATATACCACGCCGTGCGAATTGGGAATGGCAGTCCCAATGGCATGATATGCGAGAATGATATCCAACCTTCCCACTATTGGCTTCAATTCCTTGATTTTGTGTTTTTACCATGCCCAATAGTACCTACGAGGATTAACGTCTGGAGATGCATCCGCCAATCCGGCTAATAGGCTATTAATCCCGTACAACAAACTTACCTTTTTGTTTCCCAGTAAATCGTTCGATTCAATTCAAGATCGAACGATCAGTGTCCGCTGTTCGTATTCGATCTGCTATTCAGATACCTCACTGCAGCGATTACGAACTCTTTTTGACGTTTTGTTCCCTCCGCTAACTTTTCCTATTTAGTGTCAGATAGAACGAGCGCATTATCAATGTGTACCCAATTACCACATTCCACGGAGAGTTTCTCCCGGCCACTTGGATGACTACCATCAGCACACTGAACCCGTATATCTGTGCTCGTGGACTTGCATGTCGAGGTAAATCCCAGTAGGCGGAGACATTATACAGAGTTTGGAACAGCATAACTACGGACCTTCCAGCATCCGGGTGAAAGGTTATCAATGTCGCAATGCCAATCTAGCTTGGCGTTGATATGCGAGCAAACCTTTTCGAATGGCCCCGCATACGCGCTATACTGATCTACACCAATTGTGCGGAGGGTATGATGTACATGCACTGGAATGTGATACTAGAGTGTCAATCAAGTCGGATCTAGACTCTGAGATTGGGTTAGCATTAGTATGAGTTATTTTGTGAGGTGAGTCTATTTTTTATATGCGATGCGACCTCAATATTATTATTCTCTCCATTGTGTGCTCATCTGTGGTAGTGAACGTCTCCAGCCGTGCTTATTCGTCCGATGTGCGGCGATCTCCATCCCTAGCTTGGGGTCTCGAATTTGTCCTCAGAGCAGTGCATATATTTTCGTTGGTGTCTGATTTCCCACCTTACTTTAATCTCGTTGGGTGCAATCTTTTAATTTCGTCTACTTCTACCATATTATTGGTGATCTCATTACCGTTTTTGAATGCATTTTAGGTGAGTGCTCGAGCCAACCACAGTTCAAGGGTCTTATAGCCTAGACCTTGTGCCATTATATTTCCTCATCTTCTTTATTAGGTGACAGCACTTCCAAAGTCATAAGGCACTGGAATCCCACATGAGTCCATCCTTGAGATGTATACTCGGCTGTTGATACTTTTCCCAATCGGGAAACGAGCTTAGTCACCATTAGACCCGCCTGCGCTGACACATCATTTATGTAATCACACGATATAAAAACTCAGCGCTCCAATTTTCCGTAGCTCCTTCACATAAAATCTGACATCTTTTGTCTATTATTCCACGAAATAACAACATGCTTTGCAAAGCCATTGCCCAAGGGATCAATGTCTTCTCCTGGTCATTGGCTTTAGCCTTGCCTCTATATACCCCCTCCATCTCGCGAGGCAACTCTGGTCTCTCCTTACTATGATGATCACCAATTCTATTGACATGAACTTCTCCATGAATGTTTCAAAAATATCAAGCTCAACAGTCTGAGTTCCGATTGACCAGAGAACAGTCTCAGGAAGTGATCGTCACTGGCTGCCTTTTTGCATAACATATACTGACGACGTCTTTTGATATCTCCTGTTTTCATAGCTCTGTTTGATACCTTCTGTATCTAATTGAATACTCACAATCGTTACCATGTGCCTTCCCTCTCTCCCCCCACACGCTTTGCAGTTTATAGCACGGATGTCAAATTGCGATCCGGCCCTTTCATGGCCGCGGTCGCGCCGAAGAAGTGCTTATATCGAAATGGAGATTTATCTCCCTAGCCAGTGAGTACTAGATTTTTGTCCTACGGTTCGCCCGAGGTGGCAAACATCCATTGAAGATCTGGAACATCCTGTATTCGTAGACTTTGTTTATATGGAATGAATTTATCATTGTGCTTCTGGTCCTTCCGCTTCTCTCGAGAATGTAGACTTGGTTTGGGAAGAGTTCAATGCGACATTGACTCGAGATGTGTTTAGACAGATGCTGCAATCAGTCAAGGTGTCTGCCAGTGGACATGTAGGGTCGAGTACACCGAAGCATAATCAAGACTTGCGAACTAATCGAGACCACCTACGAATGTCTAGAAGATTAATAAACAGAATCCAGTTCTTGCATTTTGTGTTATCAAATTCGAGGTATTTCCACAATGCAATTTGCAATCCAACCCCCATGGTCGCGTCGTGATATCAAAATAACTCCTGTACAGAATGGTATCGAGTTTGATAAATCCCAGGGTTCCCACCGAAAGCCGCGCCCAAATTGTACAATCGAACGAAAAAAAGAAAAGAAAAACAGAATAAGAAAGCAATAACATAAAATGACGCCGTCCTCTCTCCACGATGCCTGGTCCCTGTACAAAACCCCGGAAGTTCAGAAAAAAAGAACAAAAAAAAAGAACAAAAAAAAGAACAAAAAAAAGAACAAAAAAAAGAACAAAAAAAAGGGCAAAGATACAGTGGTTGCTAACCAATGACCCACTGCCGTTGGGTAAATACTCATCATAAATTGACTTCGAGCCAGTGTTACACTGGTGAAATTGTAAATGTGGAAAAGCTTCTATCCTCGCAGGCTATAGTCAATCTCGTATGTTGCCACCTTATATCAGTGCTAGCAAACAGACTAGCCTCAGTTGTTCATGCCACCCATACTGTGCATCGAGCCCTGCGCCTGCATTTGCTGGGCTTGCAGCGCGGCCCGCTGTTGCTGCTGTTGCTGTCCGCCATCCCGCTCACGTCGCATGACCTCAGAAACCCACGCTTTTGCAGTCTTTTCCAACCCAGGACCATACTGCTGGGCAATATTGGAAGGATACTGGTTTGGCGGGCCATACTGAGCCATATACCGCGTCGACATATCATGTCGCATGCGAAGCAGTCGTTGTTGGTAGAGCTGGGTGTATCTCTGGGCTTGATTAATGGGCTGTCCATTTTGGCCCATTTGGCCACCATTCGCCTGCGCAGCTGCCATCAGCATTTGCTGCTGTTGTTGGTTTGTTAACTGCTGATTGCCTTGGTGTGGCTGGGTTTGTTGGCCCTGCATTTGTGGGTGCTGGCCTTGTTGCTGCTGCTTGACTATTTGCATCTGCGCATATTGAGC